ACGCCCAGCCCTGTAGTGATGCACCACCAATCAGCTTGATAACGAGCAAGTTACCCGCCAGCCCTCTCCGCCCGACTTTCCCACTCTGAGCACGACCTAGCGCCGCGTCTTCAGCCATGCAAACGACATCGACTTTGTACCCTAGCGCCTGACCCTTTTCCCTCGCCAGCCCAAAATGCAGCATGTCGCCTGTATAGTTTGTGATGCAAAGTATTATGCCCTCTGTACTTGGTACGTTTCGCATGCCCGCCATAACTTGCTTCGTACTCGGCGACGCAAAGATATCTCCACACACAGCAGCCGACAACATGCCGTCGCCCACGAAACCCGACCACGCCGGCTCGTGACCCGAACCGCCGCCAGACACGATGCTGACTTCATTGGGTCTGTGAGATAGGTTGTAGACTACGCGGTTGGCCTCGTCGAGCGCCATGTGCTTGTTTCGTGCGCAGAGCGAGCGCAGCGTGTGCAGCACGACGCCCTCTGGGTTTGGGAAAAAGTGTTTCCGCGACATGATTTCGGATGTAAATCGTGTGTAAGTTGGGATCGATAATGTCGACTTTCCTCAGTCCAGTTTCTAACAAGCAGTCTTATTAGTATTGCAATTCATCCCATATTATCCGCCAATCGTACCGGTATTTTCCCAGGAAAGCGGCCCTTCTACATATCTTACTTACATGTGCTGTACACTAGGCCTTTGTCACAATCCCACACTAAGGAATTTCTCAAATCCAGCGTCCTGATAAATTCACCAGGCTCAAATTAAAAAAGTGAAAAGGCTGAATACAATTTGTTCCAAACCCCTCTCCTTCCGGGTGCCATCCGCACCTTTTATAAACTCTCTTCCCCGCTCCTCAACCCCCCACCCCCACGACCCTCCGACCCCGCGCCCACCTCGCCGCATCTATTTGGACAATCTACGGCACAATCATTAAAAGCTTCTACGGCTATTCACGAAAAAAGGCCCGTAATACCCAAAAATATCCCGGCCCAACAGCAGTATGAGATTGCCCAATACGTAAAAAAGGTATACTGTTTTCAGGCTAAGGTGGTTGCATGTGGTTTGGAGCTTGGTTTGCGCCGGGATTACCGGTTTGGGAAGTGCCGGAAATTGGTATAATACTAGATAGGTGGCTTGCAGGGTCGGTCTGGGCTCCGAGGTGGACCGGAGGGGAATTGCGGCTTGTGCTCTGATGACATCGTTCGATGGTCAGAGTTGACTTTTGTGGATATTAACGGCATATTGGATATTTGTAGACTAGAATAGTTGATGGACTGATCATGTGGTAGTATGTTCCGGTGCCCATGCATATGGTCTTACACAGGACATTATCTTCCACGTAAAAGTCGTTGGCTCTGTTTTTGGCAGTGAATATCCCGACCATATATCTATCAGGCCCGTACTCCTAACGCATCGGTATCTACGTGACTACCTGTCTACTACCCACAACTGACTAGCCCAAGTACACAACAAGCGTTCCAAAGAGACATCAAGCAGAGCGGGAGCAAAGCAATCTCAGCCACGATCTCCTAGTCAAACATGATCTTCTTGCCCTTCAACAGTGTGCCTCCCAGCAGCTTACCAACCGCGTATCCAATATAAGCGCCCGTAACGATGGTAACTGGCCACTTCTGCCACTCGCGGTCCCTGCACATGATTAGTCTCTCTGCTTCACAATTCTCATCTCGACGCAATTTCTGGTTGAGCAGATAGGTCTAGGGGAAACTCACCAGTCCAAGGGAATAGGGACTGCGCCTATCCAAGCACCAAGAACCGTGCCAATCAGTCCGCCATAGACCTCATCTATTGGCAGGAGCAGTGCAATAATCTGCCTCCATGTATCGCCGTCGACACCGTGTACATAGATCAGAGGCAGGGTGCTCAGGAGCGCCACATGAGCACCGCAAAGTAATGTGTGTGCATGGTGCGTAGACACGGGTGCACCGAAGAGAACGAGAATGGCCGTGAGGAGCGGCGTCGCAGCGAGTGCGGACAGGAGGAGGGATAAGAAAGCCGGCTGTGACAACACGTTAGCTCTTCCCTAAGATAAGAGACATTTCCAGCAACGCTGCCATGCTAGTACAAGACACGTACCACAATCTTCGAGTTCAACCCTTGTTCCAGCTTCGTCGGTGCCTTTCCCTTCTTCTCACCCGGCTTCTGTTTCCGTATCGAAGGCGTGCCTCCGGTCGGTGGGAGACATACGGCTACAAAAGCTATCTGCAGCACAGCGAGTGGTGCGAGGGTGCTTAGCAACGTGGGCACTGGATCTGCGACCAGAGCGGGGAATTTGAGCGCGTAGACAGAGAGAACGAGTATTGGATGAATGTGCGTGTACAGACGCGCTGTGTCGTTCTTCAGTGGCTCAATTGGCGCGGCGGTCGAGGCCTGGTGCTTTGATGTCGCGTTTGCGTTGATGACAGTTGTGCTGGCCATGTTTGCGAATTAAATGGGTGGTAATGAATATGCGGGTTGAGTTGAACAGAAGACACGTCAATTCGAGGTGGAATGTTTTTCTACTGGGCTTTGCAAGGAGCGTGGATGGCGCCTGGCCGACTGGGGTGTTTGTTGGTCAGGGTAGTTGCAGGAGATCGCGGAACTGAAAGTTTCGAGATGACGCTGGTGGTGCTGCTCGCTGATTGGGCGAACAACCATCTCCTGTTCAGCACCTCTATGGTTCGTACGAGACGGGACAAAACATGTGAAATGTTGTTTCCACATCTTTACGGTTTTTGATTCATCATATAGACATAACCTCTGTTTATGCCTCATTCCTGATGACCTTGTCCGAAACTTTTACGTGGAGCGTTACACACATTCATTCCTTGCACCATTGCTTAAGCCATGTCCCTACTTACTGCTGCTCTCCCTTTTTCGGAACCAAGTTCCTCAATGAAAGATCGTACACCACATCCTCCACATCCTTGACGCGATACTTGAGGCCATCGCTGCGGCGGCGTAGGCTGTCATTTTTGAGGTTGAGGATCTGGAATCCAGCATGCAGATCCTTGACGAACTGGTTGATGAGTAGCGGACGCTCGTAATCGCCCAGAGTGACAGCATTGCGGGCAAGGCGTGTCTATTGGTGTTAGCCATATACTCTTATTCGTCTACAATGCATGTCAGACAACGTACAAGCTCCTCGACAAGGGTCATAAGGGAATGCAGATACTCCTCGAGTGAGAGGTGGAACTCATCGCGCTCCTTGAGGTTGACTGGGACTATTTGGACGTTAGTAGTGCGTATGTGGTGTATTTTTTCTGCACGCACTTTTGAAGATTTCACCAAGCTCCTCAATGGTTAAGAGTCGGCCGCATTGTACCGCACCGCCCTCATACTTGTAGCCGCCGAGCCAGCCCCAGAAGAGAATACTCTCGCACTAAGAATTCGTCAGTGATATTATCTGAATGCTGTGTCAGCCCTGAACCTACTGCGCCTTGCATCTGACGGCTCCACATGTTGTTGAACTTGTAATAGGGCATCTTCGACGCAGCTTGTGAGAGCTTAGAAACAGTTTCAATGACATTGTCAATGGGCTCTTGAGCAGCTTTCAAGATCTCTGACACTGCATCTCAATTAGCTAGCATATGGAGAGTCTTGGGTGCTGCGACTGACGCTCGCTGACGGGTGTGGAATGGGCTCTTGACAGCACAAAAGAGACATTACGGTCTGTAAGAAGTTAGAAAAATGTCCAAAATTCTGATCGAATAAGCTCACTGTGTTTCTCAAGCGCCTGAATGATGTCGCGCAGCTCCTGTCGCGTTGTGAGTACGATGTCACGTGCAGCTCTGGCGAACTGCCACTTACATCTCGAACCGCGGAGTCCTCGTCTATGCGCGCTTGAAGGTCTTGGAAGACGGCCGGGTTGACCATGCCTGATTGCGATGCCATGCTGCCAAATCTTGGGGTTTTGCGGAGGTGTTCGAGTGACGTCTGAAATTGTGGTAGTATCTGGGTAGGTCAACGTTGGTCTGGCAAGCAAACCTCGCCACGAAAATTTGGCGTCACACGCTGCTCCCTGCGCAACTTCACTTTTTCACAGATGCAGCCACGTACAATGCATTTGATGTGCAATTTGTCGATTCCGAGATTTGCACGTGTTCATTGTAACCTGCTATCTAGACCAATTAATTAAACGGCTTTACGTACAGTGTTTTTGTCAATACACGGTTTGTGATCGATATCAAGATAGTTATAATGCTCTTATGAACACTCTACGACATGTCTCGATCTTATTGGATATTGGTTCCCACCGTAATGTCCCCCAAACATCAAGCGGCGTTTTCCTTTTTCCCTGTGCTATTTGTTTTACTATCTACCTCTTTCTAGATTTTTCCTATCTCTTATATTACTTAGCATAAATATGTGGGAAGTTCTGAGCTCTTAGACAGTCATAAATCCACTCATCTCTCGTTTCAACAAATCTGCCACAGGGTATTTAGTTGTTTTATGGGTCTTTGTCTTTAGTAAGACAAGAACACTTCCATCTGTGGAAAGATGGACATTTAAATCGAGCGACCTTATATATTCTCGTATAGCAGTATGACTATCATCAGTCTCCCATCCACTTACGACAACACACCCAATAATGACACACCACCTGATTACTTGGGTAGTGGTAATAAAATGTCGTGTTATTTTCATACCATATACCGCCTCACCCCAGCAAGTATTTGACTGATATGTAGGCATCCAGCCAAGCTAGGAGATCATCCCTTGTATCTTTTAGAGATGTATCGATATGACAGACGATCTCTATGATGAGTACGTCGAGGTTATGGGTCATTTTGTAAGCCGCTATCCTCTGTTTTCCAACATTAGCTAATCATTGTGTATATGACGACTATCCGGACGAGACAACTATGGCAGGCGGAATCGCTGCCACTTAAACGGTCATAACACTTACTCTTACATCTACAACTTGTGCATCACCCAGTCACCCGTCCTCTCACTCTCCTTGTGATCTCTCTACCACCCTGTATTCCTCGCGCGCACTACCCTACCATGCAGTATTTTGACTCTTACCCTCAGCTTGAGAATACGCCGTTTCTTCCTCTCCGAATGGACTACCTTCGCACGCTTGAGATCAGTCTCCAGTAACTCCTGCTCGCTCACAGCACCACGCAAAATAGCTCCAGCACGCTCCCTCGACCTAAACTCGCTGCTCAAGAACTCCACTTCCTCGCAGAAGAAGCGGAAACTCGTGATGAACGAAGAGTCTTCTTCCTTGCATAGATCGCGCCCCTCAATAAGTATGGCATTGTTGTACAGGAGGCGGGTAACCCAGCCGTTCTCTTCCTGCTTGATGTCTATGCATAGCTTAGACAGTGCGAGATAGGTGGCTGGTTCTCGAATGACACCTTCATGAGCGTTCTTGACAATTGGTGTCTGAGTTGTTGCGGCGTTGGTTTCAGAGGACCGGGCTTTCTGTTCCTCTCGCCGTATGCGTGGACTGACGGCGTAATAGAAGAGCGGGCTATGAAGTAAGAAACAAAGCCCATCTAGTGCGAGAGTTAGATATATACAAGAAGTATGTTGTTGATGTTTACCGAGAAGCTCTTCATGATGGTATGTCGGGAGGTCTTGTGGCAGTTTGTCCAGCACCTCCTGCAGGTGGCCCCGTAACGTGATCTCCTTTGCTACGGTCGGGGAGAGCGGTGGTGTTTCAAGTCCTAGTTTCGCATGGTTCCTCGTCATGCGTTTTGTCGGGGTACGATCCATGGTGTTTTTGGTAAAATTATTACCCTTGTTCAAAAATTATGTACTGAAGGTAAAGCAAAGCTTGGGAGCTGGAAGATGTTAACAAAACTTGAGTGTTGAGTGTGAAGATAGGTTCTCAAGTTTCTGAGGTTCTATTATAGTGACCTGCTACCTCGTTACTGTAACATTGGATCCGTCTTGGCTGCAGGTAGTAAGTCTCTGTGAAGTGAAGGTGAATGTGCTATCACATGGTAACAACAGCGTTTCCACGGGGTTGTTATCGGTACAACCATCTTTGCTCATTCGAGTTATTGGTCGGTCTCACCACGAGGATGGCAGAAAATACCGCTACATTTACGACATGTCTCCTGAAATCTTGGTATCATAACCGCAGACGTGTATATACGTGAGAAAAATATACAGAAGCCTCGTTGTTTATTCATTACGTTTCTCATCCTGATAATAATGTCCCTGACCGCTTCAAGCATAGCCTACTTAGCGGGACGCTTCCTAGGGATCTGTGAGATGATATCCGCGAGCAATCTGTTAGCTGCCCTGTCAAACCCTTTCCTACATAGCGCCATCACGTCATGATGGATGATCGGATCTTTGCCTTCACGCTCACATGGATCGCCCCTAAAAATGACTCGAACATCACCATAACTCGGATGTACTGCTAGACACATGTAGTGGTATATGCCTTCGTGCCCAATATCAACAGAAATCTGTTTGAGGGAAGCAAGGCCGTATGGACCAAAGTCACCATATTGACCACTGCGAATGACAACGTTGGCCATGCTCTCTATATTCTCTTATTAGCTGGTGAAATATACGGTAAGTGAGAAATATGACGTCGTACTAGAAACATGAACCAGAGCTTCGGGATTTTGAGTCCACCGTGTGGGCAGGTTGTCTGCGAGGAGTAGGTAGATGCGATCAAAAACCACATCGCGGCTAATGCGAGTATGCGATTCGGGATATGCTTGAGCGCGTGGATATGATTTTGGTGGCTGGGAAGCCATATCTGGCATATGGCCTGTAGATGAATGCTGTTTGTCAGGGCTTGATGGCATTGTGGTGATGAGCAGTGGATTCTCGGACCTGAACCTCTTCAGGTTTTCTAATGCTTCATTGGATGCTTGAGAAAGATCTTCGAGATTTGGACAGCCAGTCATTTTGGTAAGTGGTAGACTGAGGGCTCCGTTCCTAGTGCGGCTAGTCAGCTATCTTGGGATTTTCAATTAATGGTATAGAGTTGGAGAAGAGCAAGCAGTAGAAGTGGGGCCTGTTCATGATTGCTAAATAATAGTACGAAAGTCAAGGTGACTGGGAGTGAGGCCACAGCAGCCTGATGTTACTGTACATGCAAAGAGACACTTGTGATTATATACTGTTGAATATGCTTCTCTATTGACAGCTAATTATTGCCATTGTCTACTGTTATCTTCTAGTGAGACAAATCTTGCGATTCCGTGGTCACCGTCAGCAAACGAAAAAGGCACAGGCTGTATAAGAAGGACTATTTTTTCAGCTATACATGTAGCTGGCATCAGTAGAAAACAGAAACCCAATCACTCTGGCTGCAATGTCTGAATTCAGCCCTATGATGCATCTGGCGATACGTGAATGGTGTTGTTGTTTTTTTCCAAGTGGGTCCGCGTGTCTGAAATAGCTCTGCGCTAGTCCCGGATCGGCATTGCACACACACCTGCACGCGCCCTTGGTGGAGCGCGGGAAGCATCAACAGGGCACTGGGCATTCACTCCTGACAACCGCCCCCGTCGCAAATCTGACCCCCGTCGCATCCCCACAGCGACTGCTCTCGCTTCTGTTTACTGCGGACCTTCACTCGTTAGTCGTCTGCACCTCCGCTCGCTTCCGATATACGTGTTGCGCACGACGACGACTGTGACTGCGACTTCACCATCTCCACCGCTTGGCACTCTCGAGCTCCGGCCTCCCCGTCCTGCGACAATGGGCTTCGGCGACTTCCAAACGATATGCGAAAAGGCGCCGATACCCCTCTGCGCTGCTGTGGGCCATCAGGATATCAGCAATGGCGTGGGCATCCAGACACGCTGCTATGCTAGGACCATTGAGATCGCCAACACGCTCATCTTCGAGGCAGCTAACGACTTTATGCACATCCTGGCTCTGGTCATGACCGTCGTAATGATCATACACGTGCGCTCCAAGTTCACAGCTGTCGGTACGTCGGCGCAAGATCAGCAATGTGACTAAGAGCGCCTTTGCTAACGTTTACCAGGGCGCAAGGAAATCACAACCTTCTTCTACATCTACTTCCTCCTCACCATCATCTCCCTCGTCCTCGATGCAGGTGTCACTGCGCCCGGTTCCGCTACCTACCCGTACTTTGCCGCTGCCCAGAATGGCCTCACGTCCGCCTTATGTACTTGTCTATTGATTAATGGCTTTGTCGGTTTCCAGCTTTACGAAGACGGCACCACCCTTTCCGTCTGGCTGCTGCGGCTCAGCTCCCTCGCCATGTTCATCGTTGGTGGCGCGGTCAATCTCTTGACGTTTAAAGGCTGGGCCGGATTGAGCCCCATGAATCCCATTGGCATCTTTATCGTCACCTACCTCGTCAATGCCATCTGTCTGTTCATTTACACCGTCAGCCAGATCATTCTCGTAATTGGAACTTTGGAGGATCGCTGGCCACTGGGCGACATCCTGTTCGGCATCTTCTTCTTCGTCATTGGCCAGGTGATTCTCTATGTCTTCAGTGATACCATTTGCGAAGGCGTTCAGCATTACATTGACGGCCTTTTCTTCACCACCATCTGTAATCTGTTGGCTGTCATGATGGTTTACAAGGTATGTAGTTTATTCCGCTATTTGCGTATGCACCTGCTAACGTGTAGACAGTACTGGGACTCTATCACACGCGAGGATCTCGAATTCTCCGTCGGTGTCAAACAGCACAACTGGGAGATCAAAGAACCATACCCAGAAGACGAAAGGCGAGGTACCATGTACCAAGACTCCGACTATACCCCATCGCTTTACCAACAACCTCATGGACGCAACTCGCATTACTCTGCCGTGGGCCATTAAGCCTGTCCGATTACCTATTGTGTTTTTACCCTCGGACGACGTACGTTTTGCATTGATCCCTATTATCCCAACGCATGAAGCGGAGTTGGCGGCGTATAATTGCTTCGGCAAAAGAAAAACTAACTTGTCACCACTCCTGTAGCATTGTTGTATCTGCACTAGCGACTAATTGGCACAGCACAGGAGGACTGGATTGGAGGACGTTGACAATGGGTTCATTCCTACCCAGGAACATGATATGACTAGCACCTACGTAGATAGTAATATGAGTACTCGGAATACATAGTACATGATGATTCCCCCGAGCTTTCGGCGGCCTGGTGGCCGTTACCCCATCTTCCGAGGGTAAACTAACGTCGGCAATGCCCCGTGGGTAGGATCTGCACCTAGGCAGTAGCCGATGCCAAGTATATTTATCTCGGTACTTGATATCGAAAGCTAGTGGAAGTGTCTTCTTCCCTGACACATACGAACAGCTGTCACACTCAGCTTTGATTCGGGTCACCTTTCGGCTTGTGCAAACCTGTGGGATACGCTAGTGGAACGACGGTCTGCTCCCCGCCTTACGGCCGATGCATGTCCGGAACATACTTTCGGCACGATGACCACGACACCGCTTATTCCCGGTGTTGAGACATATAATATACAAATGCTCACGTATCATCATCGATTGTCATTGTAGATCGCTAAGCGTTCAAATGTCGTTTGCGTGCGATTGTTAATACTCACAACTCACCTGTTCTGTTTGCTACTATCATATTTAGCCGTTGACCCCTGAAACTTTCGACGTCACTTCACACAACTACTATCCAGGAAATGCCAAAAACAGACGTCTTAATAGCAGGATCCGGCTCTGCTGGCATCTTTGCAGCCACATGGCTTGCCATCTATGGGATTCCTTTTACAATGCTTGAGCGGCGCCCAGGGCCGCTTAAGGTTGGGCAAGCCGATGGGGTGCAAGTACGGACAGTAGAAATCTACGAGTCGTTCGGATTATCAGAAGAGTTACTACGAGAAAGCTATCATGTTCTGGAAGTATGCTTTTGGGCGGTTGACGAAGATGAAGAGGGAAAGGCACAGGGCGGCATCAAGAGAAAAGGACGAACTATTGACACGGAAAAGGGATTAAGCCATCTGCCGCATGTGATTCTGAACCAAGCACGGATGAATGGGCTGATGCTGGGCAAGCTGGAAAGCGTGCTTCGAGAACAAGGACGATGGCAAGACGGAGCAAGCAACGGCATCGAGTACGGATGGAGCATCAAGAGCCTAGACATCGACGAGACCAAGACACGCGACCCAAACGCCCACTGCGTTGAGGTGACTGCCGAAAAAGACGGCAAAGAAGAAACCTGGGAAGCAAAATACGTGATAGGTTGTGACGGTGCTCACTCCACCATCCGCAAAGCCCTCGACATCCGCATGCTGGGCGACTCATCCGACACCGTCTGGGGTGTCATGGACATCTACCCGATTACCAACTTCCCAGACATCCGCCGCAAATGCACAATCCGCAGCAATGCAGGCAGCATCGTCATCATCCCCCGCGAAGGCGGCGAGCTCGTCCGCTTCTACATCCAGCTCCCCGCCGGCGCACGCCCCAAAGAAGTAAAACTACTCGACCTCCAGAACCAGGCTCGCCAAATCTTCGCACCATACAGCATGGACTACGCGGGTGTATTCTGGTGGAGTGCATATAGTATCGGACAGCGTCTCGCAGCCGCCTTCCACGCCCACAACCGCGTATTCCTCACAGGAGACGCATGCCACACGCACTCCCCCAAAGCCGGGCAAGGCATGAACGTCTCGCTCCAAGACGGATACAATATCGGGTGGAAACTCGGCTCCGTCCTCTCCGGCTTATCGCCGCCGTCGCTGGTCCCGACGTATGTGTCTGAGCGCAGTAAGACGGCAGCTGATCTGATTGCGTTTGACCGGGAACTCACGGAGTTGTTTGATAGAAAAGAAAAGTTTAAGGGAGAGTTTGCGGAGTATTTTATAAGGAGTGGGCGGTATACGGCGGGGTTTACAGCAAGGTATGAGGAGTCGGTTGTTACGCAGCCCGGGCGGGTGGAGCAGAAAGGGGCGAAGGGGGTTACGGTTGGGATGAGGTTTCCGAGTGCGCAGGTGATACGGTTTTGTGATTGCAAGGCGGTGCAATTGCAGAGTGTACTGAGGAGTGATGGACGATGGAGGGTTGTGGTGTTTGGAGGGGATCTTGGGAGGGATGAGCATCTTGCAAGAGTACAAAAGGTAAGTCGTTTTCTTCCATCTGAAAACACGTAGTGTGTATATTGGGTGCTAACGAGGAGGAAATAGCTTGCTGGAGCCCTGGACTTCATATCTCGACGGTACACGCCTGCATCCAAGTACTCCGATGCTGTTATTGAACCGTTGCTTGTCATGAGTAGCAAGTTCTTTGACACGCAGCAAGAAAGGATACCAGATTACTTTTGGCCCGTGACAGGTAAATGGGGGATCAGAGGTAAGAGTCACTGTCTTCTTGAGTTATCATATCCAGCAAATGGTCATGAGGACTGACATGTATGATTGCTAGATCTTCACAAATCATTCGTTGATGATGACCACTACAACTCTGGTCATGGCCACGCGTATGAAGCGTACGGTGTGGACCCAGACGTCGGTGCCGTAGTTATCGTCAGACCCGATCAATGCAAGTCACATTCATACTGGCGATGTGTGAGACATGAAGCTAACCAAGTGTAGACGTTTCAAAAGTAACATTGCTGGACGACTTGGATGGGATCGCGGGGTTCTTCGCGGGATGTATGGTTGAGCAAGTAGCGAAGAAGGATGCGAGCGCGAGGCTGTGAAGTGGATTTCAAAGGGGGATGAAGTATGTGAGACCTTTTTTGTATTTAAACGTGGCTTGACTTATCACTACCCCAAAGAGGGGTATTTCAAACCTTTGTTCTGTACTTGATCAGCGCTGTAGGCGCACGAGTAATGACAGCGGGCTGAATTCCTTACTCTAGAATTGACTTTGGATAGTAGTACTCGGCTCCTCACTTTGCCTTGGCATAATCCCATCTCCGTCGTGGACAGATCGGCAGTGAAGGTTTACCAGGCTCTTACCCGGCTGAAACACCAGCAAGGACGCGTACACATCTTCCCATGGTCTAATAACCACTAAAACTACTTATATCGCCAGAAACAATCATTCCTTCTCGGAAAAGGAAAAAAATCCACCTCATTGCCAAAAACGTCGCAATACCGATACCCCGTCCACGTGCCATCGGCATAACGGATAACCCAAACCTACATAGTAGTACACTAAAGCCACTCTCGATCCAAGCCCGCCGCCTCACGCACATTGTCGCGCCCACCCCCTTTCCCCGCCGCCCCCACAATGTCACAGGCGGGCGCGTATCTGCCGCTTAGCGCATCGATTTCGTCTCGCGCAGCAGCGACATCAGCTGCAACAGGGTCGCCGTCGATCGACTCGCTTCCGTTGTACCTACGGCGCCATGTGAATCTCGGCTTCGACAACGACGACGTGACGGCGCTGCTTAGCTCCATCGACTCGAGCCAAGCGCGCAATGCATCATCGCAAAGAACAACGACGACATCGACAACGGCGACGTCACCAGCGATACCGGCGCTAGCACAACTGCCTGCCGAACTCTTACTGCAGATCGTCGAACATGTGCCCGTGGACTATTTACTCGACTGGCGGCTTGTATGCAGGGGGTTCCGCGATGCAATTGATGGACAAGTGCTATATCACTGTTTGCGCCGCACTCGGTTGCTGGGGTACATGGGGAGCCGGCACTCGCGGGCAATGGAGCCGCTAGACGACGACGAAGACTACGCGGCGATTCACCTTCTGGAAGCACGGTTTGAGCGCATAGAAACTGGCGCAAGCGACGACCACCAGGCAGCCGGCAAGCCGATATGGAGTGGCAGCCATGCCGTGTTCCGCGTCGACGACGAGTGGTACCGTCAGTTCCATCGGGTGGGCGGGGCACAAGACCGCCAGGGCGACACGATTGACGATGCGGATGCGAGGTGGTCGCGCACGCTGGACCGGCTGGAGCTGCGGCGCCCCGAAGAAGGATTCGGCACGTTGCGCTGGTGCATTCGGCTTGACCATGCAGTCTTGGATTTGGATTTCCCCGCTGAAGCAGACCGTCTACACTTTGATGTCCGCGTCGATCTTGCTACGCGCTGCGTACGAGTCGCATGGAAGGATATGCTCGTTCGGTTTCTCAAGACGGAACGGGCGTTGCGCCTGATGCTAGATGAGGTGCGTTTTGCTACTATATACTTCCAGATATATAACTCCACATTACCTACCCCAGACTTTATTACCCCGTTTCCCCCCTCCCCTCCAACCCCGCATTATCGAAACAAATCCCCTCATCACCAAACAAACAAACAAACCCCCCCCCTCCCGCCTCTTCGCTAACCTCTGAATCCTCCAGAAACGCACCCACACCCGCTTCACCTTTAACCACGTAGAAGACTGTCTCCGCTCCCTCCGCCGCACCCGCCTCGCCGCCTCGCTCAGCCCCTACAGCAAAGTCGACCGCCACATCCGCTGGTCCCTCCGCCTACTGCACCCCCTCTTCGGCTGCCCCCCAAACGAACACACCATGACGCTCGAAAACGTCGAAAACGACGCCATTCACATGCTCCTCCTGCTCCGCCGCGCCGCCTCCCTATCCACCGCCCAACTCGCCTACCTCCACGCACTAGCCAAGGACTACAGACACATGGAACAGCAGTTGCGCCGCCTCGACGACGTGTATGCCGAGTTCAAGAGTTATCTCTCTGTACCCGGGTTCCAGATGAATATCTTGCTGCCGGCTATGGTGACGAATGCGGGGCATGTGCCTAGGGATCCCGTGGCGTGGACGGATGAGTTGAGGGAGAAGATTGAGGTGCAGGTGCAGAGGTGGAGGGGCCAGAGGGAGGCGCTGGAGCAGGTGGGTGAGATACTCGAGGCGAGTAATGAGGCCATGGGGTTACCGGATGATGGGTTTGATGAGCTTGGGAGTGAGTTTTGAGTTTGTGGGGGGTTTAATTTCCTGTTGTATTGGGAGGGGGAGAGCCTGGAAGTATGCGTGGATGTGAATATGTGAATATGTGTGTAGACTAGGTTCAACATACGTCTCTCTGTCTCTGCTTTTTTTTGGGGGGGAGGGGGGAAGGGGACAAGTAGCTTTGAAAGGGATTCACGAAGCAAAAAACAATCGACATTGACATCACATGGCAGAAACACACACAACGCTTCCATGGTCAATCCAAGTGTATTATCATTACTTTGCTAGCGCCCTCCCGTCGCCAGGTGCCGAGCGCAACAAGGGGAAAATGGAAACCGCTTAAGTGCTCTTTCTTTTTTCAAATTACCATGCTGTAACAGTGAAAAAAACAAAACAAAAGACGATATTCCCAGGATCTATGCCATGCAGTCGGTGCATGTTGGTGAACAAACGCTCAAAAGACGCCAGAGATGCGGTTGCTGAGGATGGACAAGTAGAAGTAGTAGAAGAAAACAACAGAAAAAAAATGAGGAAGCATTGTCGTAAAAAAGTGGTTTCGTTTACAGCATCAGGGCCGCGCCGAGGAAGACGGCCGATACGCCAAACACGGCAAAAGGAGCGGCTGACAGCAAAGGCGCAGCGCCGTTTGCAGGAGGAGCATCTACGGATCCGGTAGGAGAGGTGCTGGAGCCGGCAGATCCAGAAGAACGCGAGCTCTCAGAGCCGGAGGAAGAAGTAGCAGAAGCAAAGGATGAGCTTGCGCCCGATGTCAATGAGGCGGTGCTGTTAGCACTGTTGGTAATGCTGCCAGAGACCGAGCTCTCGGTAGCCGAAGCGTCAGACGAAGCGGAGCTGGTCTTGGAAGCGGCGCTCGACGACGACGACGAACTCGAGCTCTTGTCGAAAATGGCTTGGATGCGAATCTCGTGGCATTGGGCACCAATCCACTCATCGTAGAGGTTTCCAAAGGCACCACTCATGCAACGCCACCAACGGGTGCTGCCTCCTATGGCGAGCGAGTCATTTTTGCACACGGAGAAGCCACCAGTGTAGATTGCGCCAGCTTGGGGAGGGCCGTCGAATTGGAATTGGCGGTTAGCCACAATGGAGCCTGTGCGGCCAAACTGGTCGTGCAGAATGCCGTCCTTGAGGGTGCAGAAGAGCTCGCCGTCAGAAGCCTGTGTAGAGCAGTCGCGTTAGTATATTGTAGGGTTGTATAGGATGTAAAGGCAGCCAAGCCAAGACTGAGCACGGATGCATACCTGTTGGGCAGTCTCGCGCTTCCTGAGAGACGGGTTCTCGAGAGTGCCAATCTTGAAGGGGGTGTCGACGGTAGTCTTGCAGCCGGCAGGAATAGCCGCGTCGGGAGCAATGCCCTCCTCAACAGCCTGGCCCAGGGCCGTGGCAGCGAGGAAGAGGGGAGCGAACAATGCCGAGGCGCGCATCTTGGACGTTGTGCTGAGGCTATGGGTGGGATGGCTGTGCGAGACGTGCTGACCCACAAGTGCGTGTCGGAGAGTCGTATTGAATTACTCGTTAATAGTAGGGGATTGGTGGGCAAATGTTTTGGGGGGTTAGAATAAGCGTTGCCGGAGCTGCGTCGCGTATTATGGAATTGGGTGAAGAATAGCAGAAGAACAGACGCAACCGAAGAAGGCTTTTGGGGGGTGGGAGAGTGGAGAAGAAGAAGAAGAAGAAGAAGAGGACGAGAGAGAGAGGCTGGCACATATTTGTCTGGAGCAGCCTCGCGCATGCCTGCCACCCACCCACCACGCCCGAGTCGGCAGGACTGGGACCAGCGCAAAGCAAGGCCGATGGGAGCAAAAGCAAGCTGTACCTGCAGATCCCGGCTGGATTGGGCAAAGGGCAACGCGCGGGCTTTTGGCGAGGGGCCCTTGGGTAGATTACATCGTTATCATCGACATGGTTGGCGCCCGGGGGGCCTGTCGCGCGGGAGAAGCAAGACGGCTTGCTCCCATGCCAGTGCAGCTATCTGCATAGGGGCATGGGCATGGGCATGTCCTCGAATACGTACTCACATGCCATCCATGGACGGCGACTGCACGCGCGTACTTGGGATACCAACCTCTCTCCCAATGCGACGATCAGTAAACGGCGGTGGTGGTGGTGGTGCCAACGGGCTAACGGTACTAAGTAGGAGACCAAGACCCAAGTGGCGGGAACGAGGCTTGAGCAGTAAGTAAGTAGTGGTAGCTAACACAAGGCGGTGGCGGCGGGGGTGCAGGTACCCGTTCGTGGGCAGAAAGCGTGGCTTGACCTCACCTGCCAGGCCAGACCGCCCCCTCCCCCCCCGTCAGCTGTGCATGAAACCAGAAAACAAGTTCACAAAGTCCATCGTGCTCATGGCCAGGCTGGGAAAATAACCATTGGGGTTGCGTCGGTCGAGAATTGCGTTTCGCTAATAGTCTCCGCATCATGCGGCTCAAACAGGAAGCAGGAAGCAGGAAGCAGGAAGCAGGAAGCAGGAAACAGGAAACAGGAAACACGCGCCTACTGCCCACCTGCTACACAAAAACACCGTGTCGTCTCCCAATTCCTCGTCGCGTCTCCCTCTATTCACCATCCCATTCACCCCCGCCCTCCCTCGCTGCCGTGTCTTGCTCTCCCCCCGCCTCCATCCCTATCCATAGCAACCCTCGTCTCGTCGCACGCTTGGGCAATGGCATACGCCCGCAGCTCGCCCGCCCTGGCTCGCACCGCCGGGTCCACGGTTCGATCAAGCTTGTTGAGGTCGACCTTGGCCAGCAGCCCAGCCGGCTGTCTGTCCGCGCCCACGGCTGCCACGACCTTGGCAAGCTCCTCGGGCGCACGCATCGCCTCGACCAGCAAGAAACTGTACCATCCCGCCCGGTTCAGCGCCGGCATGTACTGCGCCTGCGACGCTCTGCTGCTCTCGCCAACTCTGACATGTTGGCCGTGTGTGACTCTGTCAAAGTTCCAAATCGGCGTCAGTGCGCCCTCGCACGGCACCATGACGTGCGGGATGCCTTCGATGCTCCACATCTTGGCAAACGCCCCGTAAGATTGATGCGCAAATAGCCCTGCCCTTGACATTAGTCCTTATCATGCCCACGAGCTTGTCGGGCTTGGATTGTGTGGTGTACACTACTCACGCTTTTCATCCTCATTTAACCTCAGCAGACAACTCCCCATCAACTTGGACCCCTCCACCAGGCCCGTGTTCCTAGGCTCAAACTGCCTGTCCAATGCATCAAAAAGCAAGTCGGCCAAGACGTAGAATTCATCCGTCGCCCTTTCCGTCGCTGCGTCGGCAAGCCTCCATGTGCCAGCCTGCGGCACCTCGCTTGCCCTCACACTCAGACGACGTCCATTGTCCTTGGCCGGCTCCGCTGAACCAAGGCTGAGATTTCCGAGGTCCGCGGGCAGTTCTACAGCGAATGTTGGCGGTGCAAAGTGTGCTGCCGCTTGGTGATGTGCCGGCGGAGGAGGTATCGCGTTCCCCTGTTGTGTTGGCGACGGACTGGTAGAGTGATGTGGTGCCAGCCCATGAACTGGGCTATATGGCTTTGGGGGCGCCGACATGCCACTCCAATGCTGCTGCTGCTGCTGTTCTGGGCTGACTGGACTAACTGGAGAACTCACATGCTGCAAGGGATGCATTGGCTGTTGTTGAGGTCCCGACGAATGTGTTGCCGGGATTGGGCTCCCCCATTGTGCTTGTGGAGATTGTCCAGCCATGTGCAGAGGCGTATTCGCAGCATGATTTGGCGTGCCTGCAATAACACCGCTCTCTTGTACCGCATACGAGCCCGGTAGTTCCTGCACCGCCGGCGAATATGCGTTGTGTCCTGCTTGGCCATGACCATGACCATGACCATGACCATGTTGCGGTGCATAGCCCGACGCAGTAGCTGATGGCGGCGGCGTATACGACTGAGTCACAGGTGCTTGCTGCGGTGAGTAACCACCATGTCCCGAGTGTCCCGGAGTCGACGTGAAATAACTCGATTGCTGATATGGACTCGATACCTGAGGTGGTGGTGGAGGAGGAGGAGGAGGAGGAGAAGGACGATGCCCCTGCCCCCACTGTTGCTGTTGCTGTTGTTGCTGCACCTGACCCCACTGCTGTTGTTGCGGCTGCGGACTAGTAGTCGTAGCAGCAGCCTGACCCTGAGGCTGACCCTGATAACTCTGCCCACTCTGCACCACATGCACAGGCGTCTTACTATTCCCCAGCAGCGAGCTCATACTCTTACCCAGTTTATTCAGCATCGGCTTCCCGTTTGTCAGATGCTGATTCACCATTTGTCCAATGATCCCCCCAGACTTCTGGGCATAATAGCTTGATCCTCCATCGTACTTGGCTGCATGCGGAGGTTGGTAGGGTGGGGGCTGCTGCTGCTGCTGATGCTGCTGCGGCGCTGGAGAGGCGTAGGTCCCGTACTGCGACATAAGTAGTACTTTTTGCTTGGTATGTATAAGAAAATAGTATGCAACTATGTGTGGAGTATGTATGTAAGAGGGTAGGTATATGTACAACAGTCTCGGAACTTTTTGACGGGCGGATCGAGCGTCGCCTCTTTTCTCCTCCTCCTCCTTCCCCCCCCCCTCTTTGGCCCGCCCTTCAGCCCCTAAGGCGTCCAGCTGAGCGACCCGCGCGAAGCCAGATGCAGCACGGTGGCTTGTTTACAGCCGCAGTCGTAGCACGATGTTGTTGGCGAAATAGGGGGCTAAGGCTCAAGGCGGCAAGGACGGGGTGGGGGTGTGTGTTAGCGTGACGATCAAAAGTGTCATTTAGTATATAGCAGTGGAAGAAATACAACGGGAAAGAAGTAATATTGACACATGGCCTTGCATGCGGGGGATATTTAAAATAGAAGACCTAAGCTAAGATAAACATTTCCTACCTGGTAATAAGTTATTTTTTTTTGAAAGCGACAAACAAAAACTCTAGACGGCCAAACAATACAATGCCTCAATGTATAGCAGAATCAACCCGACCCATGGCTCCCACCTCGACCAAAATCTTGACCTGATTCTCCTTGTCATGAATAAGAGCCTTGATACCACTCTCCACAAGATCCTCCAACTGAATCTTCCTCGTAATCATCTTATTAGGTTTCAACTTGCCTGCACAAAACATTAATAAACACCACAGCCATAGATTCAAGTCCCCAAAAAAAAACTCACCAGAAGCCAACAAATCCAGCACAGCCTGGAAATCATCCCGCCGATACCCCAGCACAGCCGTATACTTTGCTTCGCGCGAAACCAGCAAGTTGGGATTAAACGGCACTTCCGTTTCCCAAATCGCCACGTTGACTATTGTGCCCTTGGGCCGCACAGCTGTACACGCCGTGGTGAGACTGGCCGGTACGCCTGCGCAGTCGAAAACTACATCCGGACCGCCGTTGCTGAGCGCCTTGCTTATCTTGACGATGTCGTACGTCTTGGGACACAAGACGTGATGGGCGCCAAACTCTCTTGCAAAGCGCTGGCGGGTGCCTGATATTTCGCTAACGATGATTTTGCCTACGCCTTTGGCGACGAGACATTGGACGATGGCGAGGCCGATGGGACCGCCACCGAGGATCAACGCGGTCGAATCGGGAGTTACCGGTGCGGCGGATACGGCATGCCAGGCTACGCTCAGGGGCTCGACCAGCGCGCCTATGTCGAGAGGAATGTTGTCTGGTAGTTGCAAGACTGCGGCTTCGGGTACGACGACGGAGTCGCTCAGGCCGCCGCCACCACCGGATAGTCCGATGAAGCCGCCGTTGAAACAGACATTTTCGCAGCCTGCTTTGCATGCTTCACAGGCTCCGCAGTATATGCTGGGTTGGATACAGACGTTTTGGCCTATGGAGAAGGCAGAGTCGGGTGACCCTACTTCTGTGACGACACCTGAAAACTCATGTCCTAGGGTGATAGGAATCGTGTCTTTGGTACATGGGTGAGGCTCTGTTGGTGCAAAGGTAGGTCCACCGAGATATTCGTGGAGATCCGAACCGCAGATACCTACGTAGGCCGGGGCAATCTGCACAGATATCAGATATTGCTCTCCTCAATCCATGTTATCACACCATCGGAAGGGGGGAAAACGTTACTCTGACTTGCCCCGCTCCACACTCCTGCTGCTCCACATCCTCAATCCGAATATCCTCTTTTCCGTAGTATCGTGCTGCGCGCATTGCTCCAATCCTGTGCCAGGTGTACTGGTTCCTGACCTTGGTCCCAATTGGTTCGTGTCGTGTGTCTCTTGATCAACAATCGCAGTCGCGAAGGCGCTTTCAATGGCAGACATTTGGTGTCCTCCCCTCGCCTTCTTGTATTCTATCAAAAGCACTAGCCCGCCTCGGTTCCGCTTGTTAGGGAGAGATGCGCGCAGTACTTACCCCGTGGCAGGAGTTATACCCCGCGGGGAACAAGTCATGCCATGTGGGTAGGTCCGGGATCTATCGGTCGTTCGCCAGCTCATTGGGCATTGTCTACGGGATTGAAGGAAGCGCCTGGGGATAAGCACGCTCCACAGGGAAAAAGCGCCCTTGATCCGGCATCGCGTGTACCGCATCCAGCTGTTCGGAGGAAGTGGGGTGGGGATAGAACGGGGCGCCGCGCTGACCTCTTTGCGGGGGCGGGGGGGAAATTATGGATTTACTAGCTTGGGTAATCCGCAATCTTGGGCTCCTGGATTTTGCTCCTTGTTTCCGAGTGCTCATGCACTGACTGGCTATACGAAGTCTCCCGTAGAGACACGGCGTAAAGGGAGCAGTTGTGCTTGAGGGACTTGGTCGACTTGCTGTTCGTAGCTGATGAGGGCAGTTACGTTGACGTCAGACAGTGAAGAGACAGGATTAATCATCAGCTCTCACACCAGCTCACGCCATTGTGTGTAACGCACTAATTTCTCAGACAATATAAGCCCATCCCTTCCAGATGAACCTTTCGAGAGAGGCTAACGTATCCGGTTCCGTCCTTGCTATTGTTGTCGTTTTTTGTGTGGTGAGGTAGCGTGAACAAGAGATTGCTAAGTATTGTTCTCAGCGTATGGTCGTCTGAATTATACTAGTTTGAGTAGTGCCTGGAGGGATACTTGGTACTTGATTCGGTTTTGTATTGATTTCCTTTCAGTAGGCACAAAGGCAACGAGCGTGCAATGGTTGCTGAATAACCGAATCCGAAAGCCATGTTGGAAACGCAACGCCATGGTTCTCGCTGAACGTATATCACGTGTCATGAGGTTCCGATGCCGACTTAAGATGCGCCATATGCCGCGTGTGCTCCGTAATCTGACTCGATTGAGAAGGTATGGAGAGGATTGTTGAAAAGGTTACAGGTAGACTATGGACTGACATGCAGGGCCCTGAGCAGCGCTACTATCGAACACCAAAGTAAGTAAGGGCCATATTGCCGCATAGAAGAAGAAGAAGATCTCGGCAATGTGGTCAGCGTTCCAATAACAGTTTCCATGTAGCTATTCAGAATGTTTGACCCTCCATGAATCCGCTTTCGGCATACCAACTTGTTTAAGACGATCATTTTGGAGACTCGCTGGCTAACTAACAATCAATCCGAGAATCAAACCTGTTGCTAATGCCAATTCTTCTCAGCTCCTTTCCAGGTTTCCAGGCAAGACGTCAAGCATGCACGATGATGGAGGTGTTCCTTTTCTGGCCGACTTTTCTTTTTCGGGTCAGTCGCCAGCCAGCACTATGCAAATCACCATAGGCGACAACTGGACTGGGCGAACAGAGTATGGAGATTCAGGGGATTGCTGCATCGTAGTACTTCTGGGGCGGCTTTTGTGTAATGGCTGTGAGCCTCGATTGAAGCTTTGAACAATTTTAAAAGCACAATGCAGCACCATACGACCCACGTGTATAGCAACCAGTAATATTTCCTCGATGGCAGCTCTGGTTGTATCGCGCCATACGTGTAGAGAAATCGGCTCAGAGAACGATGATCTTTTGTGGGGCCAGAGGGGTCGATCCGATTCTCAAAGCGGGCGAGGTCAACAACAGTAACCCCTGTTGAGCTGTGACCTATGCGGCACCAACTCCGTTTTGACAACATAACCCCATCACCCCGTGCATACGCAGTCTAAACGCACACACTACGTACTTGCATCGCTGTCCTTGCAGCACGTGTCGATGAGGCTACTCCCTGGCTTAGTTCTAACGTTGCCAAGTACCGTTGGACACGGACGCTGGCGTTCCGAATCATCGCGAACATGTCACTCCCGTGAAGGTGGTGTCAGCCTGCACAGTATTATAGCAATGGCCTGCCCTATAATACCCGACACTGCGTCCATCTTCTCTGAGTCCAAGGTTGGCTTACTTGTGCAAGTCTCAGGACTACAGCCCTTTGTTCACGTGCTATGCGACAGAAGATACTTAACCTCGTTGATTTGGGCCATTGGACCCTGTCGTTTCCCAAAATAGATTAGTTTTATAACGGTTTTCTATCTCCACTCCGGTCCGAAGGGCATGACAATTCTTCGCACTTCTCATGCCTTTATGCTGTGGTAAGTATCATGGAGATACTCTCGATAGTCAGGTAAGATACACAGGTAGTACTGTACTATATAGAGAACAGGGATTATAGCAGTGGACTCATTAGTTTCACTGCGATGCAAAGGTGCGTAGATGTCCGGGGCGAGAGAAGAATAGTGTAGACTAGCCTTGAAAAGATAGGATACAACCGTGGATATATTATTGCACTAACATAAGCGCTAGAGCTGTACAGGAAGCCCCCGTGTCAAATAACGCAAATCAACGGGGTTGAATAATACTTGCTATGCGATGCATGTACATGTACGTACGCACTCGTACTCGACAAGATCGACATGGGACTACCGCCAGGAGCCGGCGTTGTCCAGACAACAGACTACCACGGCGTAGGCGTACAGCAAAGGCAGCGGAGATTGCAGTTGTTGAGCGAAGCTGCGAGCAAGTCTGGGTCTCGTCATGGATTCCGCCAATGCTTACCCGACCCAAAGTCAGGAGAAAAAAGGCCTAATAACGGGAGCTAGTCAGGATGCGAAGGCTGTCCCGTCCAGGCCGACGTCATCGAGTGGCGAACTACACGCGTTTTTCGTCATTCCAGACGCCAAGCGAAGACGGGGGTATTTGTCCCTGCAGCGAATCATGACACAATCGAGCGGCTGTGTCGGCAATACTACAGCCTCTGCCTCGTTCAACATGTACAATGCTCCAGCTAGCAGACACAAGCTATACACACGCCGTGTACACTAGCAGCCCTCGACTAGTTCGCCCGTTCTGCTGGTTAATCTTCTTGAAACCTCCGCTTCAAATTTTTCCAGGCACCGCAAACTCCCAACGCTATGGTTCCAAACACTACACGCGACCGTTTGCCGATGGCCGGTGATTCACGCGGGCCAACTGCGGCCATGTCTCAAGCGTCGGTCGGTGTCAAGCTCCCCAACCAGGGTGCGTGGGCGGCAATTTAGTTGCGGCCATCGGCTACCCACCGCATCCAGGAAGGAGTTCACCGAGAACTGACCGAGAGCCATTTGTTCGCATGGTCTTGCTGGTATAGAGGACGTGGAGGTGTCTGTCTCGCTGCCTGCTGACCTCTTCGTTCTCCCAGCCATCAGAGGCTGTCTGCCCTGATAACAGCCCCCATCCTACGTACTTTTCAGCTTCCACGGGGTATCTTTTGACGTCGCCTATCCGTCAACACAACCATGTCGACGGAGCTGGAGACTGCTGAACATGCAGGTGCTAAATCTCACCTGTCGTTCCTCACTGAACCGACCGGGGATTCCGCTATTGATTCCGACCTTCAATACATACGCGAGCTCAACTGGGCCGATACCGCTCCTGGACCCATTGCAGAATGGCCTCGCGAATTACTGGTGCTCATCAACCTGGCCATGCTCAGCCCCCAGCCCCAGCTATTCCTATTAGGCCGTGATTCGACCATCTTGTACAACACAGCGTATGGCAGGTTGCTGCGCGATTATCACCCGCTGTACCAAGGCAGGCCAATAGCTCTCAACACTGCAATGGTTGGGCATGGCCCGGCAACACTAAGACTTACACAGCCAGAACATGACGGGTCCGGCCTGGACAACGAACACCAAATACCGTGTTTCTTCCCACAACATGGCCTTCTCCAAGAGGTTTTCCTCAGAGCGACAATGGTAAAATTACCACTATCCTTGGATGGATGCCACGTCACAGCTTATGACACGACCAAGGAAATGCTGCAGCGTCGTCGTGAGCGGTCGCTAGATCACATTCGTCGTGCTTCCAAAGATGCCACAGATTTAAATGCCTTGTGGGCTTCAACATTGCGTGGTATATCAAATGGTAATGGTGATATATCGTTTGCGGCCATATACTTTGCCGACAGTAAGCTCGTGCGTGAACATGAGACCGGATTCATATCGAATGAGATTAGCACCGACGAATTCAAACTTGCTGGCACGGTGGGCTCCTTCACAACACCGCTCCCATCAAGGATCAAGCGTGGCGAAGACCAGGCATGGATTAAATCTATTTACAAAGCCGTCGATTTGCGTATTCCTGAGCTCCTTTATGCAGCAGACGGATCCTTGCCACCAGAGATGTGCCATGCATCTAGGGACCGGTGCTATGGTGATGATTCCCACCAGGCAGTCATTCTGCCTAGTATCATGGGAAAATCCGGAAATCTTTACGCTGTGTTGATCCTTGGACTGGCACCACGGTGTTCTTACGATTCTTCTTATCAGGCATGGGTGGGGACGCTGCATCAACACTTTTGCAGCAGTGTAGCAGCAATTACAATTGCGGAGACTAGGAAGCTTGCCAAAGAAAATGACCAAAAACTGATAGCAAAAGAGAAGGAGATGTTTGCAAAGGAAATGGAATTGAGGCAACAAGAGGCTGTGTTAGCAACAGGCAAGATGCAGCGCATGTTGCAAGTAATCGAAGCTGCCAGGTTAGTCTTCTGCATCGTACGGACGAGCTGTGCTGACCTTTTAGCAAAAGTATCGGTTTTTTCGAATGTACCCTGTCAGGAAAGCTGACGCAAACTAATGTGAGAAAAGAAAGCGAGACGAAATGCATGTACTAATGGCAAACAGGAGGCGTTTTGTAGCTTGAGCGGTTGTTCCAGAAACGTTGATGTACAACATCAGACAATGTTGATGGAGCTTTGCGAGCAAGATGATCACCCACTTCTAAAATCCCATTGGCAATCCTTGGTGGCTGGCCGGTCAACAACGCTCGCAGTAAGGTTTCGGCCTCATGGCTGTGAAAGAAAATGGGTCCAGATAGCCTGTGTTCCTATGCTTGATGACGCACTCGGTGTTGTAAGCATTACAGGTTGTGTAGCAGCTCTCGACGTTCAGCAAACGATCGAATACGGGACCATGGTCGACGGTGCTGGGGCCTCGGACCAAGTTCGCCTGAACAAGTCACGTCTTTTGACTTTCATTGAAAATTCGAATATCGGCGTTCTGGTCATTGATGAGAAAGGAACGCCCTCTTTTGTTAACAAGGCTTGGTTCCAGATGACTGGTCATCCTTCAATGCCAGTAAAGAGTATACAAGTTCGCTCCATTGTCTTCCCTGAAGATATATCGGAGTTTGATGCACGCCTGGAGAATATTTTCAAGTTTCGAAAGTCTGACAGCTTTCACATTCGGCTGAAAAGTCTTCGCAAAGGAGCGCCCAATTACTCGGAGCACACCTGGGTGCAATTTGCCGCCTACCCAGATATAGTAGACGATGGTTCTCTCCAAATAACGACTACTATTACCGACATCAGCGACTTTAAGTATTCTGAGATTCTTCAGCGTGAAAAGCTAGAGGAGGCTATCGAATCCAAGCGACAGCAAGAAAAGTAGGTGCTCTTCCATCCAAGGTCGTGCCAGTCAACTAATCTAGCATAGTTTTGTCGACATGACTAGCCACGAGGCATGTTATTTCAATTTATTTGGTCAAGTCAGAATTACTGTCTAACACGTCGTAGATCCGAAATCCTCTAGGCGCCGTTATGCACTGTGCGGACGCTTTGTCACATTCGCTTTCCGAAATGAAATTGATACTCGACCACGCAAGCCGTCAAGATGCTCATAACATAGACCACAAAACTACCACGAAACGACTTCAAGAATGTACGAGCAGCATGATTGAAGCTGCCGACACTATCATGGCCTGTACAGTACATCAAAAGCGAATCATTGACGACATTCTCTCCATCTCAAAGCTCGACTCTAACCTTCTAGAGATATGTCCCTCGGCCTTCCAAGTGAAGACATTTCTTGAGCAGGTCGAGAGCACGTTTAGGTTCGAAGCTACGCAGGCTGGTGTCACATTCACGATAACACCCGACCCTTCTCTCAGTCAGCTCGGAGTTGACTGGATCGAAGCAGATCCCGGCAGAATCATGCAGGTTCTCGTAAACTTGGTTGCCAATGCTATCAAGTTTACAAAAGATAGCCCCAAGAGTAAAAATGTTACTCTCCGTGTTGGCGCTTCCGCTTCTCGCCCTACAGATGTATTCGCCGACTTAATGATGGTAGCATCCCCAACCTCTTCTCGGAAGGAAGAGGCCAAGGCAGCCGTAGCAGCAAATGGACAGGAACTCTATCTATGGTGTAGCGTGAAGGACACAGGCTGCGGTATGGACTCTGCCTCTATGAAACGTATCTTCTCGCGGTTCATACAAGCTTCCCCCAAAACATACAGCAAGTACGGCGGTTCTGGCTTGGGGCTTTTCATTAGCCGAAAGCTAGTAGCTTTGCAAGGCGGAGAGATTGGTTTCGCATCTCAAGAAAATGCAGGATCAACTTTCGCCTTTTACGCTAAAGCTTCACGAGCAATTTCGCCGGAATCTGCTCTTACTGTTCCTACTTCACCCAGTAGGGCCACAGAAGCTAGTAATACCTCTCGACATCTCGTCGGTCCACAAAGCCCTGAGTCTCGAGACAAACGACAGCTGAGTGTTCTTCTTGTCGAAGATAACATGGTCAATCAACGCGTCTTGAAGAAGCAGCTGCAACAGTACGGTTACATTGTCCATACGGCAGACAATGGACAGAAGGCATTTGACTTCATCAAGACTTCACGACATTGGAAGGCGTATCCAGATACTACTGCCTCGGACTCATGCATCGATGTTATTCTTATGGACGTGGAAATGCCTGTCATGGACGGTCTCCAATGCGCAAAGATGATACGCACCGCACAAAACAATGGGCAAATCAACAAACACCTCCAGATAGTTGCTGTTACTGCGAATGCAAGGCCTGAGCAGCTGAAGCGTGCTACAGAGGCCGGGATGGATGACGCAATCTCCAAACCATTCCGAGTGAAAGACCTAGTACGTGTGATAGACAGACTGGGTGCTCTAGAATGAAGCGAAGCTATGCAGTCGAGCTTATGGGTGGGTAAATCGCTACGAATACGGTCCTGTTGAGCTCTGCACTTCAATGTACTGCCTGGACTGTCCTGATAATCATAATATCTCATTTCCTGTACAGCCTTGCGTTAAGTAGAGGTGGAGATCTGCCAAGCGGGCGACGCAGTGAAAGACGAGCTAGTTGATTTTGCGATGAATGTACGGTTGGTGCGCTGTCCCATTACGTATATATCTCACTTCATCCACATTGGATCCCTCTCACTGCGACCAGCAGCTTTGACTCTACTGACTTGACTGCTACTCACGGTACGGTATTATCAATGGGCTATAATCCACTAGTGCTAACCTGTGACAGATGAGTTTCAATCTAGACGTGCTTTTCTTTGAACCTGCTGACTTGTGCCTGGACAACACGGCGGCCGACTTACACAAGCATGAAACTTCTCAAGTCAAAGATGGAGAATTACTGTGGATGGCTGATGTAAACGACGAAGAGTTGGAAGAAGGAGAGTGTGAACAGAGGCGTCTTCGATCCACCATTGCACATCTCAATCAACAGTGCGACCATTGGAAGGCACAGGCTGAAGAATACGGCAAGATCATTGCAGAACTGGATCAGCGGACATCCCGGGATACAGCTCACCCGAAGCTTCCTCGCGACATCCTGCGCCGCATCAATCGCCTGGAAGGCGAAACGGTACGCCAGCGTGCAGAGAACGCTCAACTAAAGAAGATGCACAAGACAACTGAGCGCGAGAACGTCCTCCTTGGCACTCAGAACGAGAACAAGGCCAATAAACTCAAAGGTGCAAACATAAAGGTTAAAAACGCTAAGCAAGTTGCTAGTAAAGAGGAGGGAAAAGCCAAAGAAGCTATGGAGGCCAAACAACGCCATCTCCCATCCCAGCGCAAGATGAAGAAGGAACGCGATAATGCTCTGGCTGCGATGCAGGAACAAAAGAAGTCGAATGAAGGACTCCGCGCAGAGCTTGATACAGAACAGTCTGGCGCTCCGCACATGCGCGATACTGCTGTTGATCCGGATAACACTGTGGTTGTGGTCCCGATTGAATTTGAGGCTCGCTGGGTCGATGTTCAGCGCATCATGGTGGAGTTGAATCGGCACCAGATAGCCTGGACCGCTGATATCGAGGCATGGTACAAAGAATGGCGTGGGCTTGGAAGGAAAAGTGGTTAGACTTTTCTTGTGGGTTCTTACAGAAAAGGAGGAATTGTGAAGATGTAGGAGAATATGCTTAGTGGACAAGACGGCTGTAGAGAGAGAGAGGGGCGGAGAATGACGGTCAACGCTCCAGGTGTGCTTTGGAGGCTTCCTGTCGTTATACTGAAGCATGTCATGATGAAGAGGTGTATGTACCTGTAGGGTCATGGAGAAGCGCCGAGTAGTCGTTCACCGCTTCCAGATGATGATGATGATGATAATGAGATAATGTGTAATACTCCAGAAACTCGTATTCGATACTTGTGGATACATTCGGCCCGTTTTCCAGTTGCAACTCCTCCAAGTGAAGAATGATGATATATGTACTACTGCCGTCGTCCTCATGCTTGGCATCTCCAGCCTCATAATCGCTCCCAAATCAGTCTGACGCACGCCGCACGACCCTCCGACCCACATTGCTCCGCCAAACCGCTCCGGCGAGGTCGAGAGAGCCAACCATGTCCAACTTGCTACCACTTCTGCCCTCGCACTTCACGCCGCGCGAACGCTCCTACTCGCAGTCTGCCGCCCTAGCCAGATCCGCATCTGCATCTCCGTCTGCATCCACGGCCCGCCCGCAGTCCGCAGTTCAATTGCCGCCGCCGGGCCACAACCTCGCCATGAACGGGACGCCCAGTCAAGGGTCGGGCCTACGCTACCCCTCGAATAAGAAGACCATATACGACCGCAATCTGAACCGGAGCAAGAATGCAGAGCTCAGTCGCGCAGCCTTTGCATACCTCTTCATCGAAATGATTGCCTATGCGCAAAAGGGCGCAAAAGACGTGGGCGGCTTGGAACAAAGGTACGTTGCGCGCAAACCTCACGCCTTCTCTACCTACACTAGATGACATAGCATGGCTTTGCTAACAAGTACCTCCCTTCCCTTAGACTAAACAGCCAAGGCTACCCCATCGGCCTCCGTCTTCTGGATCTTCTTCTCTCCCGCACCGCCAACCCCCTCGCCTCGATCCGCCCCACGCGCATCCTGCCGCTCCTACAATTCATCGCTCAGCAACTGTACCGCTACCTGTTTGGCCGCCCCGCCGATGCCTTGGAAAAGTCGGGCACAGACCCGGGACAGTACATGCTGTTTGACAACGAGCCCATGGTCAACCAGTACATTTCGCTACCAAAGGAGCTGTCGAGTCTCAACTGCGCGGCATTTGTGGCGGGAATTATCGAGGGCGTGTGCGATGGTGCGGGGTTCCCGACTGAGGGTGTTACGGCGCATAGCGTAGGGGAAGAAGAGGGTAAGGATGGGAAGGGGCTTTGGCCGGGAAAGACGGTGTTTTTGATTAAGTTCAAGCCAGAGGTGCTGGAGAGGGAGGAGATTCTGGGGAGGGGAGGGGGATGAGTGGCGGTAGGAGATGGATGGGTATGCGTGATGAAATGTTTGCATAGCGAGGGCGTTATGGGCTGGGCTGCATTTCTGGTTTCTGGATATTTTCGGTCCTTGCAGCGCGTGTGTCAATTATACGTATGTTCGATTCTAAGATCGCGTGCGGCAGAATGGGTGTACTGTGTGCGGGATACGTGTGATATGAAAGGCATTTTTGGGCCTATGTGACTAACGTGCAAATATACTCCGTGTAAGTAATCAGAACTCGACTTCTTACTATCACCGACTACCACAAGAAGCAAGTGGAGCGACACGTGATGTTTGCGTCGATTACAAATTGGGGCCGGCGAGAAGGTCCTTTGCTCAGTACGTATAGAATGTTCTACAACATTGCAACTTCTTAAAAAAGTCACGACTTCAAAACGACCCTGCCCCCAACCTACCTTACACAACTCCACAGTCGCATTTCAGTACTACATCAAAAGGAAAACATCCAAATATCCAAAACAGCCATGCCAACAGAAATCTCCGCCCCTCTTCACTTCCGCACCCTCCTAAACGCCCACACCTATCTCATCGCAGACTTCTACGCAACCTGGTGTCCACCATGCAAACAAATCGCACCCGTCTACAACCAATTCTCCAACGCACATTCTGTACCCGGAAAGTTCGCTTTCGTCAAAGTCAATGTCGACGAGCAGCGCGAAATAGCGGGGCAATATGGGGTTACGGCTATGCCGACGTTTATGCTATTCAAGGACGGGAAGAAGATTGAGGAAGTCAGGGGTGCGGATGTGAGGGGGTTGAAGGCGATGGTGGAGAAGGCTGGCGGGGACGTTAAGGCGATGGAAGAGAAGGCGAAGAAGACTGAGGAGGCAAAGAAGGCGACTGAGAATGGGAAGGGAGAGGAGGAAGAGAAGACAGTTAGTGGGAGTTATGGGATGACCGGAGGAAATCATTGGAAGATGTCGTTGAATTAGTGTCGTGTGATGATACCCCCGAATTGAGAATATAATCTATTTTTTGCATTTTGATGGGTTTAGTATGCTGCATTCCGTACTCGAGTTAGAACGCGGGGTGGCTAGTAGCTCTGTAGGAAGAGAATAGCCTATGCTATCCATACAGTAATCTTTTCACGTGTTTGTACCCACATTCAAGACTAACATCAGCAATTGCTTTGTGTGGCAAGATTTGAAATCAACCCATTCGTTGTAGTGACGCTGGATTTGTAAACCCTGGTCAGATGGCTGGGTAAAGAGAGGACACCTTGCGTGCTAAGCGATCGCCAGCGCAGGACCCTGGAGGCAAGCCCTCTAGCTCGACTCCGTGTTCCCCACCGCTCTTCAACATAAGTTTGGAGCTCCCAATTGCACCGTTTGAGCTTCCTCCTCTCAAACCCTAAAATGTTGTTCCGCAATTTCATACCCGCGGTCATTGCGCTGCTCCCCGCCATTGCTTCGGCAGAAGCCGTCATTGACCTCAACCCCTCCAACTTCGACGATGTTGTCCTCAAGTCCGGCAAGCCCGCCCTTGTAGAGTTCTTTGCCCCCTGGTGCGGTCACTGCAAGAACCTCGCCCCCGTCTACGAGGAACTTGCCACCGTCTTCCAGCACGCTGGTGACAAGGTCAGCGTTGCAAAGGTTGATGCGGATAACCACAAGTCGCTCGGCAAGCGCTATGGCGTCTCAGGTTTCCCCACCCTCAAGTGGTTTGATGGAAAGACCGACAAGCCTGTCGATTACAAGGGCGGACGTGACCTTGAGAGCTTGAGCAAGTTCATTACGGAGAACACCTCCGTCAAGCCCAAGATCAAGGCCAAGCTTCCCAGCCAGGTCGTGTACCTTGACGACAAGAGCTTCAAGGAGAAGGTTGGAAAGGACCAGAATGTGCTTGTTGCCTTTACTGCTCCATGGTGCGGACGTACGTTTTGTGGTTCCAATCTATCAAATTGCCCTTCGCTGACGTGCATACAGACTGCAAGACCCTCGCCCCTGTTTGGGAGACTCTCGCAAACGACTTTGTCAACGAGCCCGATGTCCTGATCGCCAAGGTCGACGCCGAAGCCGAGAACTCCAAGGCCCTTGCTCAGGAACAAGGTGTCTCTGGCTACCCTACCATCAAGTACTTTGCCAAGGGCTCCACCGAGGCTCTCCCATACAATGGTGCTCGTGCCGAGAAGGACTTTATCGATTTCCTCAACGCCAACGCTGGCACTCACCGCGCTGTCGGTGGTGGTCTTGATGCCACTGGTGGTACTATCGAGGCCTTCAACGCTGTCATTGAGAAGTTCAAGGACTCATGGGCTGACGGAGCCGAGGAGGCCAAGACTCTTGCCGCCACCCTGCAGGACAAGTACGCACAATACTACGTCAAGGTCTTCTCGAAGATTGGTGCCAACAAGGAGTACGCTGAGAAGGAGCTCAAGCGTCTGCAAGGCCTCATTGCCAAGGGCAACCTCGCACCTGAGAAGATGGATGACTTGGTGAGCAGGAGCAACATCCTGAGGAAATTCATTGGTGAAGAGGAGAAGACTGAGTTGTAGACGACTCGTCTCATGTAGTGATGGATGACGTTGGAGAGATGTTGATACCATTGGTGTGGATGCATTATGATAAACAGGATAAGAATACATGTGGTGCAAGAACGCCACGAGGAAATGACAAGAAAGGACATGGAATAAAATAGTTTGTAGATGTATCAAACTGAAATATCAATTTGCAAGCGTTGTAAATGCATGTTATTGACCCTCTACCTCCAATCAACATGTGAACCGTGAGGACCTGCCCTTCATGTCCGTAAGAACCTATTCAATTCCAACCCCACCATTTCTCATTTCCCCGATCCACTCCCTTTACTCCCATCCCCACTCTGAATCGTAGCCTCGAGATTATCAAGTCGTCTTGACATATCATCCACTGTAACAAGAAAAAACACAAAAAAATCATTAGCCATCCATTCATTCCCATTCTCTCTCTTTCCCCCTTTGAGAGTGTTTAATTAATCCTTACTTTTTGAAAGCAACTCGCTACTTATCGAGTTGAACTTTGTATTCAACTGATTGAGCAGGTCGTCTACTACGGCTGTGAGTTCGCCTGATGCTTCGGGGTTGTTTGAGGAGACGGACTAAGTGGGGCTTTTATTAGTTTGTCGAAGGGGAATGGTTGTTGTGGGTGGGAGAAGGGAAGAAACGTACTGCGGTGTCGCTTTGGGAGCGGTCGCCTAGGGGTTGTGGGGTTGCCATGGTGTGAGTTTGCTTTAAAGGGGAAAGAAAAAAGTGTATGCTTAGGTTTGGAGTAGGGTGGTATTTTTTTTGGTGGACTGTAAACTTGTAATCGATGTCGCGTGTTACGGGCAGTGCGGGCGGTGCGGGCGGTGTGAAGGGGGGGGGGGGCACAACACGAAAGCACGTGCTTCGTTGTTCGTCCGCCGCGGTCAGTTTCCTATTTTGTCAAGGCGGTGAGAGATGCTCTAGCGTTGGTTTTCTGCCGTTTGGGAACTTTTGGGGGAATTGAAATTTTGGGTGAAGCTTGGACACTAACGTTTTTTGTTTCCTCGCGCCCGCCAGGATTGCAACTTCCACTTTTTTTTGTGCGATATTACAACAATCTTCCTTTCTGACTTTGTGTGTCTTTTTTTCATTTGCGCGCACAAAAACATACGACAACTATGGGGAAAAGTAAGCTCAAGACTGCGCTTATTCACCAGCAAGGGCGCAACATTAAGCTGGAGAAGCAGCGCAAGCATGAGAAGCAGGTGCAGAAGCGGAAACAGAAGCGCGATGGGGATGAGGCGCATGAGGATGATGAGGAGGGTGGAGTACCGCTCGATGAGGTAGAGGTCAAGGTCAATGGCAAAGCGAAGAAGGACAAGAAAGATAAGAAGGAAGGCAAGTCGCCAAAGGCTGCGCCCGCCGTCAAAGAGGTCGAGTGGGAGACTGAGGGTAGCGAGGATGAGAGCGATGACGATGAGGCGTCTGAGCGACCTGCGCTCGACCTTTCGCACCTCGACGACAGCGAGAGCGACATTAGCTCGGATGAGGAGGAGATGCAGGCTGAAGATGACGAAGAAGGCGAGGACGACGACGAAGAGGAGGATGACGACGAGGGTGACGAAGAAGACATTGCGCTTTCAGATCTCGACTCGATCGCCTCGGAAGACAAAGGCGACATCATCCCCCACCAACGACTCACAATCAACAACACCGCTGCCCTCACCGCCGCCCTGCACCGCATACAACTGCCCTATTCGAAGCTCGCCTTCTCAGAACATCAATCCGTCACCACGGATGAGCCCGTCGAGATTCCCGATGTCGAAGACGACCTCAACCGCGAGCTCGCATTCTACAAGCAGTGTCTGTCGTCTGTCAAGGAGGCCCGGCAAAAGCTCAAGAAGGAGGGTGTGCCATTTTCACGACCGGCAGATTACTTTGCGGAGATGGTCAAGAGCGACGAGCACATGGGCAAGATCAAGCAGAAGCTGATTGATGCCGCGGCTGGCAAGAAGGCGGCTGCTGAGGCGCGCAAGCAGAGAGACTTGAAGAAGTTTGGCAAACAAGTCCAGGTTGCAAAGATGCAGGAGCGGGCAAAGGAAAAGCGGGATACCATGGAGAAAATCAACACCCTCAAGCGAAGTACGTTGCTTTGCACACTTGCTAAGACATGTATATGCTAACGGATATGACAGAGCGACAAGGCGCAGATATCACCTCCACCAACGAAGAAGATCTCTTTGACGTTGCTGCTACAGCCGAGGACTCCAAGTCTGACCGTCGCGCCGGCCGTGGTGGCGCCGATGGCAAAGCGTTCAACGCTAAGCGCCAGAAGAAAGATGCAAAATACGGTTTCGGGGGCAAGAAGAGGCATTCTAAGAGCAACGATGCGCAGTCTAGCGCTGATGGCCGGGGTTTCTCTGTTCGCAAGATGAAGGGTAAGCCCAGCAGTGGCGGTGGTGCGAGCAAACGGCCAGGAAAGGCGAGGAGAGCGAAGATGCATTAAGGGACCGTAAAGGGTGGAGACACATGCATGTGTATGGGCGCTTTTGGCGTTAATAGGGCTTGTTGAGAAAAGATGGAAAAGAACGTATGTATTATGTTGAACTTTTTTTGGTAAGAAGAGGACGAGAAGTCTTTTCTCTTCCTACTATCATATCATACACCAATGCGAAGTAACGCAATGGACATGAGTTGAGCCACTTTTTTTTAGAAGTGCTTTCATGCCTGTGAACTTAAAGGCATTTAGGTTTCACAACCGTCTCATTATTCAGTGTTTCTCTTCGTTACCCATTCTCACCACTATCTTCCCCCTTGCCCTACCCGTTCTCAACTTCTGGTACGCTTTCGGTACATCTTCAAACTCATAAACCTCATCTATCACCGGCTTCACCTTTCTGCTCGCTACCAGCTTTCCTAGCGCGGTAAAATCGTCAAAGTTCGTCAAAGCGAACCCAAATGAAAACGGGCGCTGTCCCCCACCCAGCCATGTCGGAACCAAAAACCGGAATGCGAGGTCGTACAGGAATGATAGACTAACTTGTGATCCAACTTGTACGTACTTTGCCCCTGGTTTTGTGAACTCAGGGGCTTTCCAGTACAGTTCTGATGGATGCCCAACATTATCAAGAATCATATCATACTGCTTCGACCCACTCGCAAGAACCGCGGCGACATCATTCTTCCGATAATCAATCACTTCATCCGCGCCCAGATCCTTGCAAAGCTGTACGTTCGCACCTGTATCTAGTCAGCACACCTCGTTGCAAACCCCAACTTTGAACCATACGTACCCGAACAAGTCGCCGTAACATGACACCCCAACGCCTTCGCAATCTGCACCGCAAACGTGCCCGTCCCGCCCGACCCCCCATTAACCAACACTCTATCCCCACTCTTCACATTCCTCGCAAGACACTGATAAGTAACCAACCCACACACCCCCATCGCTGCCGCACTCTCCACCTCCAACCCCTCCGGCATCGGAACCGTACCCACCCTCGACCCAACAATGTACTCCCCTAACGTCCCAAACTGAGTTTTGGGCTCCAACTTCCCGAATACCAATTGCCCGACTTTGACGGAGCAGTCGGGACCAGTGGAGATGACGCGGCCCGCAAAGTCGAGACCGGGAGTTGCGGGTTTGCGGATGGCGAGGCGCGGGATTAGGGGCAGCTCGGCGAACTTGAAGTCGACTTGGTTGAGGGTTGCGGCGTACACACGGATTAGGGATTCGCCGGAGGACAATGGGCGGTGGGATGTGGGGAGTGGGGCTGAGTTGTTGATTTGGATGGCGGATTCGAGGGTTGTGGTGCAGGTTGTCCATTGCCAGGCGCGCATTGTGGTTGGGATGGTGGTGGTGGTGGTTTCGGCGGTGGACACGCCGGTTGTGGTTGTTTGTGACATTGTGGATTGGTTAGTTGGAAATACGGGGAAAATCAAATGTTGACTTTCGTCGTGCATGAATTCTCGATATGATATATATTCATGTTTCTTTCTGTTGGTTGTGAAGTGGTACTTTTGGCGCTAGGTAATCGGATCCCCACACGGCGAAGTTAAGAAGTTGGTGATGGTGTAATGGTTTAATGGGCATTGACATGCATATATCGGTAGACGGCTTGAAGAAGATCTCTCAAGCTTGATATTTGGAGCATTATGGGGAAAAGAAGGAAAAGGAAGGAAAAGGATGGCGTGATGGCGTTGTGGGTACGTTGAGGCGTTGTAGATTTGCCGACGCTACTAACCCCGGACTTCCTGCATGTGTAGTGTACGTTAGGCGCGGCCACCAATACCAGGCCTTTTCTTTCACATGATGAACGTATTGTACAGAATAGGTTTCTGAGGCTTTCTAGTTCCGCAATATGCTCATCCATCTTGTTGTGTGCTTTACAGTCACCAAGTTGCAGTAATTTGACCGCTGGAGGGAGGGAGCGCCTCACTTCGACCTCATATTATCTCTCTAAGCGGACCCATTCGTTTTATCCAAATCATTTCCACTAACTACCATCATCGTCTCGAGTCTATTTCTAGCCATAGCTATCGGACACAACCTGGAGGAGGATGCAGGAGTCTGTCATACACTGGCTGCTTGGTTGAGATGCCAAGAATTTGGTAGGCGCAGGTAATACAGCGGTTGTTGCACGTCTCGATGCTGTCGTCAAGCAGTTTGGCCTTACGGAATCACCCTTTCTCGAACGAGAGAGACTCGTATATGGACGTCTTGGTCGAGGTTACAGCGGTATCCTCCGATATTTTGGCGTTGGAGAAAATGCAATACTTTCGCAGTTCGCGAGCCCTAAACAGTCGATATTTTCGCTTCAAATCTGCTGCTCAACTGTAGTGTCATATTTGACAAGCAGAAATAAAGACAAGCATCTTTTGAAGGATCTATGAGGCCGTGATTTGACTGCATATTGATATAATAGTCGAAGTTTTGATAGGCATATCTATTAACATTTTGTATTTAAAAGAAGGACAGTGTCACTTTATGGATACTATTTCGCCGTGATGGTGGCCTTTTCGCTTTGTTGCATTTTGCGTGCGGCGTCATAGATTTTACCCATTTGGTCGTAGTATTGCTGGACTTCGCCCTCCTCATCACCTAAGAGTTTAGATTAGAAGCTGGGTGATAAGATTTCGGATAACCTTACCAGCGTATTCACTTATGAGGTAAACAAACTCTGCAGTCTTCAGAGCGCCAATATCAACTACTGAAACGCAGAAGACATCTTATGCAATTGGTCAGTCAAGTACACTATGAGATGGAAAAGTTCGAACGCTTACATCCTAGGACACCTTTTTCAACCTTCTTGAAGCCGTCGCTATGGAAATTCCACCGCCACATCTACTATTGTTAACAAAGATGCTGTTTAGTAGTAGATTGTGACTTACTCTAAGATCAATGCGGATGATTGCGTTATGGTGCATATAAATGAAGTATTCTTTTGTATCTGTGACGCCGATTTCCGTGTTGCCGAGGAACTGGTTTAGTGCAGCATTTACGACTGCCTAGATCCCAAGAGTTCAGCTTGGTCATAAGCTTATTGAGCCAAGTCATACCTTAAATCCACCGACCAGTTTGACTTTCGTATTGCCTCCCGTAGCAGCTCCAAAAAATTTATCGATAGCATCATTAACTTCATCTGCAGGCTACAAAGAAGCCACATATCAGCACTGAGGAAAGAAGTTACCTATCTCAACAACATAATTTATCTGAAACCTTGCATGTTGAGAAACGTTTTTTGCGAAGGGCACGGATTCCGGGTACTTCAGTCTTCGCTGTATTATCTGCATTCAAGAACTTCCTAGCATCAACTTATGAGCAAGTGAACCTTTTGAGCTTGAGAGAGCCTATGCTAACTCTGTGATCTCTCCCTCATATTTGTCTAGGACTGCATCGATCATCTTTTGCAACATTTCCAATTCTTGTATGGCGGCGGCCTCTTTCTCCTTATCCGCCTCCTTCAACATATTCGAAATTGAGTTTCCCATGGTGTTGGTTGGTTTAATTGTATGAATCAAATAAAAAGGAGGTCGGAGTTAATTGCACTGGGTTATGAGGGAAATGATGAAGAAATTGAAACAAAAGAAAGGTCACTCAGCGGCCTTCACACTCCCTCTTATATGGGCATATTAGGAGGCGAATCTACCCACAGCTATATAGGTCACGTGTTCTAAAAGTCGAAATCTCGCTGATTTAGAATAGATTGCAAGCCGCGGATTTGCTTCCCATGCAGGTGACTACAAGCCACAACTTCCAAGAGCGCTCAGCTCGCCACCGAACCATGACTACGAATCAATATATGCTGGCCTAGACAACTTTCAGTAAAATAACCATCACGTGTAATACTTCTTGCCCATTAATTTTCCAGTACAGCCCACCTTGACGCAGCCTGATGCAGATTTCGTTGGTGGGACCCCTACGCTTAGTCGACAATGCTCAGCCTTATACATGGTACTCGGCGAACCCGCGAAGAAAATCTAGAACATATTTTGGGCATCTTGGCTCGTATCTCGCGAAAAGGGTACGGATTGGGCTAGTCTGAGCCAATTCTGATTGACACTGATAATCGTGATGGTGTAGTGATTACGGACATCACATTGCATTGAGCAAGTAGTGTGCCCAAATTCTGAGCTGGAGCTTAAACCTAGAGCTCTTGCCCTGGAACACAAATAAAAAATCCAGTCGTGGATCGTTTTCACACCATTTTTTAGATTTTCAAATATGGAATGAGTGTGCTGTTGCTACGTGTGGACAATCATCAGTCAGAATATCTTTGGACGGTATGTTTCGTATTTACAAGTACAACATAAGTACGGCAATTCCTTTGATGTGCTACACTGACATTGTCCAAGATTCCAAGGTAGACTATGGGCTACGGCGGCACAGAGCAGTTCATGCAATTGCGGGCGGGCGGCAAGGCCGGCAGGCTGGACCAATCCAGCCCACATGGCGTTGAAAGAGAGCCCCTTCCAGGTGGTGGCACTCGGCCATGTCCTTCTTATTGCCGAAAAAAGCAACGGCAAGTATTGGATTAGGCTTATATGTGTCCATTCGGTCCTAGCGCATGGCCGCTTTGGTATAAGTATAGATCGCTTAAGTAAGTTCGTTCTGCTAGCGCTTTGCAGGGATCTTAAATGTGAATTCGCTTGCATAAGGACGGAGCTTAGAGTATGGCGTGTTATTACCCTGGTTCACATGATCTCGCATACTCCGAGTGTCTTGACTTGATCGATAAGAATTAGGAGACTCAAGAGGAAGAGGAGGGATGGCTATAAAAGTCAGTGAGTGTTCCACACTCGAGTCTAAAGCATTACTTTGGGGAGCGATTTTGTAGCTTTTGATCTAAGTGCCTAGTCGAATAACACTCGAGAGATTCCCAGCCAAATTGATGATTGATCATAGTCGTTAGTCAATTAACATCAGCTTTGACTAGATGTACGCTCCTCTCTTCTCTATCAGTATAAGATATTAGCTTGAAGTAACTAACGATCAAGCCTAGCACCCAGCACGCCAACGCCATGAGCAAGTTCGCCCCCGATAATCCAGAATCCTTAAAAAGGGCCATACTACGACGGGCCAAAGACAACAGCTACAAAGTTGGCCGCATAGCCGCTCTAGACTACGGCTGGGAGGCCTGGGTACAAGCCGATCTAGGCTGTTACCTATCTGTGGAAGCCGACACGACCGAAGCAGTCCTACAACGGGAAGAGTACCCATATGGTGACGGAAGGCGTGTAGACCTAGGTATCTACGGACCTGAAAATATTCCCTGGCACTGGATCGAAATTAAGACCCAAACGCCCAGCCAGGGAAAACAGGATTTCTTGGATAATCTAATGGCCGATTGGGCCAAACTTGACGATGTAGTGGTGGGCCAGCATCACGCGCGACTGTGGGCTGTGGGGTTCTGGCAGAGTGATGGACAAGGGAAACCGAAAGGCTTTGCAAATTGGGATTTCGAGGTCGCGAATGGTATGAATGTCTTGTACAGGACTAAGTACAATCCTAAGTTTTCGAAACTCTAACCAGGGGGCGCAACTAAGCCGAGTCTTTAGCATTACTTAATCAGCCCAATGTAACATATCATGCATTGCCGCCGAATTAAATTTAAGACCAACGATGCTTTTCCTTTGTCCTTCGTACTTCTTGCACTATTGGACTGTTGTCCTAACCGTCTTTCCCAGGCCGTTATATAGGCCTCCTTGGTGAAAAATGTCCCGCCTCTCCCCTTTTCCACAAAGAGTTCTTGAATGCCATACCATTCTTCTCCTGCACGATTATGTGCCTGATTACTCTCCTTTATGACGCTCTTCACGAGCAATCTCGTGATTAGCCCAACAAGGGAGACGATCAAGCTGGTTGGGAGAAGTGGCCATGGCGGAAGTGTTGCGAATGCAAGGTCCGGCTCTTAGTGACTAGCCGAGTGTATAGTTTCAATCTCCTCAATTTCCCTGATTGCGACAATTTTCTCCTCCAAACTGCTGCTGTGTTGGTACATTGACCATTTAAAGGCATATGCCGGAATGCCCAGAGGCGGGGTGGTTAGCGTGGCTGTAAGTGGCTCAGCCCGTCGGTCCGATCTCCGTAGAGATCAGCGGACGCGTTGCTGCTCGGTGCTCCGATTCTCTCTGCATTTCCTTCCGTCCCCACCTCTTTTACACTAAGCTCGTCTCATGCATGGAGCACCGAAGACCAAAGGATGCCCTGTCGTGCGACCGCTGTCGCGCAAAGAAGCTCAAATGCTCTAAGGAATCACCCTTCTGCACTGCCTGTGCCCACAGCGGTGCGCAATGTCATTACAGTGGCAAAATTATCAGATCGCCACTGACCAGGGCGTACCTTACGAGTGTAGAGAAACGGCTACACAGTCTGGAGGCGCTGGTCGCTCAGCTGGTACCGGGTGTCGATATTGAAGAGCTCCTTTCTTCTCCCAATGCAGCCATCCCAACCCCACAGGTTCTCCCGTCGCGAACACCAGATGCCGCGCTCAGCCCTCAGGGCAGCACTAAATCTAACTCAAATGAACCTCCTCTTCCCGAAGCTGTGCCAAACGATGTTGACGGATTTAACTGGAAAGAAGAAGACCTCAATATAGACGGGCTAACCGATGGCATGGCCGCCCTTTCCGTAGAGCCTACAGGGGTAGGATACCTAGGTTAACTCACCCACACCGACAAGATCATACGGTGCTAACGTGATCCAGGCTCAACTTCTGGTGTCGTGTTTCTGCGTTGCTTGCTAGATTGGGCTGGGTTCCTACATCAAACCGGAGCACCACCGCAGAAACATGCCGTGGAACCGTCTTCGTCTTTCAGAAAGGTCCTGGTCTCGTCGCACGTCTCACATTCTGCTCTCGTCAAGCAGCTTGCGGGCAGCCTGATTGACGCATACTTCCTCAATTATCATGTTGTGTACCCATTCGTTCATGAGGCAACATTTCGCGCGCAGTACTACGAGGTGGTTCCGCGGCCACCGAAAAAGTCTTGGGACATGCTATACCACGCAATTATAGCCCTTGGTGCGTGGACTGTGAATAATGACCAAGTCGGCCTTGAAGACTACCTGTACCGCCGAGCACTCACGGTTGGCCAGGATGAATCGGTGTTTGAAGCCGCCAGCCTAGCCTCCGTCCAAGCACTTGTGTTGCTGAGTAATCTTAGCCAGAAACGCAACAGCCCAAACACAGGATGGAATCTGCTAGGTCTCGCAGTGCGCACAGCGCTGAGTCTAGCTCTTCACCGAGAGCTTCCGCATTGGAATATTAGCCTAATCGAACGCGAGTCGAGACGCAGAGTCTGGTGGGGCTTGTATGTGTTCGACAGCGGAGCCTCTACGACTTTCGGACGGGCAGTCATGTTACCCGATCAAGATTCCATGAGCGTACACCCCGCTCTCAACATAAATGACGAGGTAAAATATTCTATTTGACCAAAGACGAGTTACACACAACTGACCTGAGCCAGGCACTTACTCCTCAGACTACTCAGCTCCCCATCGAACTTGATACTCCAACTATTTATTCGGCGCTTCGCGAACAGAGTAGCTTCCACATGCATACCAACCACATCACAAACAGATTGTTGGCTGAGCCCAGTTTATCAGCTGAAGCAGCACTCGCGTTTAACACTACCATGGAGGCATGGGCGCATATGGTACCCTTATACTTTCAGTTGTCACAGCAGCCATACATTCCAGCCCGATGGTATCTCTTCGCAAGGTCGCGACTATGGTGGAGGTTCTGGAACCTCAAAATCATCATCTTTCGACAAATCCTGCTTCGTCGTGCAATTTCAGAGCGCAGCCAGATTCCTGACGAAGCAACGCAATCAGCCCAAGACGAGTGTAAGCGGCTTTGTTTGGATGCCGCGCATTCTACTGTCACTTCGATACATCAGTACACGATGAACGAACCGAGTAGATTAGAAGGATGGTACGCAACGTAAGTATAGAGTATATTGATTACATCAAGGATTGGGAACTGATTGGTTGTTCTAGATATTTCCTCTTCCATTCCGCTTTAGTCATCACACTTTGCATAATCAGCTTCCCAAGTGCCAAAGAAATGCCCACCTGGCTTGAAGATGTGCGATTAGCCAGGAAGACGTTCCGCGAACATCTCGTTGCAGATTCACTCTCAGCAAGATGCGTCGCTATTCTCGACCAGGTTGTATCCGTTGATGATTTCAGTTCGGGTACGCTCCAGAACATTGAGCTGGACAAAGAAGCTTTGAGCACTTTCCCATGGTCTATCGAGTCCAACGAGCTGTTCACCTCTTTCGACTGGGACTTGTCGACTACGCAGTTCTAGAGTATCAGTCTCCTTTAGCCTCCAGTGTGCGCTTGGATCTAAAATCCCCATCGATTCTCAATGATCACGTCTGGCTTGATTAGCAATGACCGTATCAACTCGCCGTTGGGAATATCGTTCTCTTCAGCTCTGGCAATGGCCGCCGCTTTTGATGATTCAATTCCAGCAGCTAGGTGACGCTGGGCTAAGCGATCACGAACGGCTTCCACAGGTGCATCGACAAACCACCTACGCAATGTTAGTCAAGGTCTATGCCGTCAAAGAAGGGTAATTACGTGCCTCTCGTCGCAGATCCCTGCAATCTCATCCCACGGCTTCTGTTTCAACAGTGTGTAATTGCCCTCGATGATAATAAAGCGTGTGCGGGAAGAAATGCTTATCCCATTCTCGACTGGATCTTTAGCTGCATGATCAAAGGTCGGCGCAGTTATGCACAATTCTTCTTCGCCATCTGTAGTGACGGGTGCAGTCTTGAGCGACTTCACGAGCTTAACGCATCCTTCTGCATCAAAAGTAAAGGGAGCACCGCGTCTCTTGAATGCTACATCTGCATTTGCAAAAGTCGACAAAACTTGGCGAGTATAGTGGAAACCGTCCTGATATCGTCAGAACCCCTGGCACTTGCTGTGATTGCCACTTACCATTGGCACTATGGCAACATCTTTAATATCTCGCGCCGCTAACTCGATTAAGAGCGCATCGGATACTGTTGACTTGCCCGCTCCTGGCACACCTGCAAGCGCAACGAGCATGCGTTGACTGGGGTTAGAGGCTTGGCGAGCGAGAAGCTCTTCCGTGCGCTTGGCCAAGTCTAGGATAGCTGCAGGAAGCTTATCCACACGAGTATCGTTCGTCATCTCCTGAGGCTGGAACGGGTTGATGGATTATTAAATGAAAAGGCAAAAAGTAGCAAGGAGATTAGGTGAGATGTGTTAATTGCAAAAGTTGAATCAAAAAGTTCGAAGCATCAACGTCACGCGAACCGGTGCTCTGCAAGTTATGTTTCTTGTGGGGTTCGGAGCATAGTAGTCCGAGCGCAAGTCATGTTCGATCCCCAGTTTTAACATATGAATCAGGTAATTCTCTCCATGCGGGGAAAATTTCAGACAGAACTGCATTGCATTGCATGCCAGTGGAGCAGATTTGGGGTTGCTGTATGGTCGGATTATTGTGGTCCGAAGTAGTGTGACTGGAGATGCCTTTGTGATATTCCAAGGTCTTTCGATGATGAGCATGTACATATACGGACGATGGGGAGCTGTGATGTATCCTGTTCTTTGCATCCTAAATCCCTTCAAGCAAGTCAGTTGACGCACTGTTAGTGAGCTTGCGAATATGTCAGACTCAGGATATGCAATCGGCTCTGGGGCTGCCCAGAAGAAGGATGTGTACAAGGAACTACGACAGAACCCATACCTCCTTGGCCTATCAGCTGTAGGACACCTTTTGTTCACATCCAAGATTTTAACTAAAACTTTCAGTTTGCCTCACTTGGTGGCTTTCTCTTCGGCTATGACCAAGGAGTAATTTCTGGAGTCCTCACCATGGAGTCTTTCGCTGCAGCCTTTCCAAGAATTGCCCTCGACAGTTCATTCAAGGGCTGGTTCGTATCGACTCTACTACTCGCTGCTTGGTTTGGCTCGCTCGTGAACGGTCCAGTGGCAGATCGCTTTGGACGCAAAGGCTCAATCATAATTGCCGTCGTCATCTTCACCGTTGGGTCTGCGCTTCAGGCAGGTGCCATCGATATTCCAATGGCTTTTGCTGGTATGTAACACTCCATTTCCAATTCTTCATGTATGAGTAAGCTAATTGACGTCTCGATAGGTCGAGCAATCGCCGGTTTCTCAGTCGGCATGCTCACCATGATCGTCCCCATGTACATGAGCGAGGTCTCCACAGCAGGTATCCGAGGCACACTCGTTGTCCTACAACAACTCTCAATCACCCTCGGTATCCTCATCTCCTACTGGCTCGAGTACGGGACTCAGTACATTGGCGGGACGCGGTGCGCGCCAGATATCCCTTACACAGGCGGCACGGCCTCGAAACCAAGTTTCCATCCTATCAACGACGTGGGTCCGGAGGGATGTACCGGCCAGAGCGACGCTTCGTGGCGTGTCCCATTCGCTATCCAAATATTCCCTGGTCTCGTGCTCGGAATCGGCATGTTGTTCTTCCCAGAGTCGCCGCGATACTACTGCAAGCGGGACAACGAAGATGCGGGTCTCCGCGCCCTCGCTCGAGTAAGACGAGCCAGTCCCGATGACGAAGAAGTACAGAGAGAATACCTAGCTATCAAAGCAGAAGTCATGTTCGAAGAGACGTATGCTCGGGAAAAGTTCCCCGGCAAGTCAGGAGTGTCGCTCTACCTAGCCGGCTACTCGACCCTCTTCTCGACCTGGCCCTCCTTCAAGCGCACAGCTATCGGCTGCTGCGTTATGTTTTTCCAACAATTTATCGGATGCAATGCGATTATCTACTACGCTCCGACGATCTTTGCCCAGCTGGGGTTGTCAGGAAAGACAACGGGGTTGTTGGCAACTGGTGTTTATGGAATCGGTAAACTTCACTCCCCCCCCCCTTTCCCCCCTCAAAAACCTCCACCCCAAGCACTTTTAGATAAAGTCAAATCCCTTTTTTTTTCACTAACAGTTTAAACAGTAAACACACTCTCCACCCTCCCCGCCCTCTTCCTCATCGACAAACTCGGCCGCCGCCCCCTCCTCCTCTGCGGCGCAGCCGGAACCTGCATCTCGCTGCTCATCGTCGGCGGCGTAATCGGGGGCTACGGCTCAACTCTCTCTGCGCACCCCGCCGCAGGCTGGACCGGCATCGCCTTCATCTACATCTACGACATCAACTTCTCCTACTCCTGGGCGCCCATCGGCTGGGTCCTCCCCTCTGAAATCTACAACATCGGAAACCGCTCAAAGGCCATGTCGCTAACGACGTCTGCGACGTGGATGTGTAATTTCATCATTGGGCTCGTCACGCCGGATATGCTGGATAGTATTGGGTTTGGCACGTACATCTTCTTTGCGGGATTTGCGCTCGTCGCCTTTGTATTTACGTGGTTCTGTATTCCTGAGACGAGGAGTAAGAGTCTCGAGGAGATGGATGCCGTGTTTGGGGATAGCACGGCACATGAGGAGAAGATGAGGCTGTTTCATATTGCGCAGAGTTTGGGTATTCGTGAGGCGGAGGAGGCGGCGTTGGATGAGAAACCGGTTAAGGCGTTGCAGAAGGAGAATGTCGAGGCGTGAGGATATCTACGTGTGGGAATACGCGTAATGTTTGCAGGGGAATTATATGTGTCTTCTTAATAGCGACGAGTGAAAGAAGTTTATCTAAATGTTTCTAATAAACTCAAGAGTTCAGCCTGCAAATAGGAATGCATTAAAAAGCATTACTTGCTTGCTTGTATCAACATCACAATCACCATTGACATATCTAAACAAAGTCTCAGGATCAAAAGTATGTATTTCCGGGGATGCTTCTCTCACCTCCACAGGAGGGAGGAAGCATGTTCAATGCTACACAATACAAAGTGGGGAGAGGAAGCATACCGCCACAAGTCAACAGCCCCCACGCGAACCAAGATAGACAGCCAGACAAAAAAGAAAGAAAGATAAGCGAGTGCCGCAAACATATCCAAAGAATTGGAGAAAAAAAGAAAAAAAAGGGGTATTGGAGATGTGGTCATGTAACGAATAGTCTTGCAGTCCCAAGCTCACCTTGACCATACAGTCAACCAGAGGGAAGGGCTAGAGGACACAAAAAGAAAATCCAAAGTAGAAAAACAAATTTCTGGGTAGCTCGTCCAGATCGAATAATTCCTCAGCCCCGCAAGTAGAAAGACAAAAAAGGCGGAACCAGAATAGAGGTGCAAGAATGGGAAAAGGTGAGTGGGCATAGTGAAAAAAAAACAAAATACAGGCGTACAAACCCAAACCAGAAACCCCGATTGAAATCCGAAATCATCCCACATGATGTGTCCCAGGTCTCGAAGACAACGCCGGTCGAGGAGAAAAAAGTAAGAAAGAAAATCCAGTCCTTTGGGTATACTAACAATGATGAATGACTCCGGACCAGCCTTTACTCCTTCAAAACATTGCCCCTGCACTCAATCTGCCGTTGGCGCTGGTACTGCGCGTCGTGCTAGCTTTACTAGCTGCACTTCCCGCTCTTTTCATTGACTTCTCCATTAATCCGTTCAGCAAGCGGTCGAGCTCGCCACTCAAGCTTTGCATTGTCTTCATCTCTTCGGCGAGGTAATCCTTCATGAGGGGATGGTCGGGGCCGACTGGGACGACGCCTGTAGTATCGTTGATGACAACGAGCATGTCTCGAATCTCACTACCGTCGTCGAGGTAGGCGCGCAGTGAAGCGTCAGACCAAGCGGGAAGTATCGTGCTTTCTGAAGAAGCAGGTGGAGAAGGCTCTGATTCATCAACGGGCATGGGAGCGGGCCTCGAAGGGGCAGGAACAGTGGAGTTGGATGTGACATGTGTAGGCGAGGTATTGCCAGAGTTAGACCGTGGGGCATTAATACCCTCCTGGGTGGTTTTCGTGGGGCTGTCATCGGGTGTTGGTGTCGATATCGGCGAATTGGTTTCTTGACTGGAGCTATCTGTAGATAGGCCCGGGGTATGGTGAGAGTCCATCTCTCTGTCTCTCTCTGCTCCGTTTTCTTTCTGAGCTGCTTGTACGTCGGCAACAGAGACATGTACTGGTGATTCTGAGAGACGCTCCGTCGATTCCGATTTCTCAGCTTCTCTGTTCTTACGTTCAGCGTCGGGGTCCGCAAAGGGATCACTGCTCTCATCCGAATCGAAATCGTCCAATTGTACACGTTGCTTGGCCTTTGTGACCTTTTCGCGTTTCATATCTCCATCTGTTTGAGACTTAATCATACCGCTGAAGGGGTTCTTTGAGGCTGTAGAGTTCGAGGCGGAGACAGAAGGTGCGGTCTGCTCCTCAGCCGCCGATTGATCTTCATCCTCTTTTTCTGGCGGTACCAAGCGCATGGATGAGGTGGCTTGCTGTGTATTTGGCTCATCTTCAATATCCATATCGTCATCCGCATCCATATCCGTAGGACTTTCAGTCTTTAAGATGCCCTTAGTTTTTATCGGTGAGTCATCTCGGTGATTCGGGCGCTTATGTGCTTTGTTCTTGCTTGACTGTCTCAAGGGTGCAGGTGCTGTCACTTGCTCGTTGGATGGCCGCTCTACAAGTTCGTCCGATGGTTTCGACTGCGGCGAGCTGCGATCCACTTCCTCTGCCTTGTCGACATCGCTGTCAATGGAGTCCTGCGGGCCTTTGCCCTTCTTGTCCTTACGCTTGAAAAGTCCGCTGAGCATACCTGATTTCTTCTCCTTCTTCCTCTTATCATCTTTCACCTTGTCTGCAAAGCCGTTCTTCTCTAAACTCTCTAGACTTGGACCGCGTTCTCGAGAGCCATTACTTGAGGGAGTCGAGTTATCGCGAAGTATATTAGGTGTGAGTGTAATCTTGCGGGTTTCGGTGTTGTCGTCCTTGAAGAAAGAGTCGGTGTTGCGGAGAGTACCATTACGTGACACTTTGGGATCCAGTGGGCGATCCAGGTTGTCTTCGCTTCCTCTTTGTCCATCTTGTTTGTTAGAGTCATCACTTGAGCGTCGTGCATCGCCCTCTGCTTGACCATTCGCGTCCTTTCTTGTCCCGTTAACTTTAAGCGGCTGCACTTGCAGACCCTCATCCTGAGACGAATCACCGGTCTGTGCTGTGGCTTGTTGTTGCTGCTGTTGTTGTTGCATTTCTTTGGGCTCGGGGCCTCCAAAAAGTTCACCCTCTCCCTCGTCGGAGGAGTAGTCATAGTCCGATGCCTCAACATAGGTCGGTGGTGCAAATTGTACTGTCTTTGCGTTCCTCCGCCGCATGGCCTTCTTGAGTGGATTCTTGGTCTTCTCGGCGGTATCGCCAAGCATCGTTGCAGAAAGGTCAATATTCCTGTGCTTGTTGAGACGTGCTAAACGTTCTGTGGGGGTTTCAATGTGCTCCGCGGGCAGATAGCCTTGACTCGGTCAGCGAGGAATGGCGCGTCGGCCGTCGGTACTCACCGATACTGTTATCCTTGGAGACCCGTACCAGCCACCAGTAGCTGTTACTGTCATCAAGCAACACCATCGTGTCACCTTTGGTTGCATTTGCTTGACCCTCGACGGTCGCAACGAATGTGTGTAGAGCGTAGACGAATTCAAAATCAATGTCCTCTATTTCTCGTAAGCATTCGCCTCCCCAACCTGAGTCGATAAATCTAGAGTCATCAGAAAAGAAAGTGTCATTGGATGCATCATCGTTGTCTTGGTCCAGGTCCTCATCCCAGGAATCGGCATCACTGTCGGTAGTCCAAGAGCCGTCTTCATCGTCGGGGTACTGAAGCGTAGGTGGAGGCGTTCCATTCAATATCCGAGGTGGGCTGCGCGCACAATCCAGAAACGGGTCGTCTGAGGCGCCGAGCAAGGACCGACTGATGGGCTTGAGCGTACTCCTGACTTGTTCCTCATCGAGTTCAGAAATGAGGGATGCCTGCGAATCATCCCTCATCATATGTATGCGGCGTTCCATTACCTTTAAATGCTTGGTCCTCGGGCTCATACCCGCCTCTGCTTCCATGTCGTCCTTGTTGTCTGGGGCGGTAGTGATCCTTGTCCAGGTATACTCACCACGATGATGCTCCGTTGACGAATTCTCCATAGACGAGAACAAATGAAAAGGAATAGGAAGTGAGGGAAATTGACAAGTTGACAAAAGAGAGCCGTCGGACGCTGGGGCCGTAAATGGCCGCGCGGCATCGGCGACAGAAATAGGAAAATGATTGGGTGTGTTCGTGAAAGGAGAGGAGGAAGCGACTGTTGAGGGCATCGGCGAAGACCGTGGGGTCAGAGACTCCTGTCTTGCGGGCCAAGTCGCGGAATTAAAAGGTAAAAAATACCCACCATCGTCAATCGAAGGCGAACTCGAGATTTTGTCCATCATATCGTCGTCCATGTCTTCCTCCACGTCAGCATCCTGCATATCAGCATCGTCGTCACCAAGTGCGCCACCGTTCAGCCTCACAGCGGGCTCGTCGTGCCCAGGCTGGTGTCCCTTTGTGGTGTTTGTGACGGTGCGTTCGTCGTCAGACCCGGGGTCTTCTCGGAGCGTGCTGTTGCCGTGGGTCCAGACATCGTGCAGGCGCGCCTCTTCCGAAGAACGCTCCTTCTCTACATGACGGATAGCGGCCTGCTGGTGGGGTGCGGCTGGGCCTATTCCAAGAGGCGCTGGGTGCTCGGGCTGGTGCGAATGGTCTTGGGCGGTCGGGGATAACTTGTCCTGCAGGTCAATCGTGTCTACCACCATGAATTAGCCCACGCACGTCGAATGGCACACGGGTTGGCCGTGTTCGTACCTGCTCTGATGATGTGGGGGCGCGTCATCCTAGCTCATGCCTCGCGGCGTGTTCAATGTTTGGAGGCTGGCGGGCGTTGAGTGGTAGCCAAGCGAAGCGAGGCGCGGTTGGTCGGAGCGGGTTGCGCAGGGACTCAGTAAGCCCCTTCGAGGGTGCTTTGGCGATGCAAACAAAGAAGGTCAGGTCGCGTCCGTCGTCCAGCGGCAGATGGCAAGCGTCGCATGCGGTCGTAGGTGTTTATCGAGGAAGGAGCGACAGTGTGGAGTTGAGGCGGTGCGGATGTCTGATAAACATGCGAGTTTCGGAGACGCCGTCGGCGGGGCGAGACAGGGCGAGGCGGTTCAGCCCAGTGAATAGCAATGCGGCTGTGCCCGGGAGGCGGTCGGGAGGAAGGGCTGGTCAGCAGCGGCTGAGAGTCAAGGCGGTGTGATTGATGGTGTTGGTGGTGGTGGTGGTGTTGTCGTCGTCGTTGTCGTCGTGGTGCCGCCAGGCAGGAAGGAGAGTGAATTATTTTGGCGTGTCGTCGCTGGGTCGCTGCTTCCCCGAACGCACACGCCCCTGCCCTGTTCTGAAACACATCGTTTGGGTACGTTACACCACATTGATGCGTCGCTAGCGTCGGCGCTAGCCTGTTCCTGCCTCCTCGACCTCTCAAAAGGAGTTGCGGCTCGGTCCTTTTCCACAAACGCTTCATGGCTGCATCGCCAGCGCCTCAATCAAGCCCCTCGCTGCCGATACACCATCCTACTTGCGCACTTACATATGCATGTCCGTGTCTAGGCAAGAATTCCACTTCTTCCGCACCAGGTCAAACCCAGGTTTGGCAATCTGCCGCAAACGTCATTCACTTTGCTAGCCTGTCGCATAATACCTGTGCTGCGTCACATCCATCCTAGCCAGTTGTACTTGTTTGTGGGTGCCTGTCACGTGCCATCGGCGACCCAAGGATTCCTAGCCTGCTCTGTTTCTATCTTGACCGGACGTTTCAATCAACGTTTTCAGAGCCATCCTGGCCGCAGTCACGAGATTGATCCCGAAAATACCACGCGTAATTGCGTATATCCAAGCATGTATTCATCATCTATGAGCTGGAATGGCCCCATTGTGAAACAATGATACGTCATTGGTATTTATTATCCCGCCAGAGAGCAAATCATGCCACTTCTTTCATCCCCGCGGGGAAGCCTTAGGTTACACGATTTCAGATGCTCAAACATCCCTCACTAGCTTCGGAAATTCGACTGTATATTGTTCTGGTTTGGTTCTTTCACAGTCGCACACCCTGTCTGCAGCAACTTTCTTTGATGTCTAATAGAACAACATGTTGAGAAAAGAGTCACTGAATTGAATTCGTATCCCATATTTGTCATCTTAATACCCATTCTACCTCTGCATTAGCTGTGCGATTCTCGCCTGTTTTGTGAAATATGAAGACCCATCCCATGCACAGATTCGTCTGTTGACAAACTCGCTTATCTGATCTTGCGTGATGCTGTTTGACTCAAGTTGATGGGCAGTCCACCCTAACAGCATAAAATCTTCTGAGTCTAAAATAGCATCAAAACGAGTGATGACAATATTCCATAACAATAATTGAGATGGCATGGAGCTGAAGCCTTTGATAAATATCTGGCCTACCAGGCTGTACCTGCCGCTTTCCGATTCTCTGATGACCAGGCCTAAATAATTTACCCACCTTGCATTGCTCTTTTCTTCAAATACCAACCAATCACCTATCCTGGTATCAAGAGGTCCTCTCAACGAAATCATGTCTTGGCCATCTTTAAACTTCAGAATACAACTGTCCTCATGCTCTTGGAATGACACAAAGCATTTCAAACCGCCACTACCAGATGTATCGGAAGATTCCAAGGCTTCTGCAGTACCACGTACCTCGAGACCGCCCCAAACACCTTTCCGAACACTTTGGTGTAAAGCACCATTGTCAGAATCACGATGATTCGATCTGAGTGTTGACAGAGACGTGCTGGAACGTAAGCCAAGCGTACGACGAAGAGACGCCTCCTCTCCGGTGATTTGAAAGATGCGACACAATCTTCGTCTGGTATCAAGAGTACAATCGGGTAGGAGCCTTGCAGCATCCAATGCAACTTCGTAACGGTCTTTCCCATAATCCGCCTTAGGTTCCTGTCCAGGTTGCCAATATACAAAAGACAGTAATCCAAATAACCGATCTCGAGGATCACTACATTCCGCCTGAGCTTCGAACAATAATCTGTGAAATGATTGTTTGCGTTCTGTGCAGGCTAGTCGTAAGCGATCAAATGGGATTGTTTTTTCAAACTCGATGTCTATGGCCGGGCAGCCCATGTGTCGAAAACTTGATAATAAACAAAGGATTTCTCCAATCAGCTCTGAACTGGGGGTACTGGACGAATAAAGAATCGCCATTGTCGTAATCTTCCACGTTCTTGGACTAAACTCGGGCTTAGGGTACCGGAGGCCGGAGAATGCCCAAAATTTAAGGACCCAGAAGAGAGCCAAAATATCCTCAGCTCGCTCTGTAGCCGCTCCAAAACAAAATGACACCCTAAAAGCTAGATTCAGTTCTTGCATTATCCACAGACGTGTAAAATATGGCCGTCTCATGAATGAGCAGAACGACTGATACACGGCGTGGCGCGTCCTTCCGTTCACGGAGAGAAGGCAACGGAGAAAAATCTTTTTGTGATCCATAGCCACAGGGAATACATAATTGTGACCTGCAGGCACAGGGAACATATAATTGTGGCCACCAGGCAAAATGAACGAGTAATCTATGTACCACCATGGGCGCGGAAGACCGTCAATTTCTGTTAACAATGAACGATGTTTTTTTATAAATTTCGGGAGAATTTTGCTGTTATTTTCGCGGGGCCCAACACATGCGAGAACATGCTTCGCTCCTGAGTAAATTTGGTCCATGATTCCGACTTGGTGGTTCTTTTCTTCGGCCGTCTGGTTAATGCAGATGGCATCCATCCATACGTATTTACAGGCCTTGGTGGCAAATGCCTGCTGAAGCGCATACTCGCAGTTGCGTCGCACCTCTAGACGACTGCCGTTGACTGTAATTTCTTTCGTCTCGTGGGCATCACCCCATGTATACGATATTGCGTAGTAAGGCGGTGCCTCGCCAATAGGCCAGGTAGATATCTCGCATTCAACGTGTTGGCCGAAGTCACCACAAATGATGTGGAGTAGGCGGAAATGTGACTTATGTTCGGGAAGTGGGTCGTGCTTGAAAGCGGGAAGTGGGGTTCCGGTGGTCATTGTGCTGGTGGTAGAAGCGGGAACTGCAGTATCAGGCGTAATGCGTGAATGAATGTGACAAAGATATTTGAGGACCCTGAAGACTGTGAGGGAAGAAGGCTGGAGTGGGAATGAGCCAAGGCTGGATTGGGCCTAAAATGTAACACAAGGCTGTGCAAGCCCGCTGTCAGCCTTTCGCCATTGGTGGCGCAGACATGGGCCAGGCGGGGCGGAGTGGTTGGGAGGATGCGTGGTCATGCTCGGCAGCTGCATCAAGGTAAGGGGATGACAGCGTCAAGGCTGCGGCGAGGATATGGTTGTATTTGCTTGACCCATCGACACGTGACCTGGTATCTGTAAATTCCACCCGATGATCTCTTTCCACTATAATGTACACACGATAAAGCATGGAAGCCAATCAGCTCTTGTGTTTCAATATCAAATTGTAGCTCTTCATCGATATCTATCATAGCTTCCAACAGGATAAAGTAATACAGTTTTGAGGAATAGGCATATAGAAAGTCTGTGAAAACTCCAACCACCCTGCCTCACTGTGCTCCTTTCGCCTCCGCCAACTTCCTCCTCTGTGCATTTCTCTCCTCCTTCTCCACATTGATATTGAAGCACTGACTCCTGATCATCTCGTAAAGCGCACCTGCAGTAACCCCCTTCATTGGCTGCCTCCACCTCCCCGTAATACGAGTCTCAAGCGCATCGGAATCGATCTGCGTACTCTCATGAGCACGCAGCACAAAAACAATCGAGTGCCGATACCTCTTCTCTACACCATCTATCCCACCCCCAGAAGACATACCTCGAGGTTCCCCATACGCAACAACCCTATGCCCACCCGCTCTCAGCCGCTCATTCGTCAACCTCTCCAACTGGCGTCCAACCAGCATTGTAGCTCCCTTTCCCCCCTTCCTTTCTACTTCCCTCTCCACATCAAACCAGTTGGCTCCATCCCAAACCTCCAGACCAGGCGTATCCCCCACAACCATACTGATCAACCCCAGATCCGCATGTGCCTCCGCAACAACCTTCTCCTCCCACCCTTCATACCTAAACAGCCTCAACATCGTCGCCGTCTTGCCCTCTTCTTCCACAGGCATCCGCGCACAAGGCCCTACGAATTGCCGCAGACCCTCACATTCGCCATCTGGGAGCCCAAGTGCCGTGGATATGCGACCTAAGGTATTCGAACAGTGTTGTCCAACAAGTTCCCAGTACCGTTGCGCAGGCGCGCTTAGGATCTCGGGACAATATGCAAGCGAGCGGAGGGTGATGAATTCTTTTTCGCCGGGGATCTTGGACCATCCTTCTTCAGAGCCGAGACGATGTTTCCATTGGTGCTTCTCGGAGTCCGGAAGGTTGAAGAAGGCTTGGCCGGCACAAAAGAGGTCTTGGTAGGCGGTTTGGAGTGGGTGTGGCCCTGGTGGTGGGATGCCAGAGAGCGAATCTGGGGATTGAGTTGTTGGTGAAATTTCTGGGAATGTGATTGTTGTCCACCCTAGTTTCAGTAAGGTTTCTTGGTGTTCGGGGAGGATGAGGGGAACAGGCGCATGGATGAGTTGCGGTCTAGTATCTTGCTCTTGCTCTTCTTGAGAATCTCTGCGCTTTGAGGTTGTCTTTTTCTTTGAGAGGAGGCGTGAAATCATGTTCGAGATGGAAGATTGGTGCTCCGATGACCTTGGCGATAGTGTGGTAGCAGCCATGTTCTTGGTTAGCAGCTTTTGATTGCCGCAAAGCTATTGGGTAAGTTCAGTTGATTTGATAAATAGCGATAGAGCGCAATTAATTGCCAAGAATAAAACCATTCACTAGATTACGAGTACTGAACATCAAAAGCGCGATAATGAGAGATGGATATAGTATGATGACGTCTTGTCTACGAAGCTAAGCCACACAAGCACAGCCCCTCTGGTCAGCCTACCGGTCAGGCCAGGCGCACCACGTGAACTATTGCACTGCATGAATCAGTTACGCCGTGGACAACATTATTGTGAAGCTATCAGCATACTTGTTTCGGCATTTTATTCAGCTATTTTTCACAGCCTCTGCCTGTTCTTGTCCCATAAATCTCTTTCTCTCAACACAAACCAATCGTACAACAGCGGCTTAATCTTAACAATTCCATCTTTCGTCTCGCAACCAAATTCCATCCCAGGCTTCCATGTGCCTCCCTCAGCACTGACTTTCATATGCGTCATGTTCTCTAGCCGACACATTGCAAGCCCTACGTTGCCAATACCAGCCACGAACTTGCCAGTCGCACGTCCTTTCTTGATATTGCCGCTTTCGTCGAGTTGCTTGATGTCGGTGCCATGTTCGGGAAGAGTGGCCAATGTGGCGGTTGTGTAAAGTTCGACTGGTAAGATGCGTTTTCGCACGATTCCGGTGTGTTTGGTGCGGATGGTGAGTTCTTGACCAACATAACAGCCCTTTTTGAAATCTATGCCTTGAGAGAGATCGATGTTGCACTCCATTGGCAGGGCACTCTCGCGGGGTATTTCAATCTGTCCCTCTGGGATGCCGTTTCGGTAACGTTGAAGGTGATATTCTTGAACATCTGCTGGCTGTGCGCCATCTATTATCGTTTCCGCATTTGCATCTGCAAGATAACGATGCATGTTTGGTGCACGCGGATCTTTCAGGTTAGCAATGAGACCTTGAGTGTTGGCTTGCTCAATTGCAGATCCCCAACTTGACCAGACGCGTACTGCATCCGGGCTAATTTCCTCAATCTGAATCTTGCTCCTCAATTTATGGCGCTTTAGGTGCTTTTTCAATGCCTCCAATTCACCTTCGTCCACCTCAATATGGCAAGCCCAGTGTCCCTTCTCTGCAACAAGCTCAGGCCATACCCATACAAAAACGTCCCACAGTATTCTGCCTCGCGCATCCAAGAAGGCAGAGTAGAATGATGATGAACGATCCGGATCAACATTGTTTGTTATCAAGCCTTGTAGAAACTTTGCGGTGTCGGGGCCGGAGAGGGCGATTAGACGACGATGTGGCAGTGACGCAAAGCCTGAGTTCGTGGCGTATGCAGCCTGGCTGGATGTCGAGTATTGACGCAATATGGATTTTCTCCGAGCTAATTCAAAAGTTGAATTTGGGGCGGCAGGACTGCGAAAGTATTGATGCGACGTCAATTGCTGTGAGTCTTCACTGCGTAAGGACGCTGCGGTGCCAAGATATCGTTGTACGCCAAAAGCTGGGTTGCGTGGATAGCGTACGCTATTACGACATGTGTCACATATGTATCTTGCAGTGCGCCTGGGCGCGCTTAGAGTTAGAGCTGCCATGGGTGGTTGCACAAGGGTGAAGTTTGGAGATGCAGTGAAGAACTCTGACGACATTCCTACCCGAGATGCCTCGGCATTTGCGGAGTTAAGAACGAAGCCAGACGGCAGCCTCTAAGCGCAAAATGACATCAACGTGTAGAGCAACAAGGTCTAAATGCACTATTGCGAAAGCCAGCTATGCAAAAACTGGCGGCTTGTTCAAAATACGTGCCACCCGCTAACCCATGCGAAAGTATATCGCTTTCCGACGAACGCCAGTGCTCAAAGCGACAGCTTTTTAAACCCGAGCCATCATTATGGCCAATCAACCTCTATTCATCTTTTTTACCAGTCAATCTCGAACGCTCATTCTTACCTCCCTTTGAGTTTTCAACACCCGAGTCGTCACTGTCTTCATCACGGTCTTCGTCACTTTCCTCCTCCTCGCTTCCATCGCTACTCCACTTGTCGTCCTCCCCAACAGCGAAAATTGTATCACCATCAAGACTTTCTCTAGGAGGGTGAATGGGCTTTTGTGGTTGTGGCGCAGGTAGAGGCGATGCATCGCGTGCATGATCGTTAGTCGACCTTTGCGCTGGATCATAAGAGGAACCCTGATTCGGGCCCCCTTCCTCTTCGTCCAAAGAGTCTCTAAGTGAGGCAATCTCGAAGCCTTCATCATCCTGAGCAATCTGAGGATGGGTCAGCATCTCTGTACGGAACATGTGGTATATGTGGACTTACCTCGTCGCTCATAGCAAATCTTCTGTTGTTCGCTGTTGGCCTCCACATGTATGCAACAAAGCATACATCGGCTAAGTAGACTAAGTTTAGCCAACCATCTAGTACGAACCACCGCGTTTGCCAATGGGTAGGCGCAAAGTCTGGAGTAGAAGCACCAGCAAACGTGAAGCTGTTGATAAAGAAGAACCCGAAGATGACGATAATGCTTGTCAAAATACACCACCATAATCGTTTGTACATGGTGGCTTTGACGTGCTGTTTCCGCTCCATTAGATCTTTCATGGTAAGGTTTAACGAGTTCAGAGTCCAGATGTAAAAGGCCGTGAGTGTAGCGGATAGAGGAAGAATAACAAGCAGGACAATAGGTCCAGCATCATCTGGGCGAACAGTGAGTGAGGCGATGGCGTAAATGACGCCAAAGACGAAGTGTGCCACGGCGAGCCAGCGGACGACCGTCATGGTCTTTCCAAGCGAAGGCTTGACGACACCATATCCCATGCATACGATAAGAAGCAAAAAGAACGAGAATGAGTTGCGGAAGGCGTTCAGAACAGCAACGATGATCATGAGTGCTTTGGCGCCAACATTGTTTCCGTGGCGGTTTTGGTAGTCGTAGTACCCCCAAGTCATGAGCATCTCCAAGACCAGAAAGACCAGAATAGCGGTGATGTAGTTCTGGACGGCAAGAATGTCGTGCCGGTTTTGGAAATATAAAAAGCCCCAGAACGTCAAGACTAGGAAGTATACGAGTGTGATGCCGCCGTAAAAGGGCAGTTTTGCAATCTGGGCCGCCTGGAGTTCGCCATATGCATTTCGGAAAACCACGACGGCCTCGTATTGCAATCGACTATCCTGGGCTGCCGCCGCCACGCAGTAATATCCTGTTTTTATCGAAACCTTCTTCTCTCCGGTTGAGATAGGGTAGTTGATAGGCTTAGGGTCGTTGAGGTTGATTGCAGCGGTCCGGATGTACATTTGAGAGATGTTGTCAACGTCTTCGGCGAGCACCCACTCGCCCTTGTGCGTCTCGTTACATAATTTCAGTTTGATAGATTCGTCGTCACAGATGTAATGGCGATTTTCCTATGCGCAAGTCAGTCAACCTTCCCAAGCATTATGCTGCGGAGTACCAACATCGTTCACGGGCAAGTCGGATGGGGCACCCAGAAGCAACGTGTCCTTCCACTCCCACACTACTACGCTGACTATCGGGTTCTCAATACCCTCGTTCTTCTTTGGGTCTTTTATGAACTTGACAAGTATGAATGGATCAACCTTGCCGCCCCATGCCTTCTTGCTGTACATGCCCGAGCATTTCTGGCGATCATCTTGATTCTAGAGGCGTGTCAGCGGTGGAAAGAATACAGAGTAGAAGACGAAGTTACCAGAGTAACCTCTACTGCTGCTACTGCTGTAATTGTGGCCAGCAGCAGCAGCGCGATAAGGCGCATGCCCGCCTTCATCCTGCCTAGAGATGAGAGGCCAGCTGGCGGAGCTGACGGCTAAAAGACAATGGCGCTTCAGGCCAGGGAACACAATGCGATTCAGGTCAGCGAAGGTTATTCTTCTTCGCGTAAAGGTTAACGATGGGTCATGGGCGCAAGTCTGGCGTGAAGCCGTGGCAGTTTCGATTGCGCGTTCGTTCACAACCCCCCAGCCAGGTCCGCCTTCCCGGCAGCTCGGGTTAGCGCGCGACCGTTTGTGGCGCAGCCTGGCGTTCAACCGCATGTGGCGCAGTCCCGCACTCTTCACCCGCCCACTGAGTCAGCCCTGCACAAGTATCGCAACACCAACATCAACATCACCACCTACAACTACGCCAACATGCCGGGCAAACACATTGCCGATTCTTCTGAGGAGCCCTGTAGGCGATGCAAGGGCATATCCGTGCTTGTAGTTCGCTCTGAACCCCTCTGCCAGTTAGTTCTACGCCACTTGGGCCAAAGTAAAAGAAAAAGAATTCGCTAAAACTAGCACAGTGACTGCTTCGCCCGCTATGTTCATACCAAATGTATCAAGCGTCTGGAGTCTTTCCGGGTCAATTTCGGCGCAGAGAAGCAGCGCAGGGTTTTGGTTCCCATGTCTTTCGGATTCTCATCCATCTCCCTCCTGCATGTCCTGGATCTGCATCTCAAGACGCAGAAGAGCAAGACTGGTCGCACTGGTTTTGAGATTAGTGCAGTCCATATCCAAGAACCAGGACATGCCGTACAGGCTGAAGAGCTTTTGGAAAAGGTCCGCGCACAATACCCAGACCATGACTATGTTTCATTACCTTTGCACGATGTGTTTCGTTTAGTACCAGATGATGCGTCACTCAAGACCCTGCTGCCCCAAGACCAACAAAAGGCCGAATCAAATCCCGAAGATCAGTTTGTGCACATGATTAATTCCCTCACATCGGCCACAGCTCGCGCTGACGTAATCTCTACTCTCCGAACCCGTTTAATTGTAGAGCACGCCAAGTTGGCCGGTTGCGAGAGCGTTCTCTGGGGAGACAGCACCACCACTCTAGCTCAAAAGACGCTTGCAGAAACAGCAAAAGGCCGCGGCTTCTCTCTTCCCTGGCAAATATCAGATGGCGAATCCCCCTTTGGCCTCCAGTTTCACTACCCGCTACGGGACGTTCTCAAGAAAGAACTCATCTCCTACGTCAACATGTCAGGATCTGATCTGGTCTCATTTGTGCAAGAGTCATCCTCAGGACCCACTCAAGCATCTACGAGTTCCAAAAATACAACTATAGACGATCTCATGAAGCAGTATTTCGAATCAGTTGAAGAGAACTTTCCAAGCATCGTTGCAAACGTCGTTCGCACTACGGGCAAGCTCCAAGCACGTCCCGATGCGCTCTTGGATCCACACTGCAGCTTATGCAGTATGCCTGTGCCTGAAGGGCGTTTTGGTATTCACGGCTGGGGTGGTGATCAACACGATGGTAACAACTCTGGATCCGAAAGCACGACACGAAACATCTGTTATGGATGTACAAGATCGCTGCCTAAAGTGGTTTGAGTGCGAAGGGTTACTGGAACATCTACAAAACCGTTTCATAAAACACGTTACCTCGACCTCGGCGTTTACTACAGCATCCTATCCAAGGAGCTGGTTTCACACTCTTGCGCCGCAGTGACAAGTTACAGCCGTGGCCCCGCCTCAACCTTCACCGGTACTCCGCATACTCTCAGCCAAACCACCACACCGCCGCCCGACAGCCCCCCACAAGCAAAATTCGAGCTTTTCCAGGCCTCTAAACTCGGCTACTGAGTAGAGTGACTTGCAGCTCCACACATAGACGCTCAGTTGGGTGTTCGCCTAAATCGTGGACGGGATACTTCATACAGCACGCATAGCTCCAAAGCAGACTCACCAGCGAAAAAATACCTCTCCAATCCGCACCATGTCCTGTCTACTTATTCGTCAGAAAAAAAACCTCCATTATCTTCTGTACAAAAGCTAGTACCGCAATTACAATGTATCAGCAAACGAATAGATGGGTTGTATACTCCTAGTTTCATCGGAAGAGAAGAGCAGACATTTAGATTAGAAGAGCCAAAGACAAAGCTAGAAGATATGAGAACCCAAATTCATCTGATATACTTATCTACCTTTCTGTGCATCATCGTGATTTCTATCAAAATCACCATCTCATGCTTTCTTCAAACACGACTCTGGTACCATACTCATCATCCAAATTCCAAACCCTCTATCATCCCCACTCTACCCCCTCTTCTACACCCAACCTAAGCATCCAATCCATCCCTCTCAACCAACCACCTAACTACCTCCACAATCTCCGCCTCCCGCTTACTAACCCCCTTCCCCGGCTCCCTCACCATCCCCTCCAGCACCTTATCCAACATACCCCTCAACCGGCTAACTAGCACACCGATCCTCGCCCAGCCCCTCAACCGAATCCACTCATCAACCACAAGCCCACGCCCCAGCGTATCAACCTGAATCCTACCCGCGAACATGAGAAGACTGTACGCATTAAACGGCGTGATGTCCCTGATGAAAACTTTGCTCGTGGCCATCTTGTTGAAGTACGCGATGAAGGATGCGTTGTGGGGGAAAGTTTGGCTAGAGAAGAGGGTGGAAGATGGGTGTACGAATACACGTCCGTTTTCTTGGTTGAAGTATTTGATTTCGCGGGCTGAAGGGTCGAGTTCCACGGCACCGGCTATGCCTGCGGCGAATTTCTTATCGGGGAGCTGGATGCGTGCGATTTGCGGGTTGAAGGAGCCCGCAATCAGGGCGCGCAGGAGGGCGTCGTTGGTGTTGTGTTTGTTGTAGGTGGAGTGGGTGGAAGGATTTGTGGAAGAGTAGTGTGTGGGGATGAAAGAGATTTCTTTAAGAGAAGAGAGATATTGGGTGCGGTTGGAGGCAACGTCAAATAATGTTTGGGGCGAGAGACGGTTGTCTTGACACCAGAAGCGGAGGTCGCGTGATGAGGTGCCTTTGCTGCGCAGTGCGGACCATTGTTCGTAGGCGCGGAGGTCAACCAGGAGATCTCCTTGGTTGTTGGAGAACGAGGCACGAAGGCGGTCGAACTCGTTCCGTGTCTCTTGGTCTCGCTCTCGTGGTGATATGAACGGACTGCGTGCCGTCAGGACCGAAGCGATAGTCAAAGCAGCTTCAAGACAACCAAATGTCGCTCCGTATACCAACAGCTTGCCCAGACGGAGATCTGCTGGAATCATGGACATGTGGCGACCGAGAGCAGTCAGCTCGTTGTCAGTTATGGCTCCCATCTGGGATAACAAGCGCACTGCACCCTCGACTGCGGTACTCTCTGGCGGTGTCAACGCTGAGGCCAAGAACCCAGAGACGTCCTGTACACCCATGGCTTTGATTGATAGACACATCTGTTCGAGTGGCACGCGCCGAATCTCGGGATCGGGTCGCTCCATCATCTTTGCCTCAGCATTTCGTGTGTATAGTTTGTAACAGTCGCCTGCTCGCACACGTCCTGCTCGTCCACGTCGCTGCTTACATGCTGCCCTTGAAGCCCACGTCTCAGCCAGACGGACCATGTTGTTCTGTGGGTCATAACTTGTTTCCTTGACTCTACCTGTATCGATGACGGCGACAATATCTTCAATCGTGATGGAAGTCTCGGCAACATTGGTACATGCAATGACTTTTCGTTTGCCATGGGGTACGGGAGGGAAGACGCGTTTCTGCTCAATTGGCAAAAGTGATGCATGCAGAGGCAGTGCATGTAGGTTGGCAAACTGGCTTAATGCCTGGAGAGTTCGATCAATCTCCATGGTGCCCGGCAGGAAGATCAAAATACCGCCATCCTTGGATCCGAGTTGACGGTCGATATGGCGTACAGTCTCAGCAATCAAGTCATAGTTGATGCCGAATCCAATACTCCGGAGATTCGCAGAGAAACCTTTATCTCCAGAATCATCTTCCTCATCCATTCCGTAGCCCTTGAATCCAGTAAAGTGAAGAATGTCGTCCATGTAGTAGTCAGTTACAGGGTGGGTACGACCCTCAATTTCCACACGACCCACGGGTCCTACCTCCTTGAAATAGGCCTCGAAGACGGCGGCATCAAGTGTGGCACTCATGAGAATAACCTTGAGATCTTTGCGTTGCCGTAGGATTTGACGTAGCAACACAAGCAAGAAGTCAGTGTCCAGACTGCGCTCGTGTACTTCATCCACCATAACATGGCTCACATCCGCCAGCGAGGCAACAACGTCATCAGAATTTCCACCAGAGGTCTGGAGTCGCCTGAGAAGAACACCGGTCGTGACGAAGGTGATCTTGGTAGTACCAGGCTTCTGCTTCGATTCTCCACGAATGGTATAACCAATCTCATCGCCAACCTGAGAACATCGTTCATCGGCCACACGATCTGCGAGGCCGAGAGCAGAAATTCTTCGAGGTTGCGTGCAAATAATGTTTGCTACGGCACCAAGCTGCCGTTGTATCAAGTCGTCCAAAACAAACTGCACTGATTGGGTCGACTTTCCCGAACCTGTCTCACCTGAGATGATAGTGACATTGCATCTATTGACAGTCTGCACAATTTCTTCCCTTAGGCGCCATGCAGGGAGCGATTTTCGGGCATCCATCATTTTTTGTTGAGCTGGAGTCTCCTGCTTAGCTTGCCAGGCGGCCAACGCATTTTGGCTTGCAGGGGTTGCTGGTGTCCAATCGATAGGTTTACGGGGCTTACCCTTTGCCTTTCGTTTCTGACTTGGTTGTTCAGACATGTGGTCCGCCGCGGCAAGTCCAGAAGAGACATCTGATAATCTTCCTGGATTTTGGAAGATGTCACCAGCATTCGTTTGGATCCAGTCCACAATATCATATACCATGGGCATACCAATGAAATTTGCCTCTGCATGAAGGAGGGCTTGTCTAATGATGCTTAGGCGAATGTACGCTGGGATGGCAGCTTCGAATGTGATTATTGGTACGACAGCGGGGTAAGGACCAAAGGGCTTTCGGACTTGTAATATAAGCCGTTTACCCTGTTGCTTGACGTCCAATTCAATGCGACATGCTTCTGGAGTAGGTCGTGAGAAGAGGCGATCGTATATCGCTTCTAGAGATGACATCTCCACTTCCCATGGGTCTTCCTCAGATGTTTCCTCTGACGTGCCCTCCGACAGCGAAAGATCTGCCAACTCCTGCAAGATGCTGTTGTCATCCTCTTCTGGCCGAAGAAGGCGAGCCTGCAAAAGAGCTGCCGCTTTTCTTTCATCGCCACCCTGACTATCGAAAGCTTCTTCGCATAGGTCTACAGCATATCCGGCAGCTGCTAGACGCTTCACAGCACCCTCGCGCTTAAGGTTTGTACTAGCCATACTAACACCGGCAACATAACCTTCGGGTAAAGACCAAGATGGAAGATCGTCCTCTGGTACGTGGATAAGGAGCCATTCAATGATTTCCTCACGGTCTTTGCAGATTTCGGCTGCCTCTTCGACATGGCTTTTCCGAAACCCAAGGTCAGCGATTTCCTCGACCAGCCTAGCCTTTGTAGCTGCGTCCATCTCTACACCATTGGGGTTCCAGAGGGCATCACGGCGGATTAAACGCTCTGCTTCTTTTCTTGTCCTTTTCCCCAACTCAATCTTTGGCACACGTTCCCACCCCTTCATCAAGTTCCTGCTTGGAGCAGATTCCTTTGAAGACCCAGGCATGACCGCGCCAGGCTGCTGATTATGGGCCTTCTGGGCCTCTGCCTGTTCTTTCTGCTTCTTCTCACGCGCTTTGGCAGCCGTCTCCCGAGCCTTTTCTCTTTCTGCAAAGCCAAAGAATGGGTCAGCTTCGTACATCCAACCTTTTCCATCCTGCTCATCCCTCTTTTTCAGTTCTGTAAATTGTCCTTTCCACAAATCTTTGTAAGTTGGCGGAAGCATCATGTGCAGGTTTTTGGCGCTGGCGACACGAAAGAGGGTGTATGCAGCGGCAAAGTTGCGAGCCTCCACAGCGGTAGGTTGGTGTGCTTGCTCCTCGAGTTCGGGGGGAATCTTAATTGGCGGCAGAGTCATCGTCTCTCGTGTCTTCTGGTTCACCTTGGATAACACTACAGCATAGGCAAAATGCTTGTCGCCATCCTTGCGCTACAAAACATCAGCTGCGATGCATCGGCTCTGAAAGAATATCCGTACAATGCGATAATCTGGCTTAGCCCACTGTTGCTTTTGAAAGTGCTCCGATAGTAGATTGACAGGCAGTTTTCCAGTCCACGATGCGCCAGCTACCAAAGTCCGAGTATCTGGTCTCTTCGGCCCATCTTCAGGCTGAGCGGCTCCTCCCTTGCCCTTTCCTTTGCCATCATTTTGGGCTGCGTCTCCGCCAGAGCTTTCGCCCTTTTTCTTTTTGGCCTTGCCGTCGCCAAACACAATGAAGCTTGTGTCTTCTTCGGGCGGGACTGACTTCTTCGCAGGTTTACCGCGGGGCGGATGTGCGTTTTTTGGCATTGTGTCGGAGCAGGAAAAAGGTGTAGCGTCGAGTAATATCCATGGACAGATGTATTTGCTTCGGAAGGGGAGCGATGGATAAAGATGTCTCCCGTGTTCGAGGGCGGTGAAGGGCGCTCGCGCTAGCAAAAGGGCTCAATCACCAAAACTCCACCACCAGCTACCAGTGCACTTTTTTGAAAAGGAAGTGGCTGTGGATTGTGCTGTAGCCATTTCGAATGTGGCAGCGAGACACTTGGTTGTTGCCCGCAATCCGAAATTCCGATGGTTGCAGGGATGCCTCGGCACGCTCGAGCCACCTGCTGTGAGCCTCATCGTCATCACCCATCAACGCGACATGTCTTTGCGCCAAATCACTAAACCATCCATTGTCAGCAGATTGTTCTCAATCTCATACAAGAACATTCGTGAGAGGAATTCAGACTTCCGCCAGCCACCGCATGATAGCTTCCGAAAAATCATGTCCACAAACAACAATCACAACCCCAGCGCGGAACAACCCCGTGACGCGATCACGGCAGAGGAGATAAATGGAACAGAAACGCCTAATCAGCCTCAACCCACCATGGACGCGGGCTCTCAGAAACGACCCAACGCATGTACGTTTCTGAGTTGTTCTACCTAAGTCCACAAGCAACTTCAACTCACAACACAGTCACAGAACTCATGTCGCGATCCAAGCGACCAAAACCACCTCCAACTGGCATAACCGCCACCGACTCCCCCAGTACAACCGAGCAAAATGCCAAACCTTCAAAACGCTGGAATCCCCGTGACGGGCTGGGCATATACATAGAAACCCCCGAGACGAACCCCGAGGGAAGAATCCTAGAATACGACGATGACTTTGTCGTGATAACCGACAAGTACCCAAAAGCAAGGTCAGTCTTGAGCATTCCCATCCCATGCCCAAAATAGATATATAGTACTAAAAACAAAGCATAGCGTACACCTCCTCCTCATCCCACGAAACCGCGCCTACTACACCCAGCACCCCCTCCACGCCCTCTCCAACGACCCCGCCTTCCTCACCACAGTGCGAGCACGCACCGCGCGTCTCGTAGACCTAGCAGCCAACGAACTACGCCGCCAATACGGCGAGGGCAGCGCCTCAGATGCGCCCTACAACACCGCTCTCGAAACTCTCATGTCCAGTCCTGACCCCCCACCATCCCCCTCCAAGCGCTCCGCTCTCCTCCCACAAGGCCGCGACTGGAGCAAAGAGATAGTAACAGGCGTGCACACGCATCCGTCGATGAATCACTTGCACATCCACGTGTTCAGTCGCGATATGCATTCGCCGTGGATGAAACACAAGAAGCACTATCTTAGTTTCAACACGAGTTTCCTGGTGCAATTGCACGAGTTCCCGCTCGAGGAAGGGAGCGTGAGATTTCGTCCGGGCGACTGGCCGAGCTGGGACATGGAGTGTTGGCGATGCGGACAGAATTTCAAAAACAAGTTTGCGGCACTGAAATCGCATTTGGAAGAGGAGTTTGAGGAGTGGAAGAAGGAGTAGTGAAATCGTTTCTCTATTTTTTTTCCTTGTTTGGGTGAGAGGGTGCTAGGTATGGTTTTCAGAACTATCATCGTGTATTATACAACCACATCATCCCCGAGTAAGAGTTTTACAAAGTAGCATATCTTGGAAAATCATTGGGCACCGGGGAGCGTTCATCCACATAACAAGTACCGTACTGTAACTACTCTCACTGTCTGCCGCCTATACGCACCTCAGCCAAGAAACGCCGAAACAACTTCTTAGCGTATGACCAGGGTCTTTACAATAGTCGTGTCGATGTCATGCAAGTCGCCCGAGAACTTACACGAGTCACCAAAAATACAGTTCTTGGTACCCTTGGCATGGTTGGTCTTATTCCGAGGCGCAGGGCACCGGTGACCGTAGATGCACTTGATGTCCTGGCAGATACTACCATTTGCGCAGGGCGCCATGCGCGCTACCAGACGAAGTGTAGCAATCTCATTTTCCGTGGGCTTGTAGGCGTGGAGGTGAGTGCAAGAATCTCCATATGGACATTCCTTGCGGAGAAAATGGATGTTGCAAAGTTTCATCTTCTTGACACGGTCAACCTCGGATTTGTCATAGTCCTTGCATGGTGGGTCGACACGCTGGCCTGCGCGGTTGCGGGCGATGATTTCTTCGCGGCTGGCAGGTCTGTAGGTGGGCGACTTGGACTTTGGGGGTGGAGGAGCCGCGGCTTTAGCGGCGTAGTTCATAGGCGCTGCAATGGGTCTCTGAGCAGGTAGGCCATCAGAACCCAAGGTCGAAGTCGATGGAGTTCTGGTCATATGACTCAACACGGCACCTTTGGGGAGAGGGCTTTCCCAGACCGATGAACTGCTCAGTGGCCGTGTAGGTGCGGGTGCTGGAAACCGAAATGGAAGACCGGTCGGTGTGACAAAGCTGTTTGGGCTACCCTTTGTTTCGGCTCCGTTTGTAGCAGGGACAAAAGCTGACGAAAGGGCTCCCAAAACAGGCCCAGCTCCCCATGATGCGTACTTGGGCTCACGAAAGATGTCGGAAAGCCTTTTCGCCTTGTACGGTAGCGAAATCAGGTCTTTGTCAAAAAGAGGGCCTCCAACGAGTACCACTTTGTCACGCAAACCCTCCTGATTAGAGTGTTCTTCAAGAAGGCGTGTATAACCCTCGTTGTACGAGCAGCCGAAGAATAAATGGCAGCAATGGTAATCTCGAAAGTAGAGTTTGAAAGACTCTGCGTCTTCTTAGCATTCTAAATTGCCACGAGATGTACGCTTAGTGTACTCACCAATCATCTTCTCGTTGGCGCAATCATTATACATCCCTACGTCGACAACATCGAACAATGTCTCGCCCGTTGTGAATCCACACACAAAGTCTTCGAAATAGGTAATGTCAGGGATGACACTTGTGCGGACAAGCTCTTCAGCGATGCCTTTGACATTGGCGTAAATCCGACAAACGATGCGCAATCCAAGTGGAGCGGCGTCGCGGGAGTTTTCGCTCTGGTCTTGCATATAGTTTTGAACGGCGGCGTGCAGCTTCGAGGCGGCGCGGCGACCGCCGTTTGCACCTTCGCGTATAAACTCATCAAGGAACTGATGGCTCGATCAGCAAAGCAGAAATAGCTTTTCAACAAGAGGACTAACCATCATATCATCGCCGTCAATGAGTACGACAACAAAGGAGTTGTCCACCTGACACCTGCATGTCAGTCTTGTGTTATGATGCTTTGCAGATACATGGCTTTCATTGTATAGCCTCAGACTGACTCACCACTGCCTGCTGTATGTTGCCTGCAAGTCTTTCGTAGTGCTGCTTTTCAGCTAAACATTGAAAGATCCACTCCCGATCGCGGTTACGTTCAGCAAGCATAGCTTGGTTCTGTTGAACGACATATTCATAGCGGATGAGGAGCTCCTATCAACAGGTTAGGTCAGTTGCAAAAGAAATTTCCTTGGAGCCATACCGTCATGAATTTGTTCTTCTCTTCTTCTAATTGGTTAAGCTGCTCGAAGCGCTTGCTGAGCATGTCTAGATCGTTATCAGTCTGAATTGTCGAGGGAGAAATGATGCCATTGTGGGCATCGCGTGAGAGCGCCATGCTGAGATGGTCAGGCAAGAGGCGTAGATGATAGAGGGAGGTGGTGTATTTATTGCAAGGGGGAGAGAAAAGCTTTGTTGTGCGAGGCTGCTGCGCGTGTCAAGGCGAGAAAGTGAGGTAGAGTGTAACAAGGCAATGTGGGACGGGCAGCCGAACGCTCTTTCCACGGTTCACGGGGAGGTGAAAGATGGGCAGGAGCAAACGCGGGTGAGGGGCAGAGCTTTATAGACGCTTCTAGTGGCAATGAAGACGAGATTCGGAATACAGAAAAGTGAAAACAGAAAAACGAGAAACGAGAAACGGGAAACAGGAAACGGTATTGGGGAGCAAATACCAGCGACGGTATTGAGGGACGAGCAATAGAAACAGAAAACAGATAGCGGAAAACGGTTAACGGTTAGTATACCCCTGGATGGTGTAACCAAGATGCAATGCAAGCTACCGGCAGAAAGGCATTTGTCTATGTATGTATGTATGTACGTACAGTACAGTACATGCCGGTGTTGTTAGGGACAAACGCAACCACTAGGCGCATGAAGCCGCAGGCGAATAGCCGCCGTTGGTAAGCGTTGCATTGGCAGGAAGAGGTGGCGTGGTCAGCCTATCCCTTGCGTTTCGGCGATTAGACATGTGCAAAGAGGCCATGTTTGCAAGGCGGCAACGTAAGTAACAAGGCAGATTTGTCACCTTGTGTCGCTATTTGCAAAACGTCGTGTCAGGAGCGAAGAGAGAAAGATGTCGCATGTGTGCGCGAAGAGACATGGGGTCGGCGGCGGCTGTTGGTGCTCATGTCAGCCAACTACCTGACGTCGGCTTTCCGCTGCCGCGGCTGTCCTTACCTTCGCCAAGACCCAACGGCGCCCGGACGTCACTCGCCAGAAGCCACGTTCGAATTCCACCATCTCTCTCCCCACGCCCCTCTTCTCTATTCTTACCATCCCATCCTTTTGTAGCGCTTTCATCATGGTCAATTGGCGATCCTCTACTCTGCTCCTGCTCTCCTTGCGCGCACTTGGTGCCTTTGCCGCAGCTGAGGTGAGTTTGACATGTTGTGACGACACATGACATCAGATGGCTAACCACCAACTCACAGGCTGAAAAGGTCCAAGAGCAAGTCACGGAGCCGCAGACACCCAATGTCAATGTCGCCGTCTCTGTCTCATTCCCACAATCTGAGATTTTCGGCGTGAAGCTCGTCAACGGCCATGCCACCGAGGCACGTCTTTCCGTCACCAACAATGAGCCCACGCCCATTGGTGTTTCCGTTGTTGGCGGCTCGCTCGTCTCTGAAGTCGCCGGCAAATCTCAAATCGTCCGCAACCTTACTTCGAAGCGCTACTCGATCGAGATTCCCGCTGGCGCCGAGGAGACTGTTCCTTACAGCTTCACTCTCGACATGCACCCCCAAAACCTACGCTTGGAACTCATTACCGTGTTGAAGGGCGCCAACAATACCGTATTCACCGTTCCCGCTTACAACGAGACTGTTAGCATTGTCGAGGCCCCCAACAGCTTCTTTGATCCTCAAATGTACGTTCTCTGCAGATCTGCCCTACTTTTATGATTGTGTCATAACTGACTTGCGCCTCTAGCCTCTTCCTTTACCTTGTCGTCCTTGGTGCCTTTGGCGGAACCGTCTACTTCATCTACAACACCTGGATCAGCACCTTCTTCCCCCAGAAGAAGGGCCACGGCAAGGGTGGTGAGCGCGCCAGGATGTCTTCGGGTCAGACCAAGAAGGTTGACCCTGCCGACCAGGTTGCCGTTGTCGGTGCTGATGGTCCCGCTGTCACGTCTGGTGCCAAGGCCTATGACGAGAGCTGGATTCCCGTCTCGCACCTCCAGCGGCCCGAAGCGAAACGCGTCCGCAGCGGCACTCCCAAGGCCAAGCCCAAGGCCTAGACACGTCGAGCACCTACGATACAAAAGGCTTGGGATATTCATGCTATACGAGTGTGATGGCATGCCAACTGGACATGCGCGTGCATGGCATGGCGCAACAGTGTGTTGGCGTTGGTGGCTTTGTATACGGCGATTGCTCTCGACAAGGCCGTCGCATGTTGCAGAAAGGACAAGTTATCTTGACGAATTGGATATAATGCCGAAAGGACGGATAACTTTGTATATTAGAAAAGTAATATGATACGACATGTTGTACCATGAATGCAAATGCCAAAGCGGATATGTGTGTGTGGATGTGGATGGGTGCTTGTGGTACAGTTGACTAGGGAGCTGCAAGCTGGAGCTCTCCCACTGGTTCATACCAAGGCGCCGTAGCCCTTTGCTGTGGTTGGCTCCCACTACACCCTCCAAGCACGCCGCACACTGTGCTTTTTCTGGGGATCTGCATGCAAGCGCTCTACGAAAGACAACGGGGGGGGGGGGGCAAATATGAAGTTAAATGGCTGAATTAAATTATGCCGTTGAAAGAAAGAAAGAAAGAAAAAACGACACAATCTCGATGCCACAGTCACGGTGCATCAAGCCCACCCTTTGTACTATGTGCAAGATGACCGTTAGACGTGTAACCCCCACGCTCCATCTCTCTCTCTCTCTCTCTCTCACAGACTTACCTTATGACCCCTTCACATGGCATGACCAACAACAAGCCTTGGACGACTAGCAGCCCCAAGCCTTTTCGATCGTCACTCTAGTCCGCTTTTACATGTGATTAACACATAATATTAGCACGAAACAATGCCAACCCAAAGCAAGCACCGCCTTGGCAACCAGCCGCAATCTTCAAACGCAGGCGGGCTGACTTTCAAACACGCAAAGATTTGGCAGATACGACTGCCACCCCACAACCCACAACCCACGTAACCCACACATGCCAAACGGAGGCCCAAGCTTGATGGGTCGCATAAAAACAGATACCTTTGGTGTTGCTGAATCTAGGCAATGTGTCTGTGGGTTCAGTAGTAGGTAGGTACGTTAGCCCTGTGTATGTTGCATAAGGCCAAGAGACGGCCCCCCTTCCCCCATTCTATCTGTCAGAGTGTCAGAGTATCAAGATGTGATTGAAGAGTGGCTAAAACCCTTAGAGGAAGGGTCCCAGCGCCCTGGCCTCGCACAGAAACAGCTTCAGGTAGTGTATCCTGTGTACCCGCCTACACTATGCGGAGCGGACTTGGCTGGCTTGGCCTCTATGTGGGCGGTTGGGAGGAGCGGAGGAGAGGGCGTATGCGTGTTTGTTCCGTATCTTGGTGTTAAGGGAAAGGGAGAGAGAATCGCCGAGTTAGAAGCGGGAGGGGCGTAGGCGGGTGTGCGTGGTGGTGAAGTGGAGGGAGAGGGGATATGGGCGATTACTACAATGGGCTTTTGGAGGGTCAAGTGCAACCGTCACTGTCTGACGTGCGCAAGGTTACTGGACTGGCGGCTGCCAATACGTACGCCTCTTTCTCTCCCACCCCCCTCCCACTCTGTTCCCCCCGCGTAGTCGCATTGCACGTACGTATGCGCACAACGGCGGTGAGGGATGCATGTGCTGTTTCTGTGTCAGGTTGGGGGTTGCGTCCTATGGGAGAGACTGGATGCCATGCAATGCGGGCGTGGATTTAGACTGGTGGTAAAATGGTGGTGGTGATTATAGTGGTGGTGATTATAGTGGTGGTGTAAAGCCGCAGGCTACGCATCGTCGCATCGCGCCTTTGAGATTGAGTGAGCCAAGGAGCCGGGGGTGGCAAGTACAGCGGGAGCTAGAGTGTTTTGCAGGCATGAGACATGCAGTAGTACGATGGGGAAAGAGAGGGAGATCAAGATCAAGATAGAGAAACAAGTTGGGAAAAATATCGCAAGTCGACGGAAAAGGCCGCGCCGGCTCTTTTTCTCTCTCTCGCCTTGCTCACGCGATCCGGAAATGGTGCCTTGCTCACGCGGCCGGATATGCTGGGTGATGGAAGCTAACTGACCGGATAAGGGGAGGAGAAGGATGAGGGGAAAAGGCTGCATACACCGGATATGTCCATCTGCACGCACACACCGGAACCAATACAGGTGGGTGGACGAGGGTGATGGGCCGATTGGGCCCCCATGGTTGGGAAAGCGCGGGTTCTGCGCGATACCGTGTGCAGGCATTGGGTGTATAGGCAGTGTGTGGAGTATGGATGGATGAATGGATGGATGTACAGACTATTAGCATGTCCGGGGGAAGTGATCGGTAGGTGGGTTGCATGTGGGGTGACCTATAACCTTTTGGCCGCCATAAGGGTGGTAGCTCCAAACGGTGTGGCCTTCACATCACATGTCATAGCCAGCCCAGTTGACCTCGCCTGTGCATGGCCCACTAGAACCGGGGCGCCGGCTCGTGACTCTGACGCGGGCTTTACGCCGAGGATGCGGAAACAGATCGTGTGTGTCGGCGGTGGGTCAAGGGTAACGGGCTTGGGCGGGTGGATGGACGGACGAGCTCGAGGGTGAGTCAAGATTGGATCGACTCACCAATATATAACATCAGCCCTCGTGTCCTCCACCCTATCTAGCTTGCTTTTTATCCTCTCCCTGCAAACCACTACTTACTTGCCTACGACTTACACTCAAATAACATCATCGAGTTGCCAAAGGCCCGAATACCGGAATCCACCACCCTGCATCAAGCAACCACCATCAACGTCACCCTTTGCTCGAAAATACCTCTACCACACCCAAAACCACTTGCATATTAAACGCGCACTCATCTACTACTACCACAAAGATACCAACCTCAATCTTCTGTATCCCACACAAGGCCTAGACCGCCACTCTCTCTCAACCACACACCATGCCTCCGATCAGCCAGTTCCCCCCCGCCCGCGTCTTCCTCAAGACCGCAACCTCATCCGCACCCACACCCTCTCCCATCTCAATCACAACCAGCGTCAACTCCGCCGCACGCAAGTCATCCCTGACTTCGCCCATCAGCCCGCGCTACTCCATCTCCATGTCGCCCCAACAACAACAATCCATGTCGCAGATGTTCTCCTCCCAAAGACAAGCCATGCCGAGACCGGGCGACGCCATCCGGAGAGTCACAAACTGAAGAATCTCTTCTTCTTTATTTGCTACTTTTATCTTTTGTACTTGAAGCGACAAACTCTTTCATGACATATCCATCCACCTCCCCTCCCTTTCTCGCGGCGCGGACGCTGGTCGTTTTGTGTTTGTGTGTGTGTGCGGTTACCAACGTCACTTCATCAGCGCGAATAAAAACTTGGACGTTTGGTGAACAACCAAAAAAGGAATTCCCCCCCCCCCCCAAAAAAAAAGAAGGGGGAGAGACGACCACTTGGAAGGGGGCACAAAAGGCGCTACTAGGAGTATTTCGGTTTCTTTTTTTTTCCCTTCGGTTTCTGCTTTTTTTTTATACACTGCGATGTTGGAAAATGGACGAGACCTACGGGTTCTCGATGGAAAGGGGAGGGGAGGATGATTTGATCTGGAATGATCGGGTTCTGGATATGGAACCCCACACCCCGCCTGCCTGCCCGCCTGCTCTCTCTCTCTGAGAATGACAATCTGGAGATTGGGGCGCAGATATGACTTTAGAATAACTACCCTCAAGGGTATACAAATTAAGAAATGTAAAACTTTCTAAAAATGGAAAATGTGTATAGTGTGAATGTCATCTAGCCAAGGGTCCCTCGTGTCGTTGTTCCTCTTCGAGTTGTTTTGTATGCGGCAGCCAGCCTTCTCGAAGCTTGGGCTCACGGACCACTATTTAGATGAGTATGTTTATGTGATATTACATGCTACTTATTAGCTTAAGAGTACTACTTCTTAGATATTCTTAGAGATGCTATAGCCTACATGAGGTTGATTGAACGAGTTGCAGCATGTAGATTACTATTGCTCCATCTACTTTATAGTAGCAGGCTTCCATGAGAAATCCCTCGCAGCACAACAAACACCAGAGCTTAAAGCAAAACCATCGATTGTTGCGAAAAGAAAACCGTGCATATAAGGACCATGTGTACGTAAGCGCATAATCATTCAGTATCTGATCCTTGTCTTGTGTATAAGCTCATACACACCGCACTTGCATCTCGCGTCCACGTCCATCTCGTCACTAACCGGAGATTTTCTTTCCAAAAGAGCTTCGAGCAATCTATTCAACACTGTTAGCAAAATCCCTATAACCCCCCTAAAAAATACTCAAAAACAAAAAAAGAATAAACTTACCAAACTCCTAAACCTCTTTCCATACACGTACGCCGGAATGGTAAGCATGCAAATACCCAAATTGATAAGCGTAATCCCATCAAACACCGCCCTCGGCCCCACGTTGGCCATGATGCCATTCGCATACGTCGTCGCAATGAACGTAAACACAGCCTTTGTAAAGTTAATAGTGACAAACGCCTGATTCGCATCGCGGGGGTGGCAATCAATGACGTAAGTCAGACTGGCCGTCGATGCAAACGGCACCGACAACGAGTGAATCGACATGAAGACAAGGGGCCACACCATCGGCAATCCTCGCGACACACTGATTCCAAAGCCCAGGAAACCGACTGTTGCGAAGATGGTCGCGGGGATCATGAGCGTGAGACGGAACTCGGGCTCGAAGATGCCTTTGTTGCGACGTGCCATGAACTTTGCGATTGCGTCGGCGGTCCAGCCGGAGAGCGGCGAGCCGATGAGGGAAACGGCCAGGAGAGGAAGGTTGGTGAGGCCGACTTGAGCGGGGGTCAGCGAGTACGGGGGTGCGGAGAAGACGCCGACGGAGAGGACGGAGATGGTTAGGAGCCAGGTGAAGTAGGATCCGTACACGATGGTACTGAACAACACGGCGGGGAAGGCGATCAGGGGTACGGGCTTCCATGCGTTCTTCCAGAAGGACTCGGGCGACATGCGACCGCGGAAGATGGCGAGCTGGCTTTTGTATGTATGCAGAGGCTCATCGCGTTCAGCCATCGACTCAGCGATGGAGTCGTTGTCTTTTCCATCAAACCCGGGCTTCCCAGCCGTGGGGCGTGGACCGTAGTATGTAGTTTCGACAATCAAAAAGTATACACCGAGGAGAATAGGTATGAAGATGAGCGCTGAGATACCAAACGTGGCTTCGAACGAGACGTTTTCGATGATTGCGCCTGCGATGACTTGACTGGATGATTATTAGTTGGGTACGTAGGTTCAGACTTGGAAGAGAAACGTACCCAAGCAGCACTCCAGCAGACAACATGCAACCCCAGACTGCGATACGTGTGCCTCGCTGATGGATAAAGTACATGTCCGATACGGTTGACGTGACGAGCGTCTCGAGAGGAGCCGATGCAATACCCTGTATTACACGCATGACAGCGAGGGAGACAAATGACTATGCTAAAGTAAGTTGAGGACCAAATGACACTTCTAAGTTCAACACACCTTGGCGAAGAATCCCCAAACGTTAGTAGCGAGGAGAATCACTGTCGAAATAACGAAGAAGGGACGCTTGCCCCAGATGTTTGCTCCAGCAGCAGTAAAGAACGTCGTAAAGCCGATCCAGAAGGCAAGAAATCCGATGATGAGACTCGAAACCATGTCGATACTGACATTGTACTTCTTTGCGAGAAGTGGAAGACCAGGCGTTACCATTGGTCCGAGGCTACGCTGCCATCAGTATGTGAAGATTGACTCACGTTTGAAGTACTTACGCTGTTGTGACACCGGAGCTGAAAGCAAGGAGGACCATGATGCACTCCTTTCTCATTGGTGACCTGGACTTGTCAATGAAGGTCGCAATTCAAATACAAACTAGGCTCACCAGTTCAAAGGATCGTTTGGACTGTCCGACGGTTGTGGTTGCAAGATTATATCTCCATCGCGCTTCAAGTAGCTCGAGTCGACTTTCGAATCAACTGAGACGCAATCAGTATTGTATACTTCAGATACATGCTAGGTAGAGCTCACGAGCTGGCCCAGAGTCATTAATGGTCGACGTCCCAGGAGGAGCCGCCATATGAGGGTCATCAAGAATACCGAAGCCCATTTTGACTATCCACAAGCAGTAATTGGCTCGTAACGAAATAGAGGGAGAAAAAAAAGGCTGCCAGCAGCTTGTCAGAAAAAAAAAAGACGACTTGCGTCTAAGAGAATTGAAATAAAAGATGCACAATGAAATAGATGAACAACATAGGTATTGAGACCAGCTCTGATATTCCTCAAGGGCCCTCTCGCCTTATCACCTCAGGCCATATCAAGCACACACCGTTCCAAGACGGTCAGGGCACAACCCAGAGGCAACGAAACTAGGCTGAAGCACCTGGGGAGACGATCTCTCGTCAATCATGATCGTCCTTTAGCGATGATCGCTAGAAAGTCAACTGCCGGCAACATGGGGTTGGTTGGGGAGCCACCAGGGATTAGCCATCTCCAACGCACTTTGTGTTTCAGCATGTCAGAACATTCTGCGGGAGCAGCTCCAGCCACGTAGGCTTATCCTGCAAAACATAGCTTCGGCAGTTGCTTTGTGACGGGGAGTTAGCGAATGAGGTTGCGGGTGCTGGGATGTCAAAGCGTTCGAGTGGCAGATGTGATGGTCGTTGCAGGTTGATGCTGCATTCCACCCCTGCTTTAAGCCGCATCCTGGGCATCGGCTAGAAAACTTGGCTTCGATATATCACTATGGAATTCGATCCTGCACAATTTGCAAATCTCTGGGGTAAGTACTGTAGGATTGCAGTAGTGTCGAAGATTGATGTTGATCTGGATAGCGTGGCGTGTTAGTGGAGCAACTTCTTGATGCGAAACACATGGCAGATCTTGTATCTGCGAAGGTGTTCCAGAAAGCCATGGGCCAAACCGGGGAGTTAGGCATCAAAAGGCTTCCGTAACCATCGCAAGCTATCTCTGTAGCCTGACTAGCTGCCAAGATACAGAATACGAGGAGATCAGAATGCCCAAGAATTGATCATCGACAATACTTGTGTCAATGAGAGGAGTACTTATGCGTACAGAGGGATTGCTGGAAACCGCGTGACTGTTGTACGAATGGTTTCTCCAGCCATCTCAAACTGCGTTGAGACACGAACCAAGGAGAATGTGGGTGCAAAAAGCAGCTATATGTGAAGGTGAGAAGTGCACCAAGACTATGTGTACTTACATTGAGAGCCCGCGGACGCACGCCTGTCACGTCTGCCAAATGCGGGATGGCTCCCGACGTCATGGCCATCGTGGGGAAGCACGAACATACCCCGCTACAAGTGCAATCGCGTTTTCAATTGGAAGAAATGAATGCCATCATCGACCACAAATTACCATTTAGCCGCAGTACAGCCGTAGAAGGACGACCTTATATACTGAATTGAGGTTTCCAATCCATCTCAAACTGCTTTCCCATATCACGCTCCTCAGACTTGATAAACACAATCAGAAAATGGCAATTGGAATCGCACTCATCGGCAGCGGCATCTTCGCTAAAGAAGAACATCTCCCAGCTATCCAAGATGCTCCCGTCTTAAGCCTAAAAGCAGTCTACTCTCGCTCCCTCAAATCAGCCCAATCCCTCTCCGAAAAGCTCTCAGGCGTAGATTTATACAGCGACGACCAAGACGGCAAGAAATTCGATGATTTGCTAAAACGAGATGACATTAAAGGCGTGGTTATCGCGTGAGTAACATATACCCCGATTATACAACCATCCAATCTACCCAGTTCCTAATATACTAACAAACAAACAAAAAAGCCTCCCCATCCCCGCTCAACCAGACTACATCAAAAAAGCCCTGGCAGCCGGAAAACACGTCTTCGCCGAAAAGCCCATAGCCAAGGACCTCAGCACCGCCTCCTCCCTCCTCGCCTGGACCTCTAACACCTCCAACACATCCGCCACGTACACTGTCGCCGAGAACTTCCGCTTCATCGACTCATACATCTGGGCCTCGCAGCAACTCGCCTCTCTCGGCCGCCTCCTCAGTTTCCGCGTTCGCGTTATGTTTCCCGTTGCCGTAGGCAGCAAGTACTACGAGACGGCGTGGCGCAAGAAGCCCGAGCACCAAGGCGGCTTCATTCTAGACGGCGGCATACATTTCGTTGCTGCGACGCGCTTGCTGCTCCAAGGTGCGGGCCAGAAGGTTAAGAGAGTTAGTGCGTTTACGGCGCAGTTGCAGGAACATCTTCCGCCTGTAGATACGCTGAATGCGGTTTTACAAGCTGAAAATGGGAGTTCGGGGAGTCTATCGATTTCGGTGGGGACGACGGATCAAGGGTCCGAGTATGTGGTTGCGTGTGAGAAGGGGGTGGTGACGGTTTCGCGGGGGAAGGTGGTCGTTAAGAGACAGGGGGAGGAGAAGGAGGAGGTCAAGGAGTTCCCGGATGAAGGGAATGGTGTCAAGCAGGAGATTAAGGCTTGGGCGAAGAGTTTGGAGGAGGGGAAAAGGAATGAGATGCAGAGTCCCGAGGAGGCGTTGAAGGATTTGGAGATTTTGGAGAGCTGCTTGAAGAGTGGGGAGCAGGGTGGGACGCCGATTGATGTTAAGCAGTAGGTTTGAAGTGTTGTGGAAACGCAATGTCAGGGTATGTTTCGTGTAGATAGTCTGCCATCAAATACATATGCCAACTCCTTATTTCAGTTTGCTACTAATCAATTCCATTTCCCAAAAATCGTTTTTTTATATAATTCTAACATGAACCAACATTTGGAAACCCCCAGCCAACAACTGCCAGCAGCACCTCAACTCATAAGCCCATGTACCTGCTCCCCACTCAAAGTAGCCCTCGCCGCCGGCCTCTTCCCCGCCATCTTCTTCGATGTCGGCACACTCGTCCTCCTCGCACCACTACCATTCCCCCTCGCCATCTGCGCCTCAACCGCAGCCTCATGCTCAATCTTACTCACCGCCCTCGTAATCGCCATACTGTACCCGCCAATCCAATCGCTCCAGCTCTGCTTCCCATTGCGATTATCCACCGCGACTTCGAGATTCGAACTCATACTGCGCTGGGGCCGCGTCTTGGACGCTGGCACTTTTGCCGATGCTGAAGATGGAGATGACTGGGTGTCTTGACTTGCACGAGCAGCAGCGGCAGCAGCACGACGCTGTTCGAGGAAGGAACGAGCGACGTTTTGGGCGGCTGAGACGCCGGATTTGATTGTTTGGACGTCTTCGAGGTTGACGGAGGCGGGGATCGGGATGCGGTAGCTGCCGCTGAGCGTTACTTGTCGCTCTGTGCCTCCTCCGTTGCTGGCGCGTCGGGGGATTTCTTCGACGTACTCGGTCTCGTCGGATTTGGCACGTCGGGTTCTGGGGCGGTAGTGTTCGAGGTCTTGACGGGCGACTTCGAGTTCGCCTTCTAGACGGACGAGTTCTTCGTCTGCGTCTTCTTCGTCGGGGTCGACGACTTCTTGGACTCTGGGGTTGTTGACACTTGCGTCACTTGTGTTTGTGTTGGTGCGGGTGAGTTGAACCGTAGTAGTGGAACCCTTTCGTCCTTTGCCCCGTCGGCGGGGTGAACGGCCTGCACGAGCGTCTGAAGTCGCACCTGTCTTGTACAATTCCTCCACCTTTGCTTCTAACTCCCTGACTCGTGCCTTCAAGGCTTCAAGCTCGGAGGAAGAAGGGCTCCCTTTCGATATGTTGGTGCGGGTGGGTGACGGTGGGGAGCTGATAGGGGTTGAGGTGGGACTTTTGTTAAGCTTCCTAGGCTTTCTTCTTGGGGTCTTTACTTCGGCTGCAGTTGTATTAACTGTAGGTCGAACTGCTGCCGCTGTAGTTTTCTTTGCTGGTGAAGTCGATGCTCTCGCTACTTTCCCTTTTGGCAAAACGACACCTCCCGCGGAGCCAGCCCTTCCTTGCTCAGCCTGGCTGGGCGGAGTGCCTTTCCGAGACCTTGTCTGCTTTATGGGTGCTGCTGGCTTTGCACTTGGCCCTGGTGATGCCGACTTGGAACCCATGATACCGCTTGTCGCCTCTATCTTTCTGACGAGGTACTAATGTACATCAACACAAATAGACTTTCAACTCAGGGCTCAAACGCAAGACAAGCAGGGGTCCTTGATATCGTCGAGTTGAAAACACCACTCAAATGTACATGTTCTTGATACAAGGGGGCTGCGTAATGAACTATAGTTGTGGAGAATGTCAGGAAATGGAGATGGTGATTCGGTTGCTATTAAAGCAGGATGTCAGAGTTGGAACACAGACTCAGCACATCTGACGTATGGTGGCGGACAGACCAGGATCATGCATGATTGAACCCTGTCGGATGGCGGCGATCATCGTGCCTTAGTGCTACGACTCAACGTTATCTGCAAACCACCTCACAAAACCATTACAATTACATCTGTAGACATTAGTGGGGCGTACCGTTCTTTGGTATGGGGTTTATCTGTGTCCAATTGCTTACCATGGCCGTCTCGATAGTCTGCAGACCTAAGGCAGCATGCACGCAATGTTTCCAAACATAAACACCAACAAGCTCGAAGCGATGCATCTGAGTGGAGTGGATGACCCTTTCATAATCTAGTCGCAGCTAAATACATGTGTGCACACTCTTCTCATGTCATACTGAACAAAAAGATCCATCATAGGAAACCGACTAGTGAGCATAGCTCATCCATACCAACAGTCGAACTGCATGCAAGGGGAATATTGGGGAAAATATGGCATGTCCTGTGTTCTACCGGATCCGCAGGGTCCAAGAGGAAAGACCAATACTTTTGTAGACGAGAAGCGTCAAGGGGATAACATCGTTATCGGGCGTAAAGGAAAGAAAGCTCATAATACGTCCCAGCGGTTGAGCAGCCACGGGGCGCCTTGTAAATCGCGCTTGAATAAACAAGGCCGTCGAAGCATAAGGCAAAAGACCATGTAGTGCACGGATGCAACGATACCGAAGGACCGCCCAACAAATCATAGCTGCGGTAGACAGTACAGGCCTAGAAAGCAAAGGACTCCACCACGCCGTTTGATATGCGCTGCGATCATCCGGATATAATATCAGGGCCAGACGGGATGTCGGGCCAGCCTTAGACAGCGGATACGCCTACCTAAGACGCAATTGCGCGAGCTGGCGCGCCTCCACCGCGGCGGTTGTTCTTGACATTCTTAGTCGGCTTGGTGACGGTGCTCCAGCCATCTTCATCCATGGTCTCGGTTGTGGTAGCTGGCGTAGCAGCTGTGTTGGACTGTCTCCTCCACGAACCTGCCTCCGACTTCGGTGGGTCACGGACAACCTCTTGTGGTTTGACGGCCTTGTCTTGTACTATCTCGCCCTGAGCGTCCTCGTCTTGACCGGCCGAGTTACCCTCATCAACACGCTGGAGAATCTCAAAGTTGGCCTTGGGCTTTTCCTCTGTGCTGTTCTCGTCCTTCCTGGTAGGGGTAGGCTGTGCTGAATCTTTAGGTGTGGCCTTCTCGGCAGCTTCCTTTGCCTTGCGCTCCTCACGGGCCTTTTCGTCGGCCTCCTTCTTCTGACGGAGGGCCAATTGCCTCTTCTCTTCAACCTCCCTTTCGCGCGCAGCAGTGTCAATGGGACGGGCAGCACCGAAGGGGTTGGGCTTGTCTGAAGGGGTGGAGGATTCGGGGCCTGGCTGGGCCTCGGAGACTGTTCGCTTAGCCAGGTTCAGGCGGGGTCGACCTGCAGGAGCAGCAGGTGCTGGTGCTGGCGAAGATGGTGTGCTGACATCGGGTGTCGATGTAGGTGATTTGACTGGCGCATCGGGGCGCATACGGGACCGCCACTGGTTGTCGGCCTCTGCAGCAGTAGGTTGCCTCTCAACATGCGGTCTCTCCTGGAACTCACGACGGGGTCCGCGTGAGCCCTCGGTGCCTTGACCTTCACCCCAAGCTGGGGACTGTCTACGTCCCTCGCGGGGTGTTCCTTCGAAGCCTCGCGTGCGGCCACTCTCACTGGGAGAAGGTGCAGCAGCTGGCGAGAGAGGGCCACGGCGCTCCCAGTTACCAAAATCACGAGACTTACCGTCACTCTCGAATGGAGGTGGGCGGCGACGTTCGCTGCGTTCACCACCAGCATCTGATCCTGCGTCGAAGCCACGGTCGCGACCTGCGCCGAAACCACCCCGTCCAGAGTTGCTGCGCTGACCTGGAAGGTCGGGGAGTGGTCCCTTGCGAGTCCAGTCGGAGATATCGCGGGCCTCTGGGCGGTCCTTGGCTATTATGATGTCAGTAAATTTTCCAGATGGTGGAGTAGGTGTGTGGCGTACGAGGCTCAGCAACGCTAACGCGAATGTTTCTGCCCTGGAATGATGTGCCAGAGAGATCAAGAGCCTTCTTCAGTCCATCTACACTGCCGAACTCAACATATCCAAAGCCCTTTGGCTTTCGGTCCAGCTTGTCTTCAACAATGCGTACGTTGGTGACTTCGCAGCCGGCGAAGAAGTCGGTTACGTCACCTTCGGTGGCGTCGAAGGAGAGGTTGCCCAAGTGAGCGGTGTACGGGGGCTTGGAGGGGAGAGGAAGAGCCTCGCGAGTTGCGAATCCGCGGTCAGCTGCAAGAATTGTTAGCGCATGCAGGAAGAAGCCTTGCACATGTTTACCCACCGAAGCTACCACCGCGGTCACCACCGAAGCCACCTCCAGATCCGAATGTGGGCCTGTCGCCTCCGTATCCGGAGCGGCCGCCAGCACCTACGGCAACGTTAGCACACGGAACGAGGCATATTTGCGCCGCGAGTGTCGGCGGGGTATATTTTACCAGTGCCTGCAAAAGTTAGTACTCGAGGTTGCTGCAAAGTGCGACATGGCGAAACTCACCTGGCATTGGCGCATCCTCCATCTCGTCAGCCCATGATCCCAGCGCTGTGTTCGGTCAGTCCTCTGTGGCGCCTGAGGCCGGTCGGTGAAGGAGGGGGCGTACTCTGATCTCCCAGGAAGTCTCCCAGGGACATCTTCTGCTGTTCCTTCTTCTTGGGCGCTGTAAAAAACCACCGTTAGCCATTTGCGTCTGCTCTGTCGTCGCAGTACGAAGCGGGGCAAAAAAAAGCCGGCTCGCGAGCGACGGCCGCACTTTGCGCAGCCCAAGGCGACTCACGCATGATTGCGGGTTAGCAGACTACGCGCGTAAGGATTTTTTCCGCGCGCTGTCTGGTTCGAGTGCTAAGAGCGTCTTCTACTCTGGGTCGGGGTTGTTCTTCTGGCTGCGGGGGTGTGTCCGTAGTTTCGTGTGTGGGGTGAGTTCTTCTTTCCCGAACGGAAATCTTAAGCTGTGCGTCCGTTGGGCCTCGCTTATGTCATCCCCAAAATCCATTTCACATCCATGCAACTGCGCATGCCGCTTCTAGATCCCTACTGTCTCGTCTTGCCCTGCATCGCCTCCTTGTGTGTCGCATCCATGCGAGAGTGATGACCAGCAAATATGACCCAGCCCAGGTCACACACCCTCTCGAGGTTGCCAGACAGGCCGCCTTGGTCGGTGGAGCCTCAGGTACGTATTTGCTCGCCTCATTTCTTGACGTAATCGTCGCCTGTTGTACGCTTGCCACTTTGCCATTGTGGCTGTCCGGTCAGACATTGAGACACAAACTATCCCTTAGGATTTTCGCATTGCCATTTCCCTTACTCTAAGCATACACATTATCCCCCGATCGGGAAAATGAGACAAATATCATGTTTTGCTTTTCTTCTCTACCATTCAACTTAATTCCAGCCCAACGCCTTTTAGGGACATGCACACACAACTAATCTAGCACAGCAATTCCCGGTACGGTAATCGGTGCTTTATACGGCACAGTCCGCACCCAGACACCCGTCTTGTTTTCCATCGTCTCAGGAGCCCAATGGTTCGCTCTTGGATCAACATTCTGGGGTTTCCGCGCCTCACTCCTCAACCAGAATGGCCTCGTAAACTGGTGGAACCTTACTCGAGGCGCCCCCATCTACCCTCGTGATGACCTGAGCCCATCTCCCTCGGACAAAGTCCGCGCCTCTACCATTGCCGGAGGATCAACCGGCTTCACTCTTGGTTTCTTGTTTCGAGGTCCCCGCAACGTTATTCCTGGAACTCTTATGTTCAGTCTCGTAGGCTGGCTAGGACAGCAAGGTTACAACTACCTTGATGCGAGAAACTCTGGTCAACTTCAGGAACTGGCGGAATTGAGAGCTAAGGGCGAAGAAAAGCCAAAGGAGACTTTAACGGACAAGATTGCGAAGAGCAGATGGAGTCCAATGCAAGTCTTGAGCGATGAGGATTACGAGAAGATGATGCAGGAGAAGCTGTTGAGGGTTGAAGCAGATATTGCTATGATCGATGATAAGATTGCGGCACTGAGAAAACAGGCAGTTGAGAAGGATGCGCAACATCAGATCAAGCATGTGCACGAGCAGGACAGGATTTCAAAGTGAGATCTTTATCCCGCTCTGAATCTTTGAATACTTGACTTGGCCTTCATAGTGTAAGATACTTGGATTTGGAAAATGGGAAAACAGTACTTTTGACACGATACCTACATTTCATTTCTCAGCACCACCTTCATTAGCCGACGGTACCGCATCTCCTGCAGCAACTTCTGGCACAGGATCCTGCACCACACTCTCTTTCTTTTCTTCTGCCGGACCTTTCTGCATTTCTTTTGGCGCGCTTTCTTTGACTTTCGCCACGCCACCACCACCTGCCGACTTCGCATTCTTCCCCTCTCCCATTTCCTGTCCCCGTACCTCCCCAGCCCTCGCCCCATACACTGCCCACCCCAGCATCCCTCCCATCCTAACCTTCGGCTTTCCCTCCTTCCACGTCTTGGTCGTAATACTCCTCCTCTTCCGACCCGCAAGCCACACCAGTGTCGGCGGCAAATTGTCTTCATCACGGAGCGCAGATGGGGAGCCCCCGCCGCCTCTTAGACACGGTATGGTAGTTGGAGGTGTATATAGAGGGTAGGTGGAGTTGATAAGAGAGTCCTGAGTGCGAGGTTGAGTTGGGGAAGGAATGGGGGAGGCGCAGGGGATACAAGGCATATTGCAGAGAAGGGGGCGGGGAGGCGTGTATGTGGCTGTGAAAGTGGCTGTCCGAGATGGAGGGAGAGTGTTGTTGTGGGCATTGCTGGATGAGCTTCTCGCTATGCTCGATGTAGCAGTTGTGCGTGACAGGTTCTTGGGAAGTGTTGCAGTACCTTGGGCTCTGCGCATTGCTCGGGATATCTGGGCTGGGTCTGGGATTCGGACTGGTGAGTCTTCAGTGTCGCTGCTGGAATCGTACTCGGGTCGGTGGCATGTGAGAAGTAATTGTTTGAATAAGAAGCCGTATCCAAGACATGCTTGATTGGTTCCGGCGCCGCCTCTGAGTCTGGGAATGTTTTCGGGGCCAGGACCGGGTTTGTGCGTGGATCGTTCATTTCTACGGGAGTTTTCATCAGTTGAACATATAGGCGTAGTGCTGTGGGTTTTATTCCGACTACATGGCCTCGAGTTGCGCGATTGTGGGGCCTGCAGTGCTGGAGATTTTCGTGCATACGCATTGCTGTCATACAACTGCTCATCAATACTTCTGTGGTGCTGCGCCCGCGATTGTTTGGGAACGACGGGCCCACCCACTACCAGCACATGCTCTACGACAACATTGCTATGCCTACTCTGCTCTGGGAACAGCCTATGAACATCGCTTACTAGCGCTGGACTAGGATTGTTTCCGTAGAATATCGTCTCAGAGAAATCTGTATATCGATTTCGTTCCTTTTGCTGGTTCACAGTAAATGCAAATTGAGCCAAGGGGCTTGATAGCCCAGCATCTATAGCGGCAAGGTGTTCCTTCACTTCTTTCTTGTGAACATACGGGTATGCCTTCGAGTCGGGTAAGCCATGTAGATAATGCAATTTGGGACTGGTGGTTCTCATGTCGTTGCCCTTGAGAGTGTTTCCGTAAGAGGAGATTGAGTCAGGTTCTAGTGGTCGGAATGCTGGGCGATCAGAGGGCGGATTGAGAATATTGTTAATAGCTCCTGGGCGCGGTACGGGAAGCGCTGCTCTCCTGGGCGGGTTGCCGATCCTCTTTGCTGCAATCTCTGGAGGCACAATGCGTGGGCCTTCATCAGATGAGGTACTTGATCTGAGGAAAAACTCCGGATTGAGATACCCTATGTCTTTGCTATACTCAGGCGTCGGTTTCTGTCGAAAACCCATTTTGATATGCGAAAAGGGGCTCCTGGACCGACAGTCATTACAGGGCTCGCTGGGGCTGGGTCTGGATGATCGCATACCGCAAAAGGTGCATCGAGAACGCTCAATGCTTGAGAACGAGTGGTACTTGGTCCTGTCATACGGACATGGATGCTCAGATTCACCTAGGTTTGGCCGGTGTAGCTCTGGAACCAGGTCTCGTTTTTCTGTACCTTGGGCAATGTTGATGCCTTGCTGTGCAAGTGGTCGAATTGGTACAGGTGCCGTTATCGGGCGTGGAGCTGGATCTTGCTTTGGAGTTGTCTTCCGTAACTGCAAGACTGACATGAAAGTGTCCAAGCCCGAAGAAATGCGTCTTCGCAAAGTAGTAGGTCGATGAGGGACCGGATGCTGTAATGTAGGCGAGGCAGGCCTACTTTTAGGCTTAGGATTAACCATACCCAATCGTATCGTTAACCGGGCAAGCAACGCTGAGAATATGTGAACAAGTATATTATCAAGTGTAGTCAGGACACTCTTTTTGAATTGTGCCTCATTTCCAAAACTTCCGCGCCAAATATCTGGGAAATATAAATGTCTGGAATTAAGCCCTATACACATCTTGCTAACAACCGCAGACCGATTGTGGATTGTGATGGCACACATGACGTGTAAAGTGACGAAGCGACTGACGAACGATGCGTGAAGAACGGCCGTGACAGGTACGAATGAAAAGAAGCGCTAGTAGTACAACAGTTTTGATCCTCAAACGGCGGTGTTGTGTCATAATTTTATGTTCGAAGATGACGAGAAACAGTCATCAGTCTGAGTTGCTGCGAAGAGTGTAGTTGTTTCCAGCCGCCTTTGTGACAGTGCAAATCGAATACTGTAAGTGGCTTTGAATGTTTCAGTACCTAGATAAATGCTCTTCTTCAGGCCAGTCACTGAATTCTTGCATATGATTGCAGTCGGACATACGGTCTTTCATGTAGGTCCAGTCGTCATCGTCGAAATACTGAGGCTGGTGATCTCGCGGCATATTAGGAGAGCATGCAGTACACATGCCGTGGCGACCGATCTGATCCGTTAGTCGCCGACATTGAGCGCAGAGTACGTGTACCCTATTACAAACTCTGAGATGCACACCCGGAGTGTATAGCGCACTGTTTACCCCGCATTTCAGACATAGTCTCGAACTCGCCAACGTCCCACTGCGACACCATTTCCCCTTCCTCATACTGTCCTCAAAGCTAGCCCAGCTCCAAAAATTCAGGCAACCCTTACAAGCATATAGCTGACTCGACTTTGCCCATGCGCTGTCCTCAGCGATCAGAAGCTCGTTGTGCGTTGGCGCAGGAATGAGGAATCTGAAGTAGCGGGATGTGGAGGCCAGGTTGACTCTATCGCGGATGTCAAGGAGTCTGATGATTTCCGAATGAAGCTCCACTGGCAGGCGAAGGATGGGTGCTGTGAACATAGTATGTACACCAACACCCGGGATCGTGCGGAATAGGCTACGGTCGTAGGAGTGTGCTTTCTGAAGCCCGATGCGTCAGTCGAGAGTGTCAAGCCACCCATTCATCTAGTAGCTTACTGCTGGAGTTTGCGAACTGTGGCGGTGTTGTCGACGCTTGGGTCGGCGTACCTTCTAATCCGATGTCCGATCCACGTGAACAGGAGCAACTCCGAGGCAGGACACCCTACCTCCTTTCTATGTAACGGACTTTACGGTTTTCAGCCGACGCGCGAAAAAGGTGGATAGTCTGAGATATGGTATAGGATTAGGAAAGCTGGAGCATATTTGAATTTGCACTTCTTGTGTAGCGGAGGACTGTCCCAGCAACACGGAACCATGAAGCCGCGCACCCGCGAGCGCGCCGGAGCGCACCAAGGGTGGAGCCTTCACCCGCGGCCTAAGTTCCGGCTTCCGACTTGCCTGTCTTGGTAGTGACACAAGTTTAGGGCCTCTGATATTCTGCCTGGGAGTTCGCTCCTTGTTTGTCGGCAACAGTGCATGCGCTGTCGCGTAACCAACGTATAGGATCAGTGGCCGAAAGTCAGCTCTCCATGCACACCCTGGTCAGTTAATCGACCGATTGTGTCGGACCACGGCTGGTATTATACTGATTCCAGTCTTTGTCTGATTTCTGGTGGCTGGCGGACATGGTCAAGAACAGCATTAGAGAGTCTTTTCGAGTTTCAGCTCGTTTAATACCATGTAGCGTGATAGGGTGATCCAGCCCCAGCGGAACCAGCGCATCTGGCTCTCATGCGCAGTAGTCATGGCCTTCTGAGCCGTCCTGTAACCGATCGGTGAGCTGGCAAACAGGAGTGGAGTTGGGAACCCCCCCAGCTGCTTCTTTTGCAGCATTGCGCCAATGATGGTAGCAGGGGCGTCGAATAAGCCGAGGTATTTGCGGAAGATGGGAATGGTCGTAAGCGTGTACAGTTTTACAGGACACTCCCAGCCACTGTGACGGTGCATGAGCGCCTTGAGGAAGCTGTGAGCTCCGGCATGGAGCGATTTGTGATTGGGGTGGCCAGAGATGCCGTGTGCGTCAAATGTGATGATGGCGTCGATGGTGGCCTGCGGTGCGTCCTTGGAAGAAATCGAAGACATGCCTGGGGCAAAGGCCGTGGTAAGCAGGTTGGATATTAGACGAGGGTGCCATGTTACGGTCATGGAGTCGGGGAAGTTCCTGCATGACAATCAGTCAGGTGTACAATGCCAGCCCTTGCAGCGCATACTTGTCCTCGACGACCAGAATGTCATCTTCGCTCCGAATGCCCAATTGCAGCCCGCTCTTCACTAGCTCTTTCTTGCGCACGTGGCCCAGCCCGTCGGCATCGCCTGTTATACGGCTGGCATTAGTGGTGGCCCTTCGAGAAGACGTGAGGAGAGGCGTTGATCATACCACTGCTCAAACACAGGATCTTGACGTGATTTCCGTGTTCTGGACGCGTCAATGCAAGCAGAGCCGGGGCAAAGAACATGGCCTCGTCATCTGGATGCGCTATGAGGAGCAAAATGCGTTTGTTGTGCAGGGTGGGGAAGGATGCACTGAGAGTGCTGGTATACATCCAGAAGGCGAAGACAAGGAGGGGCACCGATGCCCAGACGGTCCAATTCATAGCCAACCAATTTTTCAACAGTGTGCTAGGTAAAGTATCAAATAATTTGAGAATGCTGCCGGGTTCATGGTTGGGGGTAAGGTTGACTGTAGGAGGGCGCTGGCGGTTCTGACACGCGCTTTGACCCACGTCATCTTCGACATTGCGAGGAGCCGCACACGCGAACATTCCCCTTGCATCCCCAATTCATTCCATCCGCCTATTATTCTACCCTACCCACCATGTCCAACAGGAAAGAGCGACGCGCCAAAGGTACCGCATTCAATGCAAAAGCCACTGGAGGCGGGCTGCAGCCTTCGACCGAGATTGACCAAGATGGAGTCGAGATGATTCTTCGGCATCCGGACTTCTCCAAACCCAAGGGCAAGACCCTTTTCGACCTAGCAGAAGAGAGACAACGAGAGCTAGATGAATTGAATCCTGCCAGGAAGGCTGCTAGGGCAGCCGCCATGGCATCAAGGCCCGTCGGCGACGATCAAGGGCCTCCCATCGGACCCTTAGGCGACTCGGTTCTCTACTCCGTCTCCATGGCAGCACTACACCTCACCCTCGACGTCCTTGTATACAACCAGTACAGGGAGGACATCATATGGACTGAGATTATCTGGAGAGCCGCTACAGCCTGGCCCATATTCGTCGTCCTGGTCTACCTTACCCACGTCGACATTGCCTACCACTTTCCCAAGGTTCGAGATGTGGTCTTCTTCGCCGGCTCCATTGCCGCAGGCTGCTACTTGGTGTACTCGGGGAATCAACACGGATACTTTTACGTCATGAAGTCGGCTCCTCCAGTGGGCACTCTCTGGATTTGGAGCGTGGTGGAGATGAGCTTGCCTTTTGCGGCTACAAGCGCGCTCGCTGTCTTCGGATACATTTATTGGAACGGGTTTCAATTATTCTGAGTGTTGGTCAAGGTGAACATGTGGTGGCACAATAGAGTGAAAGGCAAGAGTTGGTACAATGCACTATGGATATTGAACAGCAAATGGATGTCCTGCTCTTGGGTAGTAGGTTCCCTCATGTATGGGCCTACGCGCGTCGCAGTTGAGCCCATACAGTCTCAGCTGCAACTTTGCTCGTGCGGTTAGATACCTAGGGTACCAGGCCCTCCTACACAAACCACGACGACATTCCGGCATACACTGTTCACAGTGTCGCATAGGAAGACGAAACACGGGTTATCATCTTCTTAGATGTTCATGAAGCTAAATACACACAATTCTAGATCAAACATCCCTGTACGCCCTCATTTCCGCTTCCGCGGCAGCTCTCTTCTCCATCTCCTTCAAGCAGGGTGCCACAAATATATCGCCGTACAACACATTTTTAACCGTACTTGCCGCAACTAAGAGCCAAAGCAGTATCACACCCACAGCAAGCATCGTCCCAAAAATTCTGAAGAAAGCCGATGGCATCTCCTGTCCCATGGTGATTGTGGACATGGTAAATACACCAATTGGGAACGTAAAGCCCCACCATCCAAGATTGCATGGAAACCTGCTGCGGCTGATGGATGCCACGGCGAAGAAAAGCCATACAAGTCCGAACCCCCAAAGGACTAATGCGGTAATCCATCCAAGCACATACAGAATACCACCAGCCAGTGGGTGCAATGTTTGTGTTCTTGGAAAGACTTTGGATGCTTGAATTCCAAGTTGCATTGCGGCGTAACCGCCCTGCCCCATCGGTCCCAAAGGCAAGAAGACGCTAACAATGACTTCCTTTGGTGGAAGGTGGTGAATTGTAAGTCGATGGAAGTACATTGTCAGAATCACCAGTGCAAGGGGAAGGCCCATACTCCAGAGCACATAACTGGTAATTATGGTGATGAGGGCATGGTTGTCGTTGGGCAGAACGGAAGCCACCAGACCGCCAGATGCAGCTGCGACTATGCACGCGACAATCGGCAGAAGCCAAGCTGCTGTCATTTTCTCATGCTGGTTCCTGTGTTGTGTCATCCTATGCAAATGTCAGTAGTGAGTAACGAAGATGGGCGAAAAGGGTACCTACATCTGAAATGGGAGCCATAGACAACAAGCAACGCTGATGACGACGTCTAGCCACCACATTCCCCATGCCACATATGGTGCTGATCCACCCCACGCCGGTACGCATATTGCAACAAACATGTTGACAATGGTGGAGAAACCCATGGGCATGGTGCCAAGGAAGAGCGACTGCACAGGGTGCCGTAACATCAGGGTCCATGTTGCTGGAAACAAGGTATACCGCAAGACTGATATGGCAAATATGACCGAGAAAATGCCAACGTTCAGGATGAAGAAAACGATGCTGAGAGTTCTCAGCAAGTCATGGTAACTTTGATAAAGATTTGACAGCGTGTGAAGCAGAACAGCCACGATACCTGTGCCCATGGTCACTGCAAACTTTCCATCATGTTAGCTTTCCTTTCATCTATTCCCTGGTGGTGATTTGCGCACCCATGCAGGCGTGAAATTTTGTACTATCCGCCGCCAGCCCCGTTGGTCTGAGGGTATGAGCCATCGTGGAAGTCCTTGCTCGTTTTCACACACAGCTGTACCGCTATTACAGCCAAGTCGCGTATCATTTCTTGCTCTGTCTTCTTCATAGGCGCCAAGATTCAGTTGACAGAGCGTCGACATTATCGTTTTAGTGCGTCTGGAAATACGAAAAATGAAAATAGGAAAAGGTAGTCTAAAAGCCCTTAGTGTAATCAAGTCAATATACCAAACCGCTTATATATACATTCAAATTCGTCGACTCCTATGTTGACTCATCGAGATTTTGAAGTAGTCATTTCTAATCTAGGAGATTTTTTTTCTTCCTCTTGAACATCATTTAGTCACCGAGTACAGATTATGTTCTAGTTTGAGATATTGTTCAGCATGCACAGACAGTTTGGGTCGGACTGTCGGCGATAGCCCGAAGAAACTGTCAAAACGTGATTGGAGATAGCTGACTAGCGGTAGCGGAAATGGCCGCCTTACAAAGCCTGCTGTTTCTGGAAATCTTCGTCAAATCTTCGATCGAGTATCAGGCAATCAGACCACCAGAATGCATATCTTGCGACGCGCTACTCCCAACAGGAAAACGGTCGCTAACGGTCTTACTTCGCCCAGCGTTCCGTGCACGTGCTTCGCTGTTTCACTGTGCCTAGGGTAAGCTAACGAAACAGGGCGTTATTCGGACTACTGCTCGGTGGTAAGGCTAGGCTAGACGGCAGAGCCAGACCACGCGCATCGCAACACTCTCCGCTTCGCGCGGCCAAGACTACTGAGCATTCTTACCGAGCTTCACCGTCGTGAAATTACCGCCTTGGCACCGTGTCCATGTGCCATATACCCGAGCGCTTGTGAATCATGGGCTTTACGCCAACGACAACGAGTGATGGTGAAATACAGTTGCATGTCGGAGTCAGTGGCTATAGGTGGGACTTTGTGAAATCGCCATGACGCCACGGCGCAGTCGTACTATACCCAGCAACCCCCGATATGTCTTGCAGCAGTACAAATTGAAGCCAAGAGCGATGGGAATCACACATGAGCACGGAAATCCTATCAGCATCAGCAAACCCCGATGCAATCGGAATAATGCAAAATGCGCCAACCTCAGAAATTTCCCGAATTGGTGACGCCAAATCGCTACGAGTGTTGTTTCGTTGTCATTCGCTACTCGCTACGTGTTTATATTAGTCGCTACCGGCATTTTATATGAGGTTTCCGGGGGAAATAGATTGCCCCACTGGGAAAACCAGGTTCATACACTGCAACTGCAAGCTCCAGCCACAGTGTAGGGGGGGATATAATATCGTAGTAATATCGACTTCTCCACCCAAAGTCACATTGCCTAGTGCCAAAATCCTTGGAAGGCGAGTAAACAGTCGTAGCGCCAGACCAGAATGCTACAAGCTTTGTGTAGCCCTGTGTAGGCCATGCCAAAATACTGCTACTAGTCGGTCCCCACGGGCTTATAGTCATCTATGAGCACTATGCACTTCTTGATTTACCAAGACAAGCCCGGAACGACACTCCGCGCCCTTCCTGGGACGACTTTGGCCATTGAAACATCCTATTCAGGACTTTGTGTAATAAAAAATCACGTCTATAAGAAGCAGCGGAAGTGCCGTGAAACCAAACCCACAGCCCACGACAATCACTTCCAAGCACAGCAACAATAGCTTGACACTAAACGCAACCATGCACGCTTCCACTCTCCTCCTCGGCGCTGCCGCCCTCCTCGTTGAGAACGTATCCGCCCACGGCTTCGTCAAGACTGTCAACATCAAGGGTGTCTCAACCAAGGGCTCCGACCCTGTCTGGTTCTACCAAGGAACCAACCGCGTTGCAACCGCCGGTTGGGACTCTCTGAACCAGGATCTCGGCTTTGTTGAGCCCAACAGAGCCTCATCCGCAGACGTAAACTGCCACAAGAGCGCCACACCGGGCAAGCTGTACGCCAACGCTAACCCCGGCGATACCATCGAATTCGAGTGGAACACCTGGCCAGACAGCCACAGGGGTCCCATCATCCACTACATTGCTCCTTGCAACGGTATGGCTTCACCCTTCCCCTAGTTTCTCCGCCTTGATTTGGAAGAAGGATCGCGGTAGCTAATTTTTCCGGTCCAATAGGTGAATGCTCAAGCTTGTCCCCCAGCGACCTCCGCTGGTCCAAATTCGCCCAGGAGGCTATTGTCAGCCCCAACGTCTGGGTCACTGACAACCTCATCAAGAACGGCTTCAAGGCTTCTGTTAAGCTGCCGTCTAAGCTTGCCGCTGGCAACTATGTTGTCCGCCACGAGATTATCGCCCTGCACGGCGGCTCCAGCGCTAACGGTGCTCAGCTGTACCCTCAGTGTAAGTTTATGGCCTCCCTCTATCTTGTGATGAGACTGTTCGCGAAGAATTGCATAAGGCTTGTAATAAAGATGCTAACCTAAGGATTTTAGGCATCAACATCAAGGTTGGAGGCAGCGGCACTGTCAAGCCTACCAACGGCGTCCCAGGTACCAGCCTGTACACCCCCACCACCCCTGGTATCTTGTTCAACATCTACACTAACCCTACTTCTTACCCCTTCCCTGGCCCTGCTCTGTGGACTGCTGCCAACTAAATGAGCCAGTGTGGGTTTGAGACGATTAGGCGAGTTACTGGGGTGGCCAAGGTGCTCGCTGGTTGGAATAGGCTGCTCTTCTACTCTGTATATACTTCACTCTTTTTTCGAGGGGTTCCCGGTCAGGTTGGACATGTTCCCAATGTAAATGATTCTATTACGACGCGATCTTGTCTAGTTTGTAGGATACAGGTCGCATTGTATATATGACTTGCAAATCAACTTTGTTGGATTGACTGAATGACCACTTTTCTATGCCTCATCGGTTGTGAATTCACTGTTTCTTTTTCACGATTAATCTTGCGTTGTACTCAATACTTGATCCTTTTTCTCAATACTTACGTCCTCATCATAATTGATTCCACAGCCACTCCGATACACTTTGTCTCACTCTCATCTGAACTAGCCATTCGCCTCAAATCCTGCAGTAACATCAATCCAAAAAATACGTATGTTGAAAACCCCGCAACGCTTTCAAGAAAACTATCTTCAAAGGAAAGCTCAAAACCACTAAAAAAGTCACCCTTTGCCAATCCTACCACACATCAGACTATTCAAACTGATTCCTACTCGGATCAGGCGCACAATACCCTCTCCCAAACAAAAAGCTCTGTAACCTATCCTCCATTCTCGCAAACTGATCTCACTGTCAGTTTCGATCAAGAACGAAAAAAAAAGAAAAAAAAGAAATCAACTTACAAACCCCCTCCCCTGCACCCCATCCCTAACCCAAAACCCATACCCCCCCATCAAATTCGCCATCATAACATCCGTACTCAACCGATCCCCCACCACAGCAACATGCTCAGGCCGCGTAACCCCCGTCTCCGGGTGCGCCGCAAAATACGCCATGACGTCGTCTTTGCACCCGGGCTTCTTGGTCGAGTGGCGCAGTACGATGACGCCCGTGTTGCGTTCTAGCCGCGTTGCCTGGGCGCAGGTGGGATCCGAGGATGTACCTGCTGTGTTTGAGACAATGAGGAGTTTGCGGCCGGGATAGGCAGCGCGGAGGCGGGTGAAGTGGTCCTTTGGTCATGTGAGTTTTCATCTTCACCCGTTAAACTATATGTGGAATGTGATAGTAATGGTAGGAGTGGTGGTTTTTGGGAGGATAAGCTTACTTGGTAGGGTTCGTATATCTCGTCTGTGTGAGGTACAGCGAAGCAATTGTCTTTGTCTAGGATTACGGCGCGAATGTCGACTTCTTTTTCGCCTTGTTTGCGTGGAAAGGCTTTGCTGAGGGGGATGGGGAGCTGGTTGAATGTTGAAATTGTGTGCTGGGGGAGGCACAAGGTGGGGTCTCGCAAGAGGCGGAAGATGTTTAATGTGCCGGAGATATTCATGGTGGTTTTTTAGGAGCGTGTATGGGATGCGGTGATGTGACGTATTTTGTGGGAAGACAACGAGTTCGTGAGCAGCGAGAGATGCGCGTTCCGAGCATTCCGAATAGTTCCGAGCAGCGGGGAATTTACCTGTTTCCTTGGGAATTAGGAAAGGAAGAGGGTTGAGACGAATGTGGGCTTGCCCAACGGCATATTTCACTTGAGATGTATGAATGGTGACTACCGGGCTGAGTTCATTATCGATACGTTTAGAACACCAAATCTTGGCTGCTCACTTGACTGATCGATAGAGGTGAATTAAATTAATATTATCCACAAGAAACATACAACAGAGCTCTTGGCCTTTTATAGAAACAAAGCCAATCATCTCCGATTGCCCACCCTCTTGCCAAACTTCCTGACTGACTCCCTCACTTAAACTTCCAGAATCGAAAATACGTCCAGGCAGTGCTGTCATAAATGTCGACATATACGAGGTCGGAAACGGATCCAACATGAGTGGCGATGGATGATCCATCCACAGGTATCTTAGATGGCGAAATTCATTCTGAGTAACTGAAGCACCTCAAGGACCCCCAGGTTGCAACGTTCCAGTTACTGGCACAGGTCTTTTCGTCGAAATTTATTGGCGTCCTATAGTATCCCATGCAGTCTGCATATTCGTACAAGTAGCAAGCGCATGGGAAGCGGCTATCGCAAGCAGCTATGTTCACGCTGTGAACGTTTTCGCGCGCGTAGTTGTAACAGTGTCCATTGGCTGGTCTATTGATTATGACTACGGCGCGACTACAGACACCATCTTCGAAGTATCGGATTTTGACGGCGGATGCCATTGTGGCTATAGCTGCAAGGATGGAGAGAGCTGTAGCGATATACATTTGGAACGATTTAAAGGTGGAAAAGATTGAAGATTTAGAAATCCGTTTGTTGTGGCAGAGGCGGTATTCTAATTTCGTTCCAAAGCAGCGCATATTGTCTTATATAGTCTGACACCATGGTTCGTTGTGCTGCTGTTTCATCGCAACCGTAGTTCGCTGTTCTGCTGTCTTCGTCACAACCATAATTGATTTGGTTGTACCCAATAGAGGTGTGCCTAATACGCACATACTCATCGAGAGGTGTACATATTATTGGTAGGATTACCAACTAATTATCAGGGTTCGAAAGCCGGGTCTCACTGACGTAAATCTCTAAGCTGAAGCTCCAGGGTTTTTATACAGGTTTCTTGTTTAGATGCTTTTACTTCAACACCAAAGTTTTTTTCTTTAATACCCGATTCTAGCGGACTGAGGCGTAACCTGTCATTCTTTTCTAAGATGATGAATCTGGTACGCTATAAAGCAAATAGATAAAAACAGGTGAAGTCGTACATGGGGCTACGATCATGTTTAGGAAAGTGGAATTCGACATCAGTTTGTAGCGTGCTTTGTGCTTGCATGATCGGCCATATCTTAATTCAAAGACTAAGCCAAATCGTTGACATGAGCTCCGATCTTTTGTATATTGACGCGGAGAGCAGAGAAAAGAAGAATGAGTTTAGAGGGCTAAATCCGCGTGCACGTGATGACTAAGGGAATGGTCCAAGCTCAACCTTCAACTTTCTGTAGACAGCGATATTGGTACGCGCAGCAGGCCTGCACCAAAACTATCTACAACCACCCACCGCGGTGCCTCTGGAAGCATTACTGAAACTGACGAGTGCGTTACTCGGCGAATATCTTGGCGGCACAACGAGCGCATTCACCCCGATTATCCGACTCAGCACCTTTCGCGGATCTTCACCGAACGTCTTCCTCGCAACCTCCAGCACGCGCATAACTAGCTACAAGTCTCCAATCTCCGCCCAAACCCCGATTTTTTTTTAAAGATGACGAGTACTATCGGTATTCCGATCAAGCTCCTCAATGAGGCAGCGGTATGCGCAACACGGTTCTCGAATTCTCCCATATCAGTACTGACTTTCAACAGGGCCACATTGTCACGCTCGAAATCACATCTGGCGAAGTCTACCGCGGCAAGCTGATTGAAGGTCCGACTTCTATCATATCTATAACACTTGAACTCTGCTAACGGGTTCGCAGCTGAGGACAACATGAACGTGCAGCTAAAGGACATTACTGTGACCGCCCGTGACGGTCGTGTCTCACATCTTGAGCAAGTATACATCCGGGGAAGCCATGTACGATACTTCATTGTACCGGACATGTTGAGGTAGGCTTGTCAAGGGAACCTTCACTGAGTAAGGTGCTAACTACGGATAGGAACGCGCCCATGTTTCGATCGAGAGGTACGAGGGGTCGCGGTGTTGGTCTTGCGCGCGGTAGGGCCACAGTGAACAGGGCGAGGGCTAGCACTCGAGGAGGTGGACGTTGAACCATATGAGAAATTCCGGCAAAGACACAACTTGAACGGCAGTAGCAAGCAAGCAATCCCAGGCGCAGCAGCTGTGAGGAGGCACTTGATGCGATTGATAAATGGCAAGGGGGATACACCGACAGGTATGATACCAGGTCATTTTTGCTGGGGCATACGCTGAAAACGGAATAGCAAATTTGATGATACCTTGGAACACGGATGATTGTTCATTTTCAAAAGAATGCGAAACTATTGGGTGACACGTGATGATCTGAAGACATGTATGTCTCTGCTGCATTTAGCGTGTAGTCTAGGCGCAGTCGCTGTTGCTGTTAATCATCGCAGCCTGTTGCCCCACAAAGAAAGATCGAGGGCTCACCCCCGAGAACTCCGCAACCCACCACTTTTTCCAGCACAACGCCACAATATGGACAGCATGGAGGGCACGGAGGGCATGGATATCAAGAATCCACGACGCCTTTTAATTGTTGGGGCGCCAGATGCCGGTGTTCTAGCACTTCTCAAGGGCATGTTCCAACGTGGTTGCTCGTACGCCATTCACTAATTGTCTTGCAGAGCTCACAGGCTCCGCTCCAGAACCCACATCCAATACCACAGCCGGCCTTACGCACGAGTTGCGCATTGAAACCAAGTATTATACCGCCACTGTGCCCATCTGGGTCGACGAATTATCCAACGTTGCTGAATGGCGCACCGAATTCACCAAACCAGAAGCCCGCGAAGTTGTCACAGCGCTCGGTGCATGGGTATATTGTTTCAAGAGACCAGTCGAAGAGAAAGATGTAGATAGAGTCAAAGAAACGATGCAGGCCATCTCGGATGTGATTGAACGCGCGTGTGGCTATGGCGGCGACATTGCATGTCTAGCGGTGGCGATGCCGCAATCTGTCACCCCGTACCTGGACAAAAGCCACGAGGAGTGGGAAGAGTTGGCCATGGACTATGGTTTCGAATACATTGACTCGGAGAAGAAGGGCAAAAACGAGTTTGGCGAAGCCACGGGTGTGCAGCGGGTGCGGGAAGCGCTCGAGGCAGCGGAGTGGGAGAGCAGTGCAGCCTTGGATTTTGGCGAAGATGAAGAAGGGTTCGAGAATAGCTTTGAGGCCGAAGAGGCAGAAATGAACATGGAGCTGTTTGGCGTGAAGAGCGCGCTTGCGGGGTATGATGGCGATGAAGAGGGAGAGACAGACGACAAAGACGTTGAAGACCTCGAAGTCATGATGCGGAAAGTGGTTGCTATCAAAGAAATGGGTGAGGGCATGGAAGAAGGCGAACGCAAAC